TTCTGAAATGGTTCAAAGTGTGGCTTTACCCTCGTAGTCAGGAGGAGGCTAGTCCTTTGTTTTTGGGCTGATCAACGCGCGTTGCACGTGCAGCACGTGCAAAACAACGTTGCCTCAAAAAATTTGCATAATCAGCGCATTGCACTCTAAGGCCCGGTTCAGACGCCGAACTTTTCATGAGCCGAACCTAATTCGAATTAAGGCCGACCCAAATTATTTAGACTGGCTAAATTGATTCAGACGCCGATCTTAATTCCAGCCGAACTAAATTCAGAAGGCGAAAAATGCGCATTTTGGTCAAACTGCTTACAAAATACGTTATAAGAATTTATGCATTAGGTTCGGTACATGAAAAGTTCGGCGTCTGAATCAAAGGCGTTCCAAAGTCGATCCAAAGGCGAAATTCCCGGCCAGGCTAGGCGAAAAGAACGGGTGAGCCGTTCCAAATTGAAACAGGCGTTCCTAATTGATTCAGACGCCGAACTTTTCATGTACTTAATTCAATGTATTAGGTTCGGCTCATGAAAAGTACGGCGTCTGAACCGGGCCTAAGAACCTGTTTACATGGAATGGGGGACCCCGGTCTAGTGGGGTTGGTTTCTTTTGTTTTCACGCTCTGGAGGACACAAAACAAAAGAAACCTACCCCACTAGACCGGGGTCCCCCACTCCATGTAAACAGGGTCTAAGGGCCTCTTCATATGAGCCCGGTTGACCGGGCTGGCCCGATTTCCGAGATCTCGCCTCACCTCTAAATCCTTTGTAAAATTTTCAATGTGTTCATATGAGAGGACGGGCTGGCTCGGTTCCCGAGATCTCGGTAAGCGGGCTGAAAATTTTGCCATATGAACACTTCATCCCGGTTACCGGGATGAATGGCGAGATGAATTCTGGCGGTCCGGATGGCATCGTCTTGCATTGCCTGCTGCATTTTCCACATCATAAGCATGCCATTTAACTGCAGTGATACAGCTTTAAGAGTTACCGATGGTAAGATAGGCCCGAAAGTTACAATTTTTGTGTTTCGCTATGTTTGCTTTGTTTCCCGAATTTGGCGCCAGAACTCGTTCCCAGGATCTTTGACCTTTTCTCATCTCGGAAACCGGGCTGAAATTTCTCATATGAACCCAAAGCAAAATTCATCCCGGTAACCGAGCCAGCCCGGTCAACCGGTCTCATATGAAGAGGCCCTAAATATAGTTTTTTTTTTTGACAAATTTCAATACCTTGATTAATGTAGTAAATATGCACTGAGATATTTTCTTAGACTCTGAAAAGTTCATAATAGAAGTTATTTATTAAAGAAATGCGTATGTGGCATGCACTCTCCGCAAGCCATTTATTTTTTCTTCAAAAGGCACGTTTCTGTATCGTTGGTTTGCGACCAACATGGCCGCCAAGACGTCACGTGGAAACCTGCAATTTCAGAATTTCGCTTTTTTGCCAAATTCAGTTTTAAACTTAACCAACCATGTGTTACTTGACAGATGCGGTGAGGCAATTGTGGTGTTAAACGAAGGATTTCTTCATATTAATCAGGCCGCTCATCTAGCAAAAGTAAGTGCGACGTATTTGCGTTTAATTTCTTTTGTATCTCTTGTAATTTTCAAAGAAACTAATAAATAATTACACGAGTAAATACGTAACAAACAGTTTTGTTTTTTGTTTTTATGTTTAGGAATACGATAAAATTAAACCAAAAACCAAACTTCATTTGGAGGAATCTCAACCTTTTGAAAAGTAAGAACATTTTTGCTGGTTTTACCGAGCTTATTATTGAGCTTGCGTAAAAACAATGGAACACCCAGTTTTGATTTACCGGTATAATGAGTCGGTCTTATATCCTCAACCACTTGCAATTTTTGCAATTGTTCAGCTTACGTCGATCGCAAAAGTTTGCTCCCACAATAATTTGCACACGCGCAATTTGCCCTTTTGGCTGAATCTTGTGGAGGCGTGTGTGGCCAAGCGGTTAACACCTCAAACTCTGGATCTGGAGGTCCAGGGTTCAAGCCTCGCCCGTCGCGTTGTTTCTTTAGGCAACAAACTTTAGTCCACTTTGTCTCTCCTCACCCAGGTGTATAAATGGGTACCGGCGACAGGGGTAACCCTGCGATGGACTAGCATCCCGTTCAGGGGGGAGTGGCAATACTCCTAGGCTTGCTTCATGCTACGGAAACAGCAAATAAGCTCCGGCCATGTGGGCCTTTACCTTACCTTGTCAAAATCGCAAAGTAAATAAAAAATACGCAGTTTCCAAAATCGCAAAATTAAGCACCACGGATAATAGTAGCCTTAGGTTATGTCAGAATGATAGAATTTCATGCCGAAATGAAAAATACGCCGGCCCGGTTTGAACAGGCCAAAATGGGAACAAGTCATCCACACATATCGAGGATCGTACCGGGGCGGTGGCCAACAGGGCAATAAAATCCCAACTGTCACTCTTGATTATTTACTACCGTCTCGGTGACTTGCAGTCCTCGCTCCTAGGTTAAGGTATGGCGCAGAAACCTATCCGAAATGTGACGATCCACTTTTAAGATCGATGCGTGCGCAGCTTTGCTTTTTTACAGAAACGGCGCCGAAATCATCGTTAAAATGTGTGAACAAAACTAGCCCTATTAGCGTGCGTAGCATGGCGGTTTTGGTTGGGCGCGCTAAGTAATAAAGGCGGGCGAGGGCACAGAAACCGCGAGGAGATTGGGGCGGGAACAACTTATTTTTCTCGCGGCTTTGCCGCTCGTTATCGCGCGCTTCGCGCGAATTTCGCGGCTTCGCCGCTCGTGCGCCCGGCTCTACAAAACCGCCATGCTACGCAGGCTATAGCCCTATCCGATAAGAGCTATCCGGCAGAGTGTAGACACAGCCTTAATGGATCGACCGAGGCTATAGCCTGCGAAAACATCCGTTTCTCCTCGCTCTTCGCCGCTGGGGACGTTTCGCGCGAAACGTCCTCAGCGGCGAAGAGCGAGGAGAAACGGATGTTTTCGCAGGCTACCGAGGCTAGCCGTGCATAAACAAAGCTTTTTAAATGTCCTGAGACAAAATGATCGCCGCGTGACAAAGGTCTATTATTAGCGAACTTTCCTCTAAAGGTGTTTGAATAGTGTTTTGCACTGGCTTCTTTGCACGTATCTTGTTAAACCATGCGAAACCTCTTTCCCAAGTAAAAGAAGCAAATCCAAGAACACTCTACCTTCTCACGAATATTTTACATTTGTAGGGGATTTGTGCGCCACCAATAAAAATGTGGTTCTACCGGCAGTAAACTAACTCAGATAATTTGGTTGTTGTAGGATTAAGAAGCTATTAAATGAGAAAAAGGCAAAAAGCGAGAGAGAAAACGGCATGATTTATCACGCCAGACTTCCTGAGGTAGGTCATCAGCTTTTGGATCTTTTCATTCGGGTGCTTTTCTTCATTACTTTCAGGACGTTTCTGGAGCATAGAGAAGGGAGAGAAAAAGCGGATTATTGAAGGTGTTGCTGTAGAGTTGTGATTTATAAAGGTGTTCTTTCTTGCCAGGAATGCCCTCTTCCTTTGGATCCTAAATGCGTCATTCATGTAACTGCCCTTGAACTGTCCTTTGGGGAGGATCTCACAAGGTAAGTGGCCGGGCGTGATTACTGAGCGTGTCCCTTATAAAAAGTAATAAGTACCTATTATTGAATGAGGCTGAGTAGGATATGAAGAATTAGTAAAATCCAACTAGTGGTCTATTATCAATGCTGCGTTCTGATTGGTTGAGCTATTACTAGGCTATATGTTATAGCCCACTAGCAGCGAAAAGCGCGGGCTTTTTGGCGGCAGAAAAGGACTTAAGTCTAGCTTTAACTAGCTAAAATTTTTTCATTTTCGATACTTTTGTCCAACTAGCTGGATTTTACTAAAATTGACTCAGAGCCCATTCGGGTTCGAGGAATAATTGTTAATTAGGCAGATCATGGAGATGGATAACACCCTCCAAGATCTGCCGAATTCAATAATTGCTTTATTATTCATTCAAAATAATTCCAATTTTAAAAACAAGCTCAAACATGCTTACCTTCGTCGCTGTTAAGTTCATATCGATAGTGCCTGTTTATATATGGGGAGGTTTAGGATATGAAGGGCTGTTCAGGTCTGCAAATATACTCGAAATAGCAGATATCGTCCGTTGAATTGTCTTCTTGCTGTTCTTGCTATGTTTTTAGACAACAGTTTGCCATGAAACGAATAAAAGGTTCTGCCATTACTCACTTCGAAAACAACTCAAACTCTTACCCAGGTCTTCTTGGTTAACGGTTCAATAATCTGAGTTTTTGCTGCACTTTTGACTTCATCGGTTCAATATGGTAAAATTCTTCCAAATTTGGTCAACAGTATTTGGTATGACGAATTATGCGTGTGATTTTAGCCAATCAGAAACGACCATTTATTTCCCTCTTAGGATCATGATCATTTACTCTCTTTTTCGTGTTTAACCACTGTAGAACCGTCACAGAAAGCACAGATGCCGCTAAATCAGAGGATAAGGGTGGACCAAGTGAAGGCGACGCAGGTACAAGCTGATAGACAAATTCGAGAGTTTGTTCATTGCAAACTTGAATATTGCAGATGTCTTTTGATTGTTATTTACAAAGAAATTCTCGTGAGTCGTTCGATTTTATTTCTTTTTAGAGGCAGCAAAGTAGGTTGTAAATAACTTGAAAAGAGTGTAAAGCTACGTTAACTCGTGGTCTGCCATTTTGATTTTACCAGAGCCAGCGTCTTCTGTGACCAGTAGTAGGAATTCGCAGCAGGCAATTTTTAAAGTTTATGCAACACAATGACAAAATACTAAGAAATTTTCCTTACTCTATTCTCTTGGGACTGGGATTATTAGAACCCATGGTCATAGTTTCTTTGTAGAGGTTTTCTGAGGAATCCAGCTTCAAACACGACGTGGTTTTAACGGTCTGCCTAGGGTATAGATATGTTTCTAAGTAACAGCTCGTCCCTTGTCTTATATGACGCGTAACCCGCATATGTCAAACACATATAAAGTAGAAAACCGGTAGTTGTTTAATGGGCACGATAAGTTGTTCGACAATGTTCACTTGCCTCTATTTCCAAATTGTTCGGACTTTACTGTCATTACGTTTCATTTTAATAGTTTTTTTTTGCCAGAAAGTTAGACGGCAACTCTGCTTACAGGGATCTTGCAAAAATGTAGATCCAGTAGTATGTAGCACAACTCGTCAATATTCTCAATATTGACGATGTTCAACAATTATTGAATGAAGCTGAGTATGATATGAAGAATTACTCTGCAGATCGCGGCCGAGGGTGTTATCGGCCTCTGCGAAGCCGAATTTTATATTTCATTTAAAATAATTCTAAGTTCATAACAACCTCCCTTCCTCTTAGATTTCATTGAAAACATCTGCCTGTTCGCGGCACTTTTTCAGAATACGAAGATGTCAGTTTTTTCCTCGCAGATGCTCGAAATATTTTGAGTGAGTAATATGAAGTATATATTTGAAGGTTCGCACACATCTTCATGCAAACCCGTTCAAATTGAAAAAGTTCAAAGTCGATTGACTTTCATCTATTGTAGTCGAGATGGATGCAGTGGTTGTTGTATGTGTGCATGTGTGTAACTTTAATCGGAGTAAAAATTTACCAAATTTTCCTCTGTAATTCATTATAAACTTCAAGTTTGGTGGGTTTTGGGCGGCCATTGTCTTGCAATGAGCTTTTGGATAGGTTGTTTTGACTGAGTAGAATCGTTAGGCAATCAGTATTTGGTTGTGGACAGATACCGCCGACGAATCACACGTTGAAGCATTGTATATGTATTCTGTTTTTATGTTTCCGTCACTGCTCCGGCTAGTTAGGCCTTTATCATACGTAAATAAGGTAATTAGAAGTCATGTCCAGTCCTTTTTTCCACAAGGATTTTTTTCGTTAATGGTGTAAAAAATTGTTCGAAAATTGAACATGAACTTGAGGCGAACGGTTACCGTAAGGAGGCCTCTTGGAATCACCACGTTTTAGTCCAGATATTCTGTTTAGCATATAACAAAAGTTTCTGGACCCTTTGTTGAACATGTTTTAGATAAAAATTAATAAAAAATAACTTACTAAGAGATAAACCAGCCGGTTGGGAATTTATAGGAGCAGGGCTCCGACTTTTTGAAAAGATCCGGCAAGGACAATTTTATCTTAACCGTCATCGAGATAACTTATGAAATAACTGCCGTCCCTGCCGTAGCATTCCAGCTTTTCCACCGAAAAATATGCGGCATCGAAAATAAAAAAAAATGTTTCCCTGTAGAGATTTAACCCAACTCGGTCAGTTTTAAAACAAGTTTAATTTTTTTGTAAATTAAGACCGTATTAACTTGGCTAGAATAAATGTATTAAGGTGCTAGCATGCAACAGGTGCAGTTGTACGCGTTTATCTTGTTTTCAAATGTAAATAGATGTATGCGGTTTTTCTTTGTTGCACTGCATTAAAATAAAACGAAATTGTTCTTATTGTCTCCATCAGTTAGTTAATCGTCTCCAATTTCGGATCGCTTTTTCATTATCAACTTACTAAAGGTTTAGAAGGTCTGCGTTTGGTTTAAAAAGGAAACTTTTTTTCATGGCATTGTGATTTTGGAAGTCGGACTTGCGAAACTATAAACTCTCGAAACAAGTCTTTGAAATAGTTACTGAAAAAAGTTGAGTTTTTCCTAAAAATATCTCTTCAGTATTTCCCACACTTAGACTGGGAAGGTCGTGTCTCGAGTAGTCTTTCATTTATATGCTAATCTTGCCCTGCTACTTACTCTAAAGTGGTAGAGTAAGTAAATGTTCTTTGTTTAATCCCTGTAGTCTTGGCTTGGTTTTTAGCGTTACACGATTATACCCATATTGTCCACTTCAAGTTGATGCGGGTGTGTCGTATAATAGTTTTCTCGCTCTCTGTACAATTCTTTATGATTTAATCATTGAAGTACAGTCGACTCCCGGTAACTCGAACCCTCTATAACTCGAACCTCCCGTTAACTCGAAGTAATTTTCATTTCCCTTCAGATCATTTTCCATATAATTTTACCCTCGATAACTCGAACTCCCGATAACTCGAACTTTTTTCTATTTCCCTTGAAGGTTCGAATTATCGGGAGTCGACTGTACAAGATCATATTTCTCAATGTTCTTCCCTTAGTACTATTTTTTGCAAAGGCGTTTTTATGATTCTTTTTCGCAAGTTTGCTTAAAAAGTTACAATGTCTTACTCAAACGTGGCGCGGGAGGAGCTTTCTTCAATTCTTCGTACCGTCTTTCAGTACTGGTTGTTGATAAATTTATCATTGTGCCAAAAAATCTCAAATTTTTCGTTGTTCTCAACGAACCAACCCGTACAGCAACTGAGGTTACCTTTATTCAACGTCGGAAAGTTTTATTCAGTAGTTTTCGATGAAATTGTAAGTATAAAATTTGATCTTCCAGAACAAGTCAAATGAACACTAATCCTATCGGAAAATACAAATGTATTGCTCGGTTCGTTCATTACTTTAAAAGTTAAGACTTCGTTGTTTTTACACCACAAAATTCATCACTTTGTCATTTGTGGTCAGTTAATTAAACTAGCTGCGCACTTTCTAAGCCATTTATTTCACTGCTTGTTGTCGGCGAGAAGTGTTAGGAAGCATTTATGTACTTCAAATTACCTACTTATAAACACAATGTGGAGGTCTGTTTATAAGTTAGATTTCGTTTAAGTAAATTACCCTTAGAGATTCAAGGCGGTGAGCAGACGTTACTGGGCAATGAACCGTCAAAGGAGCTGACACAGTTGATCCAATGCGCACTACAGCAGCCTATCGACTCAAAAACAATGAACAATGTTCTATATTTGGGAGGAATTTCATCTTTTTGAAAGGTTCGTAGAATGTCGGCCAGTGGTGCTGTGTAGAGTACATACATATACAGGTTCGACTGTTCAGTAAAGTTTTGCAACCATTACTTACAACATTATAACCTAAAACATCCTTGAGTAACACTTAGGAGTCATAATAAACCATGATTCACGATTCACGATTCCGAAATTAAAAGCCTTCTATTGTGAATTAATTTGTAGTTGTTGTTTTAACCGAGGGATGGGAAATGTGGTCTCCGGATGAGTAAATTGATGGTCGTCTATACCGAATTAATTTAGCGGTGTTTTAAGTGAGGCATTGAACATGTAGCCTAATTCTAAGCGCTTTTATCGTGTTTTCGGTTCGAACTAACGCGTTGTTTTTTCTGGAGGCGGGAACTAAATACACGCGCTTTAAAGGACACATACGTTGTTGCCTTTTTTTTTTTTTTGGGGGGGGACTGATACCTGATAGTTTCCAGGCAAATTTCACCGAAATCTTTGGCCGAGAAACTTAACCCTGTAGTTGTTTAATGTCATATTGTTAAGTATGAAATCACATCTCATAACCCACGTCAAAGAGTGCTGGACCCACGTTAATGAACCATCCTAAAAACGTTTCCCATCACATGGTTACCAGCATCGTATGAATGCTCTTTCCTTTTTTATGCTTTATTAAGAATGAACCTCGAACGATCAGGTGGCTGGTTGAATAAATTAAAAAATGTAATTCTGAATTGAGGAAAATTATTCATCAAAAGACAAAAGAAGTTTTCTTTCTTATGAAAGAACAATCACCAAAGGAAGCTGGGGAAATGTACTTCACTCCATTTCAGAGTAGCGTACTGAATGCTTCCTTTTTCCGTCCGAATTGTCTATAGCAATTAAAGAAGCTTATATTGCGGAGAGAAACGATAAAAACAGCGCTGCGTTTGCTGACTTTACGAAAATCTTTTCTTCGCTACTAGCGCTTGCTGCCAATTAACTGAATGTAGCTTTTCAAATAGTTCTGGTGGTATATTTTTAGGTGATAAAAGTGTGCTTTTGAATTAATTAACGTTTTATGAAATTTGCCTGAAGGGTGGTTTTGTTTCTCGTCTCACTAAAAACACATTTCTGTTGATATTTGCCGATCACTAATGAAGAAAACCGACTTTTTTCGATCGATTTCCAGCAACATCACAAGATAAATGTCAATATTCACTTGAACAAACAAGAAATTTATACCACCTTCGTCTTATCTCGCCATTTAACATGAAACAAAACACTCTCTTGTCGGTTTTTCGGACAAATCGTTTTCGCGCTTTTCTAGTGATGTTGTTATCGGCCTTAATATTTTCTTTAAACGCCATGTGGCCGGAAAAAGCGTCGAAAATTGATTGCATATTATGCATTGACGTGGCTTTCTGAATTTAATGGGCTTCTCCATCTGTTCTTTGGAGAGTCAATAAACTATTGTCTCCAACGCCCAAATGGCCTTATAGTGTTTTCCTTGAGTTTCATTCTCGTGGAAGGAAATTAAATCATACCATCATGTTTTTCTTCCCGAAATCCGCGAAAGAAGATACTTCCACTTCGGCTTCTTCCACTGGTAAACCACCCCCCCTTCGAAGGCATGATACTTTTGGGAGCGTCGAATTGTTTGAGGCTTGGGCAAAAGACTCGTTTATTAATCAAAGCACGGTTGACATACTCGTGAACACGCATGAAATCGATTGTCTACCCGCGGTTTTGGCCTTAAAAAAAGAAGATTTTCCGCACTTAAATTTGCCGGTCGGCCAACGAAGGCTGCTGGAAGAAGCGGTCGAGAAATTGCGGCAGGATTATGAGCTGGTTCAACCGCCGACGCCGAAAGCCAAGATTAGTCTTGAGATGCCAAAATATAAATCAATGCTTGAGATAGGGGAGCTTGCTGAGGAAGACTTGGGCAATGGAGGGTCTATTGGAGATACTCAACCTGAAGTGCCTCCTAGACCTCGCGCGCAGTCAGGGTATTCTTCTCAAAGAAAATCTGGGCAACGCAAGAGCAAAGTTGAATTAGGAAAAGACGAGAAGGAATCCAGACCTGAAAAGGAGGCTTTGTTGGTTACAGCGCAAAGTAAAACCACATCGCAGATGTCATCGAAGGCTGGTCAACGGACTAAGAAAGGTTAAAGTATTTTTATTTTTTCTACATTGCGATGTGTTTATACATGTGGAAAGGGGGGAAATAGCAATTAATATGAAAACATTTCACGGAAAACGCCGAAGAAAGCTAGGCTCCCTTTCATCCCAACTGATAATATTTTTATTTTGCTGTTCATGTTTTCTTATACTTGTTATTATATTCTTAGCTCTCAGGCAGGGGAAGGTTACCGCCTCAGCCGCGATACTTTATGAACTTTTAATTCATTTATCCGTATTCGATTAAACATACATTCCACTCGAGTTTTCGAAACCAATTCATCTGACTACTCTTCCTCGGAATTGAATTCTTGTTTCATATTTTTTAAAACCACCTTCCACGGAATTGAATTCTTGGTTCATATTTTTTAAAACCACAGAGAGGATTTTAACATTATTTATACTTTGCTCTCTTTTACCTTTAATTATTTCTTGGTGGGTAAGCTATTTCTATCTGAAATTCAACTCTGGTAATAATGGCAAAGTGTATATTCTTATTTACTATAAACATTTTACAGTAAGCATAAACAGCAGTGTTTTACACTTGCTTAGCCGGTAAGTTTCTTAAAGACTCCATGGTGTAGTGTCAGTAGGGCAGTGATCGAAACACACAATTGGCTTCCGTATTAAGACATACAAGAGCTTATGCTACCCTTTTGTAAGACTGTGAAGAATTTGTTGAGTGTTCTGTGAAACAATTACTCTGGATGACAGACACTTTTCATGAGCGGTTTCCGGTTTCGGTCAAGTCTTTATAATCTTTATCTGAGTCTACTTCCTAGCCTGCTTTCTGCACAAGCGAACAGTGATGCTCGAAAAGCCAACTGAAAGCATTTTTTCTCGTGGCTTCATCGCTCTTGGCTTCGGCCATCGGCCGAAGATGTGTCGGTCGCAGGCCGACCGTCGAAGTATCCTTACACGAGAGGGAAAAAATCTCCTGTAGTCAGGGAAAATCAACAAATTGTTACTAGGGCAAAAACGTTGCCTTGGCTGGCTAAATTTGCGTGGTTGAATCAAGGGTTAGCAATTACTGGGCTGTAGGAGGGTCATCAACTTCGCATAGTTTCTTGTGGTTGCGGTTGGCGAGACGACCAAATGACGTAATACGAAAGATTAAAAAGACGCTGAACAATATTCACACCACAACAAAATTACCTAATTATAAATATATATATTTTTTCGATTCTCAAAATAAAACCAAGGAACTCCCCAATTTTGCACGCTTCGCTCGTGCTTAGAAAATAAAACGTTCTTTGGGTTTTAATAGTATTATTCTTTGTAAGCTCCAACAAGTATCTGATGTATTCTCACCACAAAAACGAAATTCAATACGGAATTTTTAGTGGAGTATTTTAACTGCTTACTGATAAGGTGACTGCAAATCTCTCCCAGACTCCGCCTTTTTCTTTTGTTAGATTTGTTTTGTTGAAAATTTTAAAGCTGAACTTTTTTTGTGTTAGGATGTGTTGATGCGATGGAACGGTAGTTGCCATGGTTACATCTTCTGTCGTCATGAGTGTTGAAATGTATTGTAAACAATGCGTGGAACCGAAAAATGCTGGTTTTCCGTACAATCGTCCTGGCCGCCTAATTTTAATTTGGGACGATTGTTTTCTTTTTAGTGGCTGCTTAAACGCCTTATAAAATGTGCTCTTTTTTTCTGCTGGCTTAAAATCTTATACACAGTGATAAGTTTCGTAGTTGTTATGCGGAGGAGTAGGTTGAACTGAAACGAACATTTGCAGTTGGTTGTTTTCTCGCCGTGGTTGCTGGAGCTTCCTTTTCACCCAGCTAAATTCACACGGAAATTTATTTCTCGCCAAGTGGTAACCTTAGAAAACAGCCGACATTTCGCGACTCCACCACTGGTTTCCCGCGAATAACGTCTGAGGAACGAGCGCAGAAATTCCATACTGATGACGTATCATTACTACTCTAATCCGTGTAGTGCTTCTGATTGGTCAGGGCTCGAGGGCAATGAGAAGCACTACCCAAATCTGTGTGATGACACGTCATCAGTATGGAATTTCTGCAGTCGCCATTTCGCGGGGAAACCAGTACGCCGGCGTCGCGAAATGTCGATTGTTTTCTCAGGCTTCCCAAGCGGGGAGGTTTTCCTTACTGACTACCAATTACATTATTTTTTCTCTTATTTCATACGCTATAACGCAGGAAACAAATTTGTGCATTCACATAAGGGCAGGCTTGTTTGCGATTGGCTAAGTCAACCGATAATAATATTAATTGACCTCGAAGTTCCACCAGCCTTATTAGGAACATCTGGACGCCTTGGCGAGCAGGAACGTTCCCATTGACATCTTTGTTAATTGTGGTCTGCGTTAAATTAAAGAATTAGCAAAGGACACGTTTACTTGTCGTAGTGCGTCGAAGAATTTAAATTCCCTGAGCGCTTAACGACTGTTTAAAGAGATTTGCCATGGACTATTTATATGACAACTGTAAGTTCACATTATTCAATGTTTATAAAAGTTATTATTTGTTCGTGACGTTTTAATCGTGAGAAGTATTCGAAGTTCTTTCAGTTCTTGATAACATTAAGTCAGACCACACAAATAAGTGACGAAATCATTTTCTCGTAATATTTTTGAGTTCATTTAAGTCATTCCTCAGTTGTTTGTCATCTTTTGCTCGCGAATTTTCCATGTCTTTAGTTTATCGTAACTTAAAGTGAGAAACCGCGGTCTAAAAACGAGTCGGTGATATAAAGATATTTTCGTTGAAAGGTGAAAGAAAGAGTATTTGCCACGCTATGAAAGAAAAAACCGCGGATTCATCCAATCAGGAGCCGTTTAGTTATCCAATACATATCAGTTTTTTCTCTACAGTCTTCTTTGCCGTTATCGTAGTGGCGTTTTTGCAACTAAAATGGTAGGTGAAGCTCTGACCCTCTGACCTGTTCAAACAGTGAATAGTGCTATCCAACGGATAAATCACTATCCAGTGGATAAGTGTCAGGAAAAACCAGTGTGTTGGAGAAGAGGTGCTATCAATGCAACCTTTTGTAGTTCCTTTGACTTCAAAACCTGACAGCATCGTTTTTAATTTCTTTATTTTTGATAGATGATACGCGTTCGTCGAAAAAGTCGCAAGAACACAGCGAGACGAAAAATTATGATGACGACAGCGATGATGACGAGTACACGGCCTGCGCATGTCAAAGGTGGCTTTTCGTTACCATATTTATGCCCGTGTTCCTGCTTTTATCAATTGTAGGATTCATTTTGGTGGTTTCACTTATGCCATGTAAGTACGAATCAATTTTGAAGTCGCACCATGTAAGGGAATCCAGATTCCGGAGTCCGGAAAATTTGGAATCCGGAATACAGTTCAAGGAATTCGGAATCCCACTAACGATTGAAATCCGGAATCCAAGTTCCACTGACAAAGAATCCGTAATCCAGTACCTGGAATCCGGAATCCACGGCGTGGACTTCAGAACCAAGACTGTTTGGATTCCCCTATATGGAACGATTAAGGCCTGTACCAGTTACTTTTATCTATTTCCTGGTCAGATCAGCATTAAAGCGGTCGTAACATGCAGTAAATTCTCAACCCGTTTCATAACAACGTCATGAAATTAGATTTTTTCGGAAAAAGTGTTGGTTCCTCAAATGCTCATTGCCAACATTCACACCCTTTTAAAAGCTTCCTGTCCAAAAAGACACCCTGTTAAAGACGACAAATAGTCACTGAAATTGTGCACCCTGTTTAAGACTCAAGACCCTAAAAACCACACCCCGCTAAGGGGCACATACCTGTTTAGGTCAAATAAGAGAGTGCCCCCTCTCTCCGGGGACTGCACCCATGGTTTAATTAGTCTCGGTGTTTTAGTGTAAATCCTCATATTGATAACCAGGAGCCTATAACTCCGTGATAACATATTCGTCTTTAATTGTTGTTGTTTTTTTCCAACTTCTTTCCTCATCCAGTTCGTTTATGCTGTCCGAAAGGAGGAGCATACACCAATGTATTAACGTTTTTGTTCGAAGTATTTTTAATGGCTCCTTGTCTGGCGTGCAAGTGGGCTTCAGGAAAACGAAGAAGCCATGGAAATTCAGCTTCCGGCAAGCCTCGCTATGGCGGGACAGATGAGGTAGAATTGGGATCTAAATGATACCGGAGCGAAGTCATAGATAAGGCGAGAGAGGCTAGTATTCGGCTTAGTACCTTAGCGTTTTCACTTGCCTCAGACCGGATTTACAAAGCTTCTGATCCTAAGTGTTGTTTGATGGCATTGATTAAATAACAAACTGACGGTCCCGAAGGAACCCAGTTGGCTTTGTTTCCTGAGAATCTTGGCTTTACCTTGTAAATCACAAGGAAACTTACGGCGTTACAACCAGGGTGACGGCAACGAAAACGTCAAAAAACAACAACTCTGCACGTGCGTCACGCTTTTCTGTCAATTCAATTTCCCAACCTTTAAGGGAATGAACGAGTTGGAATAATCGAGGAAAAGATTGCAAGGACGCGAAGTCAGTTAATTTCCATAGACGTTTTCATTCGCGTCATCCTGTTTTCAGGTGATTCGGCCGAGAAACAAAACTAACTAGCCTTGAGAGACGCTTCGTATGGTGTTTTGTTGCGATTATACACAGGAAAAAATAGCAGATTCCCATTTTTGGATATTTTAGGGTATTTAAAGAATACCCACAAAAATCCCAAATTTGGAAGAGTGAGACAAGTCCCAATCAGGGAACTTGGTTAGGAATTCCCTGGTTGGGACTTGTCTCACTTTGCCAAATTTGGGATTTTTATGGGTATTCTTTAAATACCCTAAAATATCCAAAAATGGAAATCCGTTATTTTTTCCTGTGATAGCCCACTAAGAAAAACTTCTACGCCTACAGAGCGGTCAACATTCGTTAGCAACAGTGCGCTGTTATTCTATGACGTCACAGCCGTTTAGAAATTTTTAGCGGGCAACAGCTGCATTGTCAATGAGAGTGCACATTGTTTGGGAAAAAGTCCAGCTACCTGACAACACTTAGGATATTTTTCTTATATCCGTGGTTCCCTGATTGCGTGACACACACTTCCGCTCCAACCTTCTCATCGTGGAAGAGAGAAGGCTCAGGTACTAGACTGAATCAAATTTTGCAATATTATTAACAGACGTCTGGTTTAAAAAGTTAGTTTGAATACAACAAAGAAAAAATTAAATTTTATTTATTCTTTTACAAAATGTAAACTACTTATTTTGCCAAACAGTTTAGTTTTGACCATAAACAATTTATCGTTTCTATGCTGCAGAAAGGAAAAAAAGATATTCTTAGACAAATTGAAATTATAAGTTTTTGCCTAAATTTCACGTTTGCAATATTTGAAAAAAAAACAATAATGGCGAAGGTCTAGCTCAATTTTGTATACCAACCCGGCGTTTAAAGCAATATTCACACTGTACCGGATAGGTTTTCGTGCCGACGAGAAAAGGTATCCGTTTAGTATGAGACCTATCCGATATGTGACTCTCCCGGGGGGGTACTCCTGGGTATTCTTAGTGGGGGTGTGACGACCGGTTCTCCAAATCCTGACCCTGTTGCAGACCAAAAAATGTCATTTTCCACACCCATTTTTAGACATGGTGGTGGTCACAAAACGCAACATTACACGTTTACATAAAACAGAAATTAATGTCATCGTTGCTCAGAATAAAACGGCAAACGTAAACAAAAACCAATACCCGTTTTCAGACCAAAACGGCGCAAAAGCTCTACCCTTTGGGGCGGCACACACTTATGTGGCTTATATAAGGGATTACCCCCCTCCCCCCCACTCCGGGTGACTCTCCACTTTACAGATCGGTGAGGCGCAACTTCACTCCGTTACAAACATCGCGCCGAAATCACGTTTCTTATGTGTGAACCAAAGCCCTATCCGTTATGGTTTTCGTGCCGGCGCTAAAGCTATCTGCTGCAGTGTAAACATAGCCTTAAGGTGATGTTACATGGGACGATTCGTAACGATGATTTTAAGTGCAACACGGCGTTGCAATATTGGAACACTGTTGTAACTATTCGAACCAATGTCGCAACAATGTTGCAACGCTGTGTTTCGCTAAAAATCGTCGTTGCAAATTGTCTCGCGCAATATCACCTTTTAGAATCATAAAATTCCGCAGTAAGACGGAAAATAAGGAACGACAATTTCAATCATAGGGTTTGTGGCTTATCTTTAAGTTAAGGGCCAACACAAAAAAAGCCTTGTAGAGAGAATTTCCACAACAAATTTAGTTCTCATTTTATTCATTTACATTGTAAAAACTAAACCGGTAAGCTTTAAATTTGTAAGAGATCTTTAACAACATTATGTTACATGGAACGATATTGTAATTAAAGTAACATGAAATTCGGATTCGGTTGTACATAGCACTTAGAAATATTACATTGGAATTAAAAGAATCTATTGCCACAAGCTAATCTAGCTATTCAACCACTTCTCGATCGTATCTTCGACACTATGGGCATACAGATAAGTCCACAGCGGCTGGATTCACGGTAGCCTACCACACAGACGTCCTGTTTTGTTGGCTCGTCACGCAATCCTCTCCTACCAACGTGGGGTAGGAATGCGTGACGAAACCCTAATTACGTCTCCCTTGGAGGCTAGATTCACGGAGTCACGGCCTCGTTTCCAGGAGGTCTCCCCTGTCCCCGTTCCGGAAACGAGTTTGAAGGAGGAGCTCCGATGTAGCGTTAGGTTAACTGGAAACGTCAGTTGTTTTTTGTCATTTACAGTTCATTATGACTAAAAAAGTAAGTAGTTTCAGGTCCATTTGATCCGTTAGAATTATTTTGCACAGTTTTATAGGCCTTTTTCTAATTTGAAAAATTGTCTCCTTGAATCTCACTATCGCCGTTTGCCGTAGACGCGATATTCTAAATCTGTTTCATAGTTCCGTGATCAATGGGAGCCCTTGCACGTATAGTAAGTAATTACTAAGCTTTTGATCAGTTGTGTAGGAGCTGCTCGTAAGGTCTTTCCTGATTGGTCGCAGAAAACAATGACATGTCATTCTTTCAATTGTTTCAGTATTGTTTAGGGTCAAGGTTAGGCACCATTGGTGACTTCTCTTCCAAGCAGCTGCTAAATGCCCCCCCCCCCTTTTGATTGAGTCTATTGTTTTGAAACAATACTTAAATATGTTGCACCTTAGCTTCGAAACACTGGCCCTAATTAGAAATCGTAAAACACCACGCCACTGCTTTAATCGAAACCCTGAGTTATTTAAGCCAATATTTTGCCTTAAGTGAGAAGTAAGTGTTAATGTTGGCTTAGGGAAGGGATAGGTTGGCACTTTTCTAGCAAGCTAAATAGATCCCAACATAACAGTCTAAAGAAGGGAAATACGAGATACCACACCAAAAATTAGAGAAATGAACTTTATAGTACAATTCTGTTTAAACCTTTTATCCTAGAAGAGAAAAATGTATAACGAAATTTTCGCGCTCTACTGAATCCTTCAGTATTTAGCTGCCCCTCCCTCCACGTGACACCAAGGTGGGGAGGGGGTTAGGACCCGTTACTGTGGAGGAAAGTGTCACGGGAAAGAGGGTCACCCTCCCAGCCGAGTCAACTCACATGTAAGCGAGTGTTTATATGAGAAAAAATTTGCCCCTTTGCCCAAGCGAAGAGCCGACAAGTACAATTCTGTTTAAACCTTTTATCCCAAAAGAGAAAAATGTATAATGAAATTTTAGCGCTCTACTGAATCCTTCAGTATTTAGCTGCCCCTCCCCCCATGTGACACAAAGGTGGGGAGGGGGTGGGGGGTTAGGACCCGTTAATGTAGAGAAAAGTTGTCACGGGAAAGAGGGTCACCCTCCCAGCCGAGTCAACTTACATGTACATGTAAGCGAGTGTTTATATGAGAAAAAATTTACCCCTTTGCCCGAGCGAAGAGCAGACAGTAGCGCTCGCCCATGCTCTGATTGTCTTGCCTAGACCTGGCTGGGCGAGACAAAAGTGTCTATAAGGAGAAAAGCTGGTCCAGCTAGGACGGTGACCCTACCATCGAAAAAGGGTGACCCGCCTTCTAGCTGAGCCAATGTAAGAAACGTTGGCTTGGCCCGGGTAGCTCAGGTAGGCGGGTGACGCTTTTAACCGCGACACGTTTTCGCCAAATAAATGGGGCCTTTATAACCATATTATATTCGCAAATCTTATGGAGGTTCTCTTTCGTTATCACCAAGTACGCTCTAAGCTGAGGAGACACACAGCAATTACCCAGTCAGTATGAACAAGAGAGCTATAAACACCATGTGTCCCCGTTTACTACTGTAATACAATGTAAGAATTTATATTGGACACCGGTCAATTTGCCAACGTGTAAGAAAAGCTCGCATATTTTAAACTTGCATACCACTTTGTTTAACTTGCCTATTAACGTAGTGAATATCATTTGACATATCCCTAGAAGAAATAAATGGTTATGTATTTCTAGTCCTTGACTCTTGAAGTCCTAATAGTGACCAACATCAATTTTCTCCTGACAAGATAATTATAGCCTGAATTTCAGACATTAACTCGAGGGGAGAAAGCGACTTGAAGTTATGTCTGAAATTCAGGCTAAAATAATAAAAGGTTATTAGAATTAATAACTTAATCACTAAAGGGAAAATGCTTAGATCTTTGATCAAATTCTCTTAACTAATTCTCTGAGACAAAGCATGGAGATCGGTCTAGAAAATTTCTGTGTGGATCACACAAGAAACAGTGTAAGTTAAACAAAGAAGTACGCAAGTTGCTACATAGGCAAATTGACCATAATCCATTTATATCACATTACGATATCTACATGTCATCCTATGCCAATGCATTTGTGCCAATTCCTCAGAATACGTCACTCTTTCTTCTGCTTTCCACCGTGGCAGATTTGATTTCTTGATGATTTCTGGTTAAACTATAACTCTCAATTACGGATGGTTAGCAGGAACACCTTTCCTGATTTGCCTGCTGGTCTGTATGCAGTGCGTTTGATGGCCGGCCCGTAAGTGGCTTGTGTTGAACTCCAGTCTCAGCAGCATTGAGATCCAAGCTAAAGAAAGCAATATAAAAAAACATATTCACGATGCTGTTTAACCCTTTCAGGTTAGATTTGAGGACAGGAACGAGTACGAGAATTAACTTTTTGTGCGAGTTCTAAAAAAAACACCTTGGAAAGTATCAGTTTACTTTTTTCAACAAAAAGTTAGTACGGTTATTTATACTGAAGGGGGTTAAGCCCTCTCCTGATAACAAAATTACATTAAATTTGATAACTTGTTCCCGCCACTACGACATTCTCGCTAAAACTCGTGGTAGAATGACGACGGCTACCACGTTTTCCCGCCAAAATGACGCTGGTTCACGCGTGAGTATTGAGGAAATCCCGTACTCGTAGTTGTGCTCGTCTCAGAATCTAAAGCTTTCTAATAGACCTTATTCGCGATACTCGCCATCTTTGCACGCGCGTTAGGATTGATGGGTAAAAGCAATGTCACGTGGTATTTCAGGGGGCAAACAAGTGATAAAATTTGCCAATACAAGTAGTCACTGTCGGGTTTGTTTATTCGCTCAAAACGAGACGACGATTTGATAGTAAAGCAAAGTGTACAGCTAAAGGTCGAATTTACTCAAGTTTCGCGTCAATATTGCTTGCTGTGAGGAAATGTACGGTCGCTACTGCATTAACCTGAGATAAGGCTCAATTTTCGTTTCGCTTTGTAATAACATTCCGGCGGGCAAGGCGAAACGAAAACAGAGCCCCAATTTTAGCGGTAGCCGTTAGAGAGAATGCATGAGAACCGCTAAAATTGGGCCTAGTCTCAGGTTACTACTGCATCCAAAACAGTAACAATGATCACTTACACCTATGATTTGCCATTATCGTTTTTAAGATAAAAAGTTGTTCATTTTCTGTTGTCTAGAATAAACAAACGCGTCCGCGATTTCTTGCATTGGCGGCCTTTACCACTTGTTTGCTCCCTGAGAAACCATGTGACATTGCTTTTACCCCATCAGTCCTCAAGCGCGTGCAATGATGGCGGGTATCGTGAATAGGGTCTGTTAGACACCTTTAGATTAGAGGACGAGAACGGCTACGGGATTTGATTTAAAGTTCTTTTCACGTATTGTCAAAAAATAGACACCCAGGAATTCTTCATTGTACTTTTTTTCTCCAGAAAATTTAGCACTGTTATCGTTTTTGAAGGAGGTTAAGACCTCTCCCGATTGAAAAATGCTAAAACTTCTAACATTTGATAACTTGTTCCCGCCACTACGACATTCTTGCTAAAACTCGTGGTAAAATGACGACGGCTATCACGTTTTCCCGCCAAAATGACGCTGGTTCACGCGTGAGCAATACTCAGTATTGAGAAAATCTCGAACTCGTAGTCGTTCTCGTCTCGGAATCTAAAGGCCTCTAATTATTAGATAGCTGAACCCATGAGGAGGCAAGACGAACTGAATCCTGGCTACCTGAGCGGCCAAGACGGGCCCATCAAGAAAAAGTTATCTTTTCAGACACATTATGAAGACAGCTAAATGTCGACCTCTGTCATTTTCGAGTATTTATTGACCTTGACTTCGTCTTGGTCAATTAATATACAAGAAAGAACTTGCAGGGCTGTGCTTTGGCAGAGCCTGGTGGACCCTGGCACCGAACTTTTACCCTTGAGCGAATAGAAAATCTTACTTTTTTCATACAAATCATATGCTGGGCACCCAAGATTTGACAGTTTCAGAGCAATGGGCTCCCTTGAATTTTCCTTAGAGCACAGCCTTGACTTGGCTGAAATAAAGCCATCTTAACTTAACACTTATCCATTATTCAATACTCATAAAAATTCACAAAAGGACTTTTGTTAAAATACTGGGTTAAACTTCAGCTGTTAGTCTGTACCTTCCATCTTGAATATTTTGGTAAATCTTCTTTGCAGTTTCAAGGAAAGCATCCTCGACATTTTCACCACTGCAAATGAACAAGGTCAATGAAATAATTATTTTTATTAAAAACTGAATCATTGGATAATGCAATTCTAGAGCTCCGATTGGCTTAGCTACATTGTATCATGGTATATGAGCCATTATACCATGCTCTCCAAATAGTATGCGTCTGCTCAAAATTAAAAACAAGCTGAAAATCGGTTGCTTTTACAAATAAAGTCGAGAAGAATTCTCGATATTTTGTGGGCGTTTTCCACTCACAGTTGTTGGATATGAGATGATTATAGCCAATTTGGCGCTACGCACCTTGTTGGCTATCTACCATCTCATATCCAACGCCCACTCATGTAATAATTGTTAAGTAACCACATGCCATCAGAAACTCCAATGACTGATTCAGAACAATAATTTCCATTGTTACAGCACATTTATGTTTTGAGAGGACTCACGTTTTTGCACTTGCTTCACAGTAAAGAAGTCCTAAAAGAAAGAAATAATTATTGACATCATTATTATATCCATATGTAAAGTACATTAATGTGTAGATACATACATGTACATTGTACTCACTTATGGCAGTCACATGCAAAGAGAAACAGTCATTCAGAGGTTCTAGATATCCATTCAAATCATGTAAGGTCTCAGAAGACTTCACTTTTGCTGTGTAGCTGGTCTACATCTGTATTCATAACTTTAGGCCTAGATTTTTGATAGTTTTTTTCTTAGTAATGCTTGATTTTCCTTTTCCCACTCTTAAAGTATTCACAATTGTAAGTAGGTTTCTATCGTGGACATATATTTAGTTTTTAATTAGTATCTTAGAATTCAGAATTGTGAAGAGGTTTTGCCGGAAATTTGTATTTATATAATATTGATGTGGCCGTTTTATTTTTATGAATATTTTACAGAAGTTTTGTGTGTAGTTTTTATAAGATTTTTATAAGATTTTAAGAGAAACAGTAAAACATTGATTTAAAATTTGATAAAATGCTCGAGAAAATAAAAAATACAACATAACATACAAGGAATGACAATATTATTTTTTTAAATGATTATCAGACAACATTTCCAATTTTCCTCCTTTTTTCGTTTTCCCACGACAAACTGACTATATCAGCAACTACTTTTGGCAGAGAAAATAAAAAAGGTTGCAGGTACTTGCCATTCTCTTCTGCAAACTGTTTGGCTTCCTCATAGGTTACATCTCTCTATTTGGACAGAAAATAGTTGTTTGTAGTTAACTCAGGTGTTCAGAATGTAGCTTTGACTCACTCACATTTTCATAAACAGCATCGAATGATGTTACATGTAATTGTTTGCTTTGTTAACACTCACCTGAGCATCCAGATCTGACTTGTTCCCAATAAGAAATATTACCTGCATTTAAATGCAAAAGACAAAATTAACATTGAGCCACTGTGAAGTAACCATTGTCCAAAAAATCCTGTTTAATCTTGTATAAACCTTATGCTTCTTAAGAGAAAAAAAACCTGTTTTGCTTACAGAGCCTTACAATCTTGTTCTTGACAAGCACCTTCAAAATGCATCAATTGAAAGAAGCAACTAGTATGACACTTTGATGACATTACCGTGTTGGGGTTTGTTAGATTCCTTGCATCGGTAAGCCAGCTACTTAAATGATTGTAAGTGCTTCTCCTAAAGAACAACAAATATAGGTGGTTCGTCAATACATTTAAATGAAACAGGCCAACTACCCTGTGATATCTGTGACCAAAAAAGCTTTCTACTTGCCACAGATGATGATGTCAGTGACTTGGCTTTCAGGTAGATTTCCATTGTCGCATAATGTTTATGTGTGTACCCACATAAAGTTTACGCATCTAAATAAAATAGAGGCAATGTATGGAAGGTTGTGCATAAAATGTAAAAGTTGAACCTTGCTCAACTTTTAGGTATTTACACAAGGCCTTTCTTACATCACCTCTATTTTATTTATGCGCATAAAAAATATCTGACAGTAGAAATCCACCTTTACTCTGATAGAGGCTAGATGTTAGCAGGGCTGTCATTAAGTTTTGAAGCAGAGGTAACATGAAAGATTTCAGTTCCAAAACACGGCCTATGGCCATGCAACGAAGGCCGCAAGGGCCTGAGTGTCTGGGGAGGTCTAGAAGCATGTCCCCCAAGAAAATGTTTAAAACTAGACCCTTGGAAATGCATTTTCCTGCACTCTGGGGAAGGAATTCCTTTATTTTCTTAATCATAAAGTAATGCTGATAAATCAGGGCAAAAACATATACAGTGCTTACAAAAATAGGCAAATACATCATCAAAGTACTTTGTCTCACAAACTTCACAATTGGTCCTTTTTACTGTATCTGTATTCACAGGTGGGGCTTAAACATTCTGCTTATAATATTAATACATTTATAGCCTTAATTGACAGTGCTTCAGGGATCTGTCCAGTGCATTTTAGTGACTTTGTGGCAAATTAATTGAGAAAATAATTTTCTACCTTCCACAGGCTATAGCAGGGTTGTCAGAAAGGTTTGAGATAGACGGCTGAGTCGTCAAAGAAAGCGGCCAGTCCAGGGATATTTTATTTAAAAATTGCCATCTGTTAAAGAAATGCCAAGCAGTGTAGCGGCCAATACCAAGTAGGTGGCCAATTTTACCGGCAGCCGGCTACTTTTGACAACCCTGCTATAGTGATAGGACTGAATGGAGTACATTTCAGGGAGTAATCAGGTGAGTAATTTCAAATCAGCTGAGCGCATAGCTTATTTTTTCATTGACAGATTACTTTTGATTGGTTATCATGCGCTATGTAGTTAAATTTCATTGGCTAGTGGCATTTCTTACTTGATTTTCATTGGTTCTTTAACTGTTCGATTTGACCTGTCCGATTACAAGCTCCTGGTAATCGGACAGGTCAAATCCGACAGTTTTGGAGTTATAATAGCAAAATTAACCTATAAAATGGGTTATTAAGAAACAATCAGAAACAAGCCTATTGCTATTGACACAATTAAAACCTAAACAAAGCCCCTACTGAATGGCACCTCTTAAAAAAGGTTACTTTTTCATTTGGTAAATACCAAAACCATCCCCTTAAGGGTTGATACATAGTGATATAATAAGATAAATATCTCGACACTTCCCATCTCAGTGTACCAGTACATGTACAGGGTCGTCAAAAGTAGCCGGCTGCCGGCGAAAATCGCTGCCTACTTGGTTAGTATCGGCCAGCTACTCTGCTTGGCATTTCTTTAGGGATGGCGTTATTTAAATGAAATATCACTGTTCACCAACAAGATCGGAAGAAAAAGACCATAATTTATTCTCTGGATATTCAGTAATTTTGGGGAGAAAATAGCCTGGAGAGTGCAGAAAACAGCATTTCAGAGTATCTAAATATAAACATTTCTGGGGGAGCCTGCCCCTAGACCCCCCTAGAGGCTTGCCCCTTCGGCGCTTGGCAGCACCTCCAGCGCTGGCCCCTTACTTTGACAACTAAGGCGTCTACTTGAATACTTTCTGACAACCCTGCATGTATATCTACCATTAGTATTTACCAAATCAGTGAATAGCAATTTTTGATTGGCTCCTGTAACTCGGAATATCCCTGGCTATTAACAGTACTATTTTGCGACCGGAGCCAAGATGGCATCTTGTTTCGAGACATTATTTTTTGGAAGATGAAATTTGTGCGAAAAATGAAGCAGTCGTACAAACAATTAGCAAGAAAGCGACAAACTTTGGCTAGTAAGTGTTCACTGGTTGGTAGAAAATTATTTTCATGCTAAATTTGCAACAAAATCGTAAAATGCACCTAGCAAAATCACCGAAATGTTGTCAATATTATTGTAAACAAAATGCCTACTAAGTGACGTTTTTAATCTACAAAAAGTTACTTTTTTTCAGTTTTATCCAACTGACTTGGTGAATAGTAAAACAACTATCCCCCTCAGGGTCGGTGAACAGCACTAGATATATACCTCAACGCTTTTCTGGGGATAGTTGTATACTATTCACCTCTTATTTTGGGGATAGTTGTACAGTGGAAACTCAGTTTAACAAACCTCTATATGGCAAAGTCCTTGGTATAACAAACAATAATTCTAGTCTCAGTAAGAGTAAAACATATGGTAAAGAACCTTGATATAACAAAATCTCCTTATAGCGAACATTTTTTCTTGTCAGTCCCTTAACCCTTTGTTATATCAAGGTTCCTCTATATATTAGCAAGAGATCATTGTTGAATCACCTTGTGATATCATATACCATAAGGGCACCAGCAGCCCCTCTGTAGTAACTTCGTGTTACAGCTCTGCAGAGTTGAACAAGAAAATGAAATGAGCAACTTACTGATGGAAGCATTAAGTAACACATGTTATTTGAAAATATACAATGTGTATCCAAGTCAGATCTCACACTAACACCAGACAAACTAGATTATACACTGTGCATCCTGTATCCTACAGTTTCCATACCTCATGCAAATGGAAACTCCCAATGGTCTCAGCAAGGTAGCCAACATCTACCACAATGGGAACATCTTGGACATTTAATAATAAGATGGTTACTCTACAACTTCAATGGTGATGACAGCAATAATAATTATTAATCTTGTCCAGTTTCATGGATGGGTACTCTGGTCTGTGAATGCTTGTCAGCACTTAAGTCCCCATTTCAAATAAGCTTTCCAATTAACTACACTGGATACATCAGATATTAGGGAAAGTATGGTCACATGCACTACACCAAAATCTCCCATGGTAAAAGGCCTATGGTCATTTACCGACGTAAAAGTGTCCCATGTAAAAGTACTTATTGTTGAAGTTGCTGAGTTAGTTCTTGGGACATTGAGCTCACTGCCAATGGTCAGTCTAAATAAATAAACTAGCTCTAACTACTGAGCTATAGGTTCAATACAGCAAGGGACAATCATACCTGAATCTCTCTTGTCCTGCTGTATCCCATATTTGAAGCTTGATCTTTTGACCTGAAACTTCAATTATTCTTGTGCCAAACTCCACACCAATAGTATGAGGACAGTCTGCCATAACTGCAATAGACAAGGTGATGTCAATGACAGAAGTGCATGTTTAAGTGTGTTAAATGGTTAACACCAACAGCATACAGTACCATTCACCTGACTGAGTCTTGCAGATCTCAATTCCTTATTTTTGCCAATGTCTTTATTGGCCTGACATGGTATGATAATCTCAGAATGAAACAAGGCCTTAAGGATGGACATTCATAGTAAAATCTTTCAGCTTTAGTCTACTCATCCTCGGAGACCCAGGGGCAGTCAGTCGGGTCGATAAAATGTTCGTGGTGAAAGTTTACTGTAAGATCGAGACGAGCCCCTGGGCACTTACTCTTACCGAACCAGTTCCAGAAGCGTTTGAATTGCCTGCTTCTGATTGGCCAGAAAAAAATTTTTCTGGCCAATCAGCGAAGAGAAGCTGCCGGGTGACTCTCGTGTTTTCTTACACGACGTAGTTTTCCTCATCGATCGCTATAGTTGCGTAGCGCGTTCAACGGGAAAGTTTCCCGAGGAAAGTTTCAGAACAAAATGTTAACAACCCGCTAAAACTACAACCTTTAGCACGGCTACAAGAAACAAACACTCTGATGAATTTTTAAGGCGGATCTTTCCAAGGTATCGTAAATTTTTATTGCTGATACGATACGCGATGCATGACTTTCACTTTCCACACCTTAATTTGCTCACATTGTTTAGTATACAACTCCAAGTTTACATTTAGATGTCCATGTTCGTTGCACGACTTCTGAAACTTTCTACAGCGTGAAAATTTCCGTTGCACGGGCCACGAAACTACGTCGATTGATCGTGGGAAATGCCGGCTAGCGCATAGCTGTAGTGCCTTCTTCTTGCTTTTGCTCCAAATTTTAAGCTTAAAAGCTTACAGCAGTTGACCGTACGAATTCTGCGAAGTTGATAGTAGTGTTAACTTTAGATTCGAGGGAACGTCCAGCAAGCGCTTGAAGAAGGCTTGCAAAGATTTGTTATTGAGAAGATTGTGAAAAGAAGAGATGTTCTTGGGCAATTGATAGAAGAGTCTAACCTTCCAAATGTTGCCTGTAAGCTAGGGGGTTTAAAAATCGTTAGATGCTAAAGGTTATGAATTCCCTTGTATTCCTTTGGTCATAGTGATTTCATCTCTCATGTCAGTTGTTGAGGACCAGGTAAAGTACTCGAGGTCACTAGGAATTCAGGGCGCTTACTTAGGGGAAAGCAAAACGAAAGATCGAGAAATATTGAATGGATAGGGAGCGTTTTCTTTGTTGTATGGAAGCCCGAAATCATTAACTGGGGGACAAGAAATTCAGGGCAATGTTCTCTACGGAGTTTTACCAGAAGAATCCTGTTGCAGGTACATACAGCTGTTCATTGGTAAGTATGCTGATTTGTTTACTAGAAAGGGTACTACACTGGATTCATTGTGGGGAGTTCTGAAGGGGTAAAATGGGATTTAAGTCACTGGCAGGGGGATTCTATCACTGAGAATGGAAAAAAATGTAAAAAATGGGAATTGAGGGTTAAACAGTTTCAATGGGATTGTTATCCCCTCTACAGGACCCTCATTATACTTAACAGTAGATCTGGCTTTTATTCAAGGATGCTCAGTAATGTTGTCTAAAAGCTGACAGACACTTCACAAGAATTATCATGTTTTTTGTCACCATCTATTGACAATTAAAAGCTGATAAAGTAAGCCTTGTGACTGCTTAAGATAATAGTGCAATTGAACATTTACATATTACAAATGGAAAAACATCCCGTAATACAGAACTACAGATGCCATTACATTAATTTTATTTTTAAGCTGTTGAGATTGTTTTTTTTTTACTTTATCATTATTGGAATTCACATGTCTACTTATACTACTGCTTGACTTATAGAAATACTAGGGAGCTTCAATATTTTATTTTATTTTAACAACAACTTGCAGAAGAGAAAAAAATCCTTCCTTTTTTGATGACAGTAATGAAAACAGCAGAATCATTCCAAGCCACTTATGTTGTGACATCAGTGCCAAAGACTGTTAGTCTGCTTAAAGAAAATCAAGATGATCTGAGACAAGAATTTCAAGAATCAAATCTTCACTGCTTGTATTCTAGAATTTGTATTCTCTGATTGTCTTCTATAGGAAACAATAATTGTTAATTGTCATAAATTATGTACTGTGGAAGGTATTTTAGAGACACTGTGTGTAATGGTGACCATGCAATGAAGATTTTTACCTTTCTGAAGAGGGTGTTTAAAGATTTAGAAATAATTATAAATGAAGAATATTATTGTCAGACGAGGAGAATTATAATAGGGAAGTTGTAAAATATCAAAAAAATGCACCAAAGGAAAATTGTTAATATTGCAGCATTATTCTTTCAAAATAAGTCCAATCTTGTAACATCAATTGCAAGGGAGTTAAAACAATGGCACTGTGGATGTGTTTGAGGGGGTCAGTAGGGGGAAACATCAAGCCAATCATAGATAAAAAGTTTGGCAAAAAATCACATATTATGTGAAATTAATTTTATACATGTATTTGTTAAAAGATATCTTATAATGAAAATTCATTTGTACTATATTAGCCATAATTCTAATCACAGTGAAGATTAACCCAGTAAGCCAGACCCTGACCCAGGTCCTTGAAATCAAGAGCTGAAGTTGGATCTTTGGAAAGTGTCCCTATTCCTTGGTCTCTTCTCCTGGAATTTCCTTAAGAGCGTTCACCTCTTGTAAAGTTTTAGTGACTACAAAAATATCTATATAGACCTCCCACCCTTCCACGATTTCTCAACTCTATACCTACACGTGTCACACCCTGCGCCTTTTATCGCCCTCCAAAACTTTCACACCAACCACTTTCAAACATTTTTTCGCAAACTCAACTTTATTTTTTCTTTCGCTTATCCGTAAAAACAAACCCACACAGCCTGCAAAAATCGACCTCACTTAAAAGTCACGATTCAGCACATAACCGGACCGAGATTTCGAACTAAACACAACGGCTGTATTTAAAGTACTTACGGTAAAGGAGTTTGCTTGTGAAAGCAAGAAGGTGCGCACTGCATCAAGCCAGCAATTCCCACGATCAATCGGCGCAGTTGCGTGGCCCGTGCAACGGAAATTTTCACGCTGTAGAAAGTTCAGAAGTCGTGCAACGAACATGGACGTCTAAAATGTAACCTTGAGTTGTATACTAAACAATGTGAGCAAATTAAGGTGTGGAAAGTGAAAGTCATGCATCGCGTATCGTATCAGCAATAAAAAAATTTACGATACCTTGGAAAGATCTGCCTTAAAAATTCATCGGAGAGTGTTTGTTTCTTGTAGCCGTGCTAAAGGTTGTAGTTTTTGCGGGTTGTTAACATTTTGTTCTGAAACTTTCCTCGAGGAACTTGCCCGTTGAACGCGCTACGCAACTATAACGATCGATGAGGAAAACTACGTCGTGTAAGAAAACACGAGAGTCACCCGGCAGCTTCTCTTCGCTGATTGGCCAGAAAAATTTTTTTTCTGGCCAATCAGAAGCAGGCAATTCAAACGCTTCTGGAACTGGTTCGGTAAGAGTAAGTGCCCAGGGGCTCGTCTCGATCTTACAGTAAACTTTCACCACGAACATTTTATCGACCCGACTGACTGCCCCTGGGTCTCCGAGGATGTAGTCTACTGTATCTTACTGCACTTTTCAGTAACACACGAACTCTGAAGTTTAAAAGCCACCTTCACAATTGCGATTTCACTGCCGTCAATCGTAATTATGATCATAAGCAATGAAGCTTAAAACACCGAGACTACAAAACCCTTAACCTTTGAACTCGTTGAAGAAAACTTCTGTTTTCTAAGAGGTATGTAATAACGATTGACAGCAGCAAAGAACAAAAATTTTAGTTGGCTTTTTAACTTCAAAATTCGCCTGTTTTTGAAAAGCGTAGTAGGGAAAATTTCCCTCTTTTGAGGCTACAACGATTCTTCCAATGTTAAGTTACTACCAATATTTCCTACGCTGTTTAGTGAACTGATAAGTTTTTTATTATGACTTCTACTCAGGGTTCACAAATACGCTAATATTTTTAAGATGACTCCAGAAATTTTCAGTTGAAAAATAGTTTTTTCCTTACCTTTTTCAAAACAAAGACAATCTATATCAACTGCAAAATGTTGTAAACCTGATTTTAACCACTCAAATTGAAGAGTTATTCACGTGTATATCACTAAATTACAGTTAGTAATGATCATCATCATGGATTTGAGCCTTTAGAGGTCAGCAGACTCTCACATGAGAATGTAGCTATTTCAGTTCCATCATGATAGCGTATACATGCCTGTACTATGCACTGAAATGGCTTCCTGGTAGAAAAGACTGAGTGAAGAACTGCCAAAGAAAGTGTTACTTGACTCCCAATATTCCAAATGTCTCCAAAATTTTTCAAGCAGAAGTCGCACTGACTTCACCCATCAATAAAATTTGCAAACCCTGCTTGTACTAATGGTATTTCCATTTACAATGCAATCTAAGACATCTAGGTTGTGCTTACATTTCTTTTCTGTAAATTGATGAAGAAGACAAGATTTACCTACACCCATGTCACCTGTTAGAGAGAAGATAAGATTTAATAGTGCTTCAGCATAAATAAAATATTTAAAGACATTAAACATAACAAGTACCAGGATGCCAGCAAACTGAACATTAGCAAAATTACTTGTAGGTTAAAGGACCAGCCTTTATTTACAGTGATTTACTGAATTATTACACTGAACGTCCACAGGGTTATTGGCAGAGGCTGGCCACATAATAGAGGCACAACTGTAGTTAAAGGTGTTTTCACTGCCTGTCAGACTTCAATCCCATCACATAGCTACATGTAAAGGTGCATCAACTGCTTACTCATATAGCCATTGCATTCACCTGATGGAGTGTTTTTTAAATGTTTTAAATCTAAAACCTGCAAGCATGATGGCCAAATGAGCACGTTGCAAATGAATAGACCTCAATTTATTTGGGTAAAAACGTAGCCTGTGACATTTTGTGGATTTGTGGATAGAATTCTTTATTTTGCCTATGTAATACAAGTGTAGGTAGTTCATCTACCCAGATAATCGCTTGTCACAGTAAACTCTCTATATATACCGGTTAGCAACAGGACGGGGCATGTAATTGGAAGAGAAGTTGGCAGTGACCTTCTCAAGATAGAAACCTCAAGGCTATTCATACTGGGGTAATATTTACGTAAAGCCCTATACATTTATTTTATGAATGCTTACACGTTTCGACTCGTAATAAACAAAGAAAATTTAGACGGAATCCATCAGGAAATTAAGTAATTTTAATTTTCAGTGGACAAAAACCTTGTAGCAGAATAATTCAAACAATATTGCCTTCTTTTTCACATTTTTCAAGGGCTAAAGATGTAATTTGTCATCTGTAATAACACCAAAGAAAATTTCTCATGGGACCCAAGAATCTCAAAGTCGAATTTCACAAGAATTGTGAAAACACAGGTAAAATTCTGAAAATTTCTTGTGTAAGATGTAATTTTGTGAAATTTGAAATTCATTTTCTCGGATTCTCATCGGAAATTTTCTTGGGTGTTACTGCAGATGATTTATTACATCTCCAGGCTTTGAAAAATGTAAAAAAGAATGCAATATGCTTTAAATTATTCTGGTCAGCATGCAAACAAAGCTGTGTCCAATAGCCCAGGGAGAGCAGAATTGGCAATCAGGCTAGTCAATGGGTGATTCCAGAAAATATCCATACCCTACCACGGGTGGCATGAGTATTTTAACCCCCCCTTGCCCTCGGAAATTCCAAAATGTTCATCCCACCCTTGCTCTCCGAATTCCAAAATCGCTAACCCCCCCTCCCCTCTGGAATTTTCCACTTTTGTTTCAGACCCTTTGGAATTCCTGTTCGTCTGTCTAAATCTTTAGACGAACGAGAAACTTGCCCTTTTTCCCTCTGCAAAAGAATTCTGTTCACAATTTTTAGTCAGACGATCAAGCAACTCAAGTTTGTTAAAGTTAGTACACCGTAGCTATTCCTTCTAAGCATTATCTTTAAGCTGCTTACCACCTAATAGAACTTTTTGTTTTCCATTCAATACCGTCATATTTTCAGGAGTAGATCGTATTGATACCAGTGGACGCTGACAAGAGTTAAGTTTACGATCAATATTCCGTCACCCGCCATATTGAAAATCTGTCAGGCGTTCTATTTGGAAACGAGAGACTGGTGCGAGTTTTCAGCACGCAACAACACATCGTCGATCGACAATCGGCGAGAAACACCGACTTGGTTATATTTTTATTAATCAGTTGACTAATTCATCAACTTTAAGGCCTCTTTGATATGGAGCTTGCTGCACAACCCATCTGCATGAACGCATACTTCTTCCGTGGTCGGTTCGTGCTTCATTTACAAACTGGGAATGTTAACAGGTCAGCGATTTCAAGCGGAGCTTTCGCCATCTCTCCTCTGGAAATTCACTGAATTCAGAGCTGAAACACCCCCCCATGCCTTTAGAATTCCAAACTGCGTTACCCCCCCACGTCTTCGGAATTCCAGTCCAAGAAACCCCCCCCTCTCTCTCGGAATTCCAAGATGCTGCCCGTGGTATGGTATGGATATTTTCTGGAATCACCCAATCCTATTCTTGACTTGCCTGAAGGGCAAGTGAAGTTTTTGGAGAAATTCAAATTAAAGAAGAACTGTAATCAAGGCTGCTCATCAAAAATTTTTTGGGGGCTACTTAAAAGACTCTGCAACAACTTGCCTGAATGGCAAGCCATAAAACCGACTTTCTTTGCCCCCTGATTCTGGTACAAGGTTTTTGTCCACTGAAACTTAAAATTATTCAATTTCCTGGTGGATTCTGTCTGAACTTAAACAACTGTGTTAAATCAACCTTCTAAAGAGTGATCTTAATGAATTAAATTCACTAATTGAATGTTTTGGTGACAAAGCAAAATGTTTCGTAAAATTAAATAACTATTATTTGGCTCACCTATTATGATGTATTTGAATATGTAAGAATAGTTGTAAGGTCCTGTCGCCGCCATATCAGGAAAGCTGATTGTAAGTAAAACGAAAATGGCATCAGTAAGTTTTGATCGAGGAGAAATCTGCTTCATATAAGCTTATATGAAGACGGAAAGGAATCAGCGGACGAAGTTCTAAAAATAGTGAAAAAGACAGTGATCATCACAGCCTCCCTTGGCTTTTCTTCAATAACAAGTTTATTTAAGGGACGAAAATAAAACCGACGGTAGCTAGATATGAAAGGTATTGAAAGCCATAGATGAATAATAAATCACTTTATTTATCGCTAAGCGCGTGAAAGCTATAGCCACAGGTAGATGCGGTCAGCAGAAGAGCTGAGCTTATTGCAGTCAATAATGTCACCCACCCCCAGTGTGAATGATCAATAGTGAACTGCAGTAAAAACCGCAGCGTTCAAAGAAAGATACTGAAATTTTACAGCCGAACCTACATATAGTGTAATTTTAAGGAACTCACCTGGTCAGCAAATGAAAATATAAAGCCAAATACGGAAGACGACGATAAGAAAATGGCGGATCCCGTGATTAGGAAATTTGGGGTACTAAGTGCACTGTGGGTAATTTGACTCGGGTCTTATCCGTGTGGATACGAAGGATATCCGGTAAGACAAGCGAAGATAATTCGATTACAACGTAGAACGTTCGATACAAAAAAAAAAATACGCGGCACCCAAGCTCTTGCAAATGGGTTATTCTTTCATGTTACGCTTACGCCAAATAGATATATCCTTCATGTAATAGTAATAGATTGTTTATCTCCCTGTATACCCTGTATACCCTGTATACCCATGTATACCCTGTATACCTATGTATACCCTGTATACCCTGTATACCTATGTATACCCTGTATACCCATGTATACCCTGTATACCTATGTATACCCTGTATACCCTGTATACCTATGTATACCCTGTATACCCTGTATACCTATGTATACCCTGTATACCCTGTATACCCTGTATACCTATGTATACCCTGTATACCCTGTATACCTATGTATACCCTGTATACCCTGTATACCCCTGTATACCCTGTATACCCTGTATACCCTGTATACCTATGTATACCCTGTATACCCTGTATACCTATGTATACCCTGTATACCCTGTATACCCTGTATACCCTGTATACCCTGTATACCCTGTATACCCTGTATACCTATGTATACCCTGTATACCCTGTATACCTATGTATACCCTGTATACCCTGTATACCTATGTATACCCTGTATACCCTGTATACCTATGTATATCCTGTATACCTATGTATACCCTGTATACCCTGTATACCCTGTATACCCTGTATACCCTGTATACCCTGTATACCTATGTATACCCTGTATACCCTGTATACCTATGTATACCCTGTATACCCTGTATACCTATGTATACCCTGTATACCCTGTATACCCTGTATACCCTGTATACCCTGTATACCCTGTATACCTATGTATACCCCGTATACCCTGTATACCCTGTATACCCATGTATACCCTGTATACCTATGTATACCTATGTATACCCTGTATACCCATGTATACCCTGTATACCTATGTATACCCTGTATACCCTGTATACCTATGTATACCCTGTATACCCTGTATACCTATGTATACCCTGTATACCCTGTATACCTATGTATACCCTGTATACTCTGTATACCCTGTATACCCTGTATACCCATGTATACCCTGTATACCCTGTATACCTATGTATACCCTGTATACCCTGTATACCCATGTATACCCTGTAACCCATGTCTACCCTGTATACCTATGTATACCCTGTATACCCTGTATACCTATGTATACCCTGTATACCCTGTATACCTATGTATACCCTGTATACCCTGTATACCTATGTATACCCTGTATACCCTGTATACCTATGTATACCCTGTATACCCTGTATACCTATGTATACCCTGTATACCCTGTATACCTATGTATACCTTGTATACCCTGTATACCTATGTATACCCTGTATACCCTGTATACCTATGTATACCCTGTATACCCATGTATACCCTGTATACCTATGTATACCCTGTATACCCTGTATACCCTGTATACCCTGTATACCCTGTATACCTGTATACCCTGTATACCTATGTATACCCTGTATACCCTGTATACCTATGTATACCCTGTACCCTGTATACTATGTATACCCTGTATACCCTGTATTCCTATGTATACCTATGTATACCCTGTATACCTATGTATACCCTGTATACCCTGTATACCCATGTATACCCTGTATACCTATGTATACCCTGTATACCCTGTATACCTATGTATACCCTGTATACCCTGTATACCTATGTATACCCTGTATACCCTGTATACCTATGTATACCCTGTATACCCTGTATACCTATGTATACCCTGTATACCCTGTATACCTATGTATACCTGTATACCCTGTATACCCTGTATACCTATGTATATCCTGTATACCTATGTATACCCTGTATACCCTGTATACCCTGTATACCATGTATACCTATGTATACCCTGTATACCCTGTATACCTATGTATACCCTGTATACCCTGTATACCTATGTATACCCTGTATACCCTGTATACCTATGTATACCCTGTATACCCTGTATACCCTGTATACCCTGTATACCTATGTATACCCTGTATACCCTGTATACCTATGTATACCCTGTATACCCTGTATACCTATGTATACCCTGTATACCCTGTATACCTATGTATACCCTGTATACCCTGTATACCCTGTATACCCTGTATACCTATGTATACCCTGTGTGCCCCTGTATGCCCCTGTATACCTATGTATACCTATGTATACCTATGTATACCTATGTATACCCCTGTATACCTATGTATGCCCTGTATACCTATGTATACCCCTGTATACCCTGTATACCCCTGTATACCTATGTATACCCCTGTATACCCTGTATACCCATGTATACCCTGTATACCCTGTATACCCTGTATACCCTGTATACCCTGTATGTATACCCATGTATGCCCTGTATACCTATGTACCCTGTATACCCTGTATACCCTGTATACCTATGTATACCCTGTATACCCATGTATACCCTGTATACCTATGTACCCTGTATGCCCTGTATACCTATGTATACCCTGTATACCATGTATACCCTGTATACCCTGTATACCCTGTATACCCTGTATACCTATGTATACCCTGTATACCCTGTATACCCTGTATACCCATGTATACCCTGTATACCTATGTATACCCTGTATACCCTGTATACCTATGTATACCCTGTATACCCTGTATACCTATGTATACCCTGTATACCCTGTATACCTATGTATACCCTGTATACCCTGTATACCTATGTATACCCTGTATACCCTGTATACCCTGTATACCCTGTATACCCTGTATACCCATGTATACCCTGTATACCCATGTATACCCTGTATACCTATGTATACCCTGTATACCCTGTATACCTATGTATACCCTGTATACCTATGTATACCCTGTATACCTATGTATACCCTGTATACCCTGTATACCCATGTATACCCTGTATACCCATGTATACCCTGTATACCTATGTATACCCTGTATACCCTGTATACCTATGTATACCCTGTATACCTATGTATACCCTGTATACCTATGTATACCCCATGTATACCCTGTATACCTATGTACCCTGTATACCCTGTATACCCTGATGTATACCCTGTAGATCCTGTATACCCTGTATATTCATGTATACCCTGTATATTCATGTATACCCTTGTATACCCTGTATACCCTGTATACCCTGTATACCCTGTATACCCTGTATACCCATGTATACCCTGTATACCCTGTATACCCTGTATACCCTGTATACCTTGTGTATACCTTGTATACCCTGCATTCCTTTGTATACCCATGTATACTTATGTACTCCCCTGTATATCCATGTATACACTGTATACCCTGTGTGCCCGGTATAGCCTGTCTACCCTTTAGTAAAAAAATCATGTTTGATATACAAAATAAATCTTTTATGTAAACAATTTAATATTGAAAATAAATCAGTTACTTTTAAAAAAACCCTTCTGCTTTCCTACAGTTTGTCAGTACATTTTAAAAACCACCAAGTCAATCTGATAAGTGCAAACAAAAAAACTAAACTTCTACTCCACCTATAGAAACGAAAAAAAGTACTCTGAATTCATTTAGCATATCAGGAAGCCTGAACATAAACGCATCGCCTTCAAATTTAAGATAGGAAATCACAAATCTGAAAGATTTACAATCCGCAAAACTCCCGAAGACCTAAGAATTTGTGATCACTGCAGTCTAAATTATTGAAAATTAAATACACTTATTGTTTCATTGGTCCTTAAAAAGTCTCTTTTCACTAAAATGAATGACGAAATACGTTATTTACAAATTAAAATACTAATGATAAAATCTGTTTTCTTTTTAATATTAATACTGATTCGTACATGCGCAAGCTTACTGCTACCTTCGTCTTCCAAGTATTTGAGAGACGAAAGAAGAATAATGATAATAATAATCGATAAATTATCCCATTCTATTACATCTGTAACTCCTTTGCAATCTTCGTCTTGATATTATTGTATTTCAGTGTACAGGTAACACCATGTTAAAAAATATATAGTAATACTAAATAAACTTGTTGTTGTTGTTGTATTCTTTGTATTTCCTTTATCTTTCCATTTTCAAGAGCAATATCCTATAAATGCGATATCACAGCGACGTCAGTCATTAAATTGACAGATGATGACAATAGAGGGTCATTTGATAAGGTAGAATTCGTAGCCCTTTAATTATTGCTATCATATAATTTTATTTAATTCTACTCATGTGTCTAGAAAATTTATTTTAATTAGAGAAATGATCGGTAGGGTGAAATTGTCGAAGAATATGTTGGGATTTAATTTTAGGGATATTTATCCATTTGTCGTTTTATTGTTGTTTTGGTTCAGTAGTATTTTAAATGAATAAGATCATTAAACAACATCGATCTAATAGTTAGCATTTCATCATCGATTTGTATATATTTACGTTTTACTAACATTTCAACGTACTTCATAATGTTTTATCCTCAACGAACTATTTCATTAAGGAGGCTGACGACCACCACATCTTTTAGCCTAAAATTGAATGACGAATAGTTTCAAAACCCTCGTTTGCTGTGTTAGCAAGTTTTTAAGACTAAAAGGCTCTTCATATTCAATTCTACTTTCTAAGCCAAACTTTTCTTATTTCCTCAACCTTCAGTAAACTAGAATTTCAAACTGTAGTTTGGCATAAATTTTCAACGAGCGAGTTGCATCTTGTTCAGTCGGCATCTTGTATTGTATTCAACTCTTCAGGACTTTTCAATTTCTCAAATTTTTGCACGAACAAAGAAACCGTACTTAATTCCACATTCTTTTATTTTTTGGGTTCGGTGCAGCTGCAAAGCGCCTACTTTTCGCCTAAACGACGGTATTTGTCTGTGGGAACATTCTCTCTATCGTCTGCACTAAATAGAGCTCAGCTGAGAGCTGCAGTGCTTGTAAACACTTAGTCACTTGAATTTCCACCCTTGAGCTGAACCGACTATCAAGAATACTGGAAGCTTAACTGACAACCGTACGTCCTACTTTGAACCCACTTTAACAATCTGTCCCGTAGAAAAATTGTCTAGATATTTAAACAGATTTCTCCAATCCTGAGAATCAGATGAAATATGTGGACAGCAATGAAGAGTGATATGTTAGCTCGGAAGGTTAACCTCGGTTTATCTGTCAACTTGTGCACTTCCCAGGGGAATTCTTATTGATTTTTCATAGCAGTAACAGTTGTATTAGTTGGGAACAAAAACCCAGAAAGGTAAAGAAAAGAGTGATAACACAATTCGCCCAGAAATTGGCATACTCCTCGTCAAACTACCCCATTCCATACACTCTAGGCCACGTAAGAGAGGCTATATGTAACCCGCAAAGGATACGCTAGGACAAACTGGTCAGTGTGTACGTACTCTTATCATAGTTAGTAGAGGAGACTAATTAGGAAACCCGGCAAACATCAAAGTTGAAAACAATGGTGCTGTAGGTTATGTTGGAAGCACCCTGACCGTGCACAATCCTTTGTTTTCTTTTCACAAATTATCAATGAAGAAATTCATGCAATGTTTCTATTGGTCAAAAACTTCCAAATGATAGGAATGCTACCAAATGATAGGAATGTTGTCTTCTGGTGCTTGGTTGATAGTAACAGCGGGTGTACCATCTGAAGTAGAAACAATATTTCATATACTGTTATATACTGTTTTTAAACATAACTACTACGTATTTCAATATTAATTCTATACCCGTTTCAATGTTGTCTCCTGGTTCTTCGCTGATAGTAACAGCGGTTGTACCATCTGAAGTAGAAAGAATAGAATGATTGAAAGCGCGAAATGGCTCATCCCCAGTCACTGATATCCCATTAACGTACAAACGTAAACGTGATTAATATGATGGTGTAAACCTGAAAGTCTACATTATGACTTCTTCAACAACGTTTTAGCTAATTTGTTTCTAAAGTTTTATGGACGGTCATTCCAAACGTGGCTTTTAGAAATATAATCTAAATAAGAAAAATGCTATTATTTGATTTCTCCTTCCAAACTCGTCACCACATTGTCAAAAGTTAAAAATTTTAAGAAAAATGGTCACGTGACACACAACGTGATGTAATTTAAGATAAACAATTCTTCAAAATGTTAAGGAGGATGGCACCTTTCTGTGTACCAAATATCGATTCACTACCATCTTCTTTGCCAAAGTTATAGCCAATAAAGCATTTTTCCACAGTAAGCTTATACCCAGGCCTTAAACTAGTTGAGTTTCATGAAGAGACCAGTGCAATGCAACTTGAAATAGGAAAAATACACACTTTGGGACTTAATATTAACAGGTGAGCACGACCTCTTAATACAGACCTATTGAATGCAGGTGTCACACACATCTCATGCGCTGTGCATGGCAGGTTTATTCAGACAGATTTATAGTCATGTCCACTCGCCCAGTTTTTTTGTTTTGATCACTCCAAAATGCGAGGACAAAACACATTCATGGTAATTTATAAAAGTGTTTCCGCGCATGTACCGGATGCGCTTCAGTGATGTGTTTTCACTCAACGACTGATTAGTTATCTCAATAGTTTCAATCTTCCTTTAATTTAATTAATTGCGTGATTATTATTAATTTACCTTCGCATTCATCTGAAACTTTCATGCCTTGAGCAATTCGCTTCAGAGACGCTGGCAAGAGATGTTCGGGTAGTCCCAATGCCCTTAGAAACTCGGTCCTACCAACGACGTCTACACCTTTCATTATCTGCAGAAATTTGTATTGAAGATTAGACATCGAGCTGGGATTGGCATACGTAATCGTTCGCCATGAAAACGGAACTAATTAGTCTAACGTACAGTGAAAACCGTGCTGTTCTACTTAACTTCCTGTGACCAATTCTTACCCCGCAAGCACAGGTTGTATGGTTACAAGAGAGATATTCTCTCTTGATGGTTATGAATAAACATGTTACCTTAAAATGATCTTCGTCGGAATCTGGACTCAAAAACCTTTGACGGGTTTTGTATGGCGTCAGCTGCACCTGGTTACCAATGGCAGATTCCATTTGTTGAATGCATCTTTTGTCGTTAGGACTGCCCAGAGCCGCATTTAGAAAGTTGAGGGAAAGACAGATGCAATCCACTCCTTTTATTTTTATTTTTCTGCAAACGTATGACACCTGCGAGAGAAAAAAGTACAGTTTTGATGACGATGTTTAAAAAACAACATTACAAAGGCGACTATGTGTTTTTCAGGACTTGATTATTTTGTCGTACAGTGTATCCAGAGCCAATTAATGAGGCTTAGTTGCACCTAATACTGTTCTACCGAACCTGCTGCACTTGTGTTTTTTTAGACAGTTAACAATTCCAAATTTTCCCTTTATTTCAGTTGCGACCATGCAGACGTATAACTTCTTACCTCTGCTGACTTAATTTCCAAAAATGAGTGTGAAATATATTAACTGAATCCACTTACTTTTACAACGTAATTGAGTGAGATATTTTCGCATCTTTCAGTTCCGACTCCGTATGTTGACATGTATAGCTTTAAATCTTCACAAAAAAATAATTTTTAAAACAAGGATTTTCGCAGACAGTGCTCGACAAAATTTAACTTTTCGAACAACAGGGTCCAGACCAAAAGGTTTCTGTTTGGCTGATTAATATCATTAGATAATATCTTTGCTATTGCCCTGGAATCTAAACCGCTGGCACTGATCGTCCCGGCCACTAGATAGGCGTCCGTTAGTGGCCGGGAGGGACGACAGGTGGTATGGCTGTTCAGCGGTGGTTGTATGCATTGCTAGCTTATGATAGACTGAAATGATTGCCTGTTTACCTCTCTGGGTGTGAAGGTGCTCATCTTTTTAGTTAAAGTTTCCCACACGTTCACATATCCACTCATCTCGTGCACTCCTTGAGTTAGTTTCATTGCGGAGGAGGATTCTGCGTAAATCCTCTTGATGAGAGGAGCAACAGTATCCTCTACATACTGCCACACCAAGTCCATGTCTTCGTCATGCCCCGCTCTTCGGAGCATCTGAAAGATAGCACTTTACAGTTAATTAAACACGCCATTGTTTCAGTGAGGGTAAATGACAATAAAAAAAAGATGAATAACTTTCTTTGTTAAAAAACACAGTTCATACTAATATCAAATATATCTGTATCCTATCACAATATTAATCTTAAAGAACCCTAGTATGTCATCAAAAGGTGCCCGCTTTCCACGAATGCTGTGCATTATAACGATTAGTGTTCATTTTGAAAGAAATCACTGCAGCTCGATTTAAAGGAAAAGAGAGTTTGCGATAACGATAGAAAAACGATAACAATGAACAACAAATATGCCGATCAAATTCTGAAATGAAATTTACCGGGAAACACACAAGCAGACAACACAACTAAAGGTGCTGTAGGTGTTGGACACCAGTCATAGGAAAACAGAAATTTATAAAACATGCGAAAAAACTTACATCAAACGTAAACCAGGCCAATTTTTCATAATTAGCCTGGCTTCGGAGAAGACCATCAAAGATACTGCAAATCCTTGGCGAAATTTCATCATCTAACAGTTCTTGGCCCTCTTGGGAGAAGAAGCGCTCAACCGAGCCCAGTACTTCCAAAAAACCTTTGGAACCTTCCTTCGTTGCTTTCCTCAACTCTGATTCACAACGTCGTCTTTCCTTCGGTTCCAGCTGAGGGCTTGGGGTTTGAAACACGATGATACCTTCTCGAGAGAATATCCTAAAAAAACAAAACGTATTATACACTATAACTGAATATTCATTTTTCATAGTACAATCATCATTTGTATCGAATTTGTAGACACGCTCAACGCGGATGGACTACATATCTTTTAACGTGTTTGAAAAGGCATTCCGAAAACTGTATATACCTGCACAACTGGCATGAGAGTTAGAAATTACAGAAGATGTCTGGTGTTAACAGATTTCGAAAACAAGTTTCCGTCACGGATATAACAAACTTAAATTGTAATAGTTAAAGTTGGTTGTCAGGGTAACAGTGTTGTTTTCTTCCATAATCTGAGTTGCTTTGTTAACTTTTATATTTTGCTGTCAGCATTTCCGATGAACAAAAGGATTAAAATTAAAAAATACTGTTCTCAAGGTTGTAAATGGGCTACGTCGTGGGAACTTTACGATTTTATTTTAAAACCGTGCTAAAATCATAGAACTGTGGTCTGTCCAGGCCCTGTATTCTACGTAGTTTCCCCTCACCTTTTGTGGTTTTCACAGGCAAAGTTGGCTGAGATTATAGGAACTCCTCGAGGTTTTCCTTTAGAAATATAAGTTTCTCTTCCATTCTGCAAATATAATAATTTTTCACTGAGTCTATATTATTGTTAGCCATATGCCCAAAATGTACCGATCAACGATTTAACCCGCCGATTTTTCCTTGGAAAAATTCAGTCACTTACAAGGATTTTTTTTTGCAATGCAGAAACAAAAATGGTGGGTAAAACGTGGCATGAGTTCAACGTCAATAGGGAACTACTGAAAATTAACGTGTGTGAGTTCGCCTGAGTACTCTTGAAATGCATAATTACCATTTGGAAGATTGCCTGCACAATAAATGAGACGTCTTTTGGTGTGGCCGGATCGTCCCATCCGAACGGCAAGCATGACAATCTGCACTGCTCCAGGGCGCTATTTCCAGTATAATCTTACAGAAAAGAAAGAAGTAAAAAGTATTTAAACTGATTAGAGTTAATTACGTCACACACCAAAAAAAATTGACGATATGTTTTAGGCCAATTGAGGCTGGCGGTCTGTTATGACTCTTACCAAAGACAATAATGTTATCCCAGTCTAAGACAGTTATGTGTAGTCAACACATTGAATCTGTATATTCATTTTTCCCTGCATAATTGCTATCATCGTAAATTTCAATATTAAAGCTCCCTTTAACAACTTAGTTACAGTCGAAACTCTCACTGCGACCACTCTCGTAGGCGACCAGCTTTAATTACAACCACCGATGTGAAACACAATTTTAATTTTCACATAAACTCTCTTATTGAGCTCTCGTAAACGACCGTTCCCATAAGCAACCGTGACCACCTTTGAGCGCGATTACCCAGCTGGACTTTTCTATTATTTTTAAGCTCTCGTAAGCGACCACCCAAAGTATTTCAGTAATTTGTCAGGATACTTTGGCACATGTGCGTGAAAGAAAAGAAGTTTCCAGTTTTTGTAGGTGCATTCACTAACATTCTTTTCTATACCATTAATGAGAATTAAGAAATCCCAAACATTTTATGCATTTTATTGTTTATAGCTTTGGTCGTTTAGGAAAACCCATTCTCGTAAACGACCAGCTCTAGTTGCGACCATTTTTTTGAACTCCCGGAGTGGTCGCTTACGAGAGCTACGACTGTATTCTCCTACCTTTTAGGACTCCGTCGTTCCCGACTAAAGATAGCATAGACCTCAAAACGGTAGTTTTTCCAGTCTCGGTGTCTCCACTCAGTATGATTACGGGACATGAACCATACGCTGAGGTTATCCTTTCATGGCCGGTGGCCATAGCAACTCCGCCAACTGCTAAGCAAGCTGCTGGATAATTATTACCCAATAACTGTTTAAATGCACCAATTAAATTGGCCAGCGCTTCTGAAGAAAATGGCTGGAGAAAGTGAGGAAGTCTGCGTTTCTTTGCTTCTATCAAAAGTAAAACAAAAAGTAAATAACTGAAACGTCCAATTCAGCAATGCATTACGGCGTTGACAATTGTATGGTAGACTGGGGCAGCTCTCATGCTTTGAACTAACGCCAAATATGTGGCAGAGAACTACATGTAACTTAGCGAATTATTTCCAGAAGCCCCAACTTTGTAGCTTGCAATTACTATGGGTGGGGTACGTAAAATAACTGTTTAACCTGGAAGAAAATGACGAAAAAATCAAAGATCCTGGATTGAATGAGCTCGAGTTCTTTGTCATGCATGCTATTATCCAGCATGTCAACTCAAAGAATGATGTCAAAAATGACAACAGTCATTTTTGTGACATGTTTAGCAAAATAGTCAAAGTCGTAAATAGTTTCGCTTTTCTAATGGTTCTTCCCATATTTCACCATTCCTTACAGGTGCTTTACGATGAAAAAAGAAAGTATGATAAGCTAAGGAAACGTTAGATACTATATAGTATGTGGCTCTGTACCGTGCATGGACGTAATAGTAAGAGAACACCATATGATCGATAATTAGAACCGTATCATTTTATGCAAAGAATATCAATATAGTGTGCTTACTCTCACCAGATCTATATGAGATTCCCAAGAGATTCTAAACTCATAGTTGTTAAATTCGCTGTAAAGTTTTATTTATGTTTTGAACGCGAACCTGGGAAATGTTACGTTGTAATATTTGTATAAGTTAATGTTCACACCTTTCTTGTAACTAAACCAATACCTCCCTTTGCAGAGTACTACACTGTTTTGAGGTCTATGTAAGTTATGTATGTTTTATGTAATTTGCATCCTTCAAAGTCAAACCCTGTTTCCTCTTTTGATGTCCAAACCACCCCTGCGCAGGAATTTTAAGAGTTATAAGAAGTTGATATTATGCAGTAAACATCTAAAGTGGGTGGCCTTGGTAAATCACAATAAATTGAGCGATGAAGTTATTGTGTATTACCTAATTGTTTATCAGTTTAGCCTACTTCGGAATTTACATTGCCTTAGCCAATAATGTAACGCCGGACGAAATAATGAGTAATTAAAATAATAAGTAATTAAAAGTTTCATCTGATGAGGATAAAGGCTGTCCTTAATCAAAAATGCGAAAACTGTGTACTCAGCAATGGTTGAATGAGCTCATTCAAGCAATTTCTTTCGGACTCAAAGGGGAGTTAGGCAAGCCTGTCCCCTTTCCCCATATTTGTTTATTCTTGCTGCGGAGATCTTGGCCAAGACCGTCCGAAACAACAAGGGCATAACAGGTTTTTCTCTGAGTAATGACGAAGTTAAGATAGGCCAACACGCTGATGATATCACTCTTGTGTTAGACGGTTGAGAGAAATCCCTTATACCAGCAATACAAAGTTTAGATGATTTTTGTCAGATCTCCGGCCTCAAGTTAAACGATAGCACAACGGAAGCCCTTTGGATCGGTTCTAAGACAGCACATGAACAAATCCTTGTTTCAGGAAAGAAGTTTAAATGGCCAAAATATAAAGTCAAACACTTGGTCTGTGGCTGTCAACCGATCCGGACATGGCTTTGACGTTGAATTACAACGAAAAAACTGAAAACATTAGGAAGCTTTTGAGTTGCTGGAAATATTGCAGGCTCACGTTGTTAGGGAAAATTACTGTCCTTAACTCACTGACCGCATCACAACTGGTATACTTGCTCTTCCCTTTTACGCTCAAATCATTACGCTACAAAGGAAATAAATGCCATGTTTTACCATTTTCTATGGAATGGTGAAGGTGACAAAATCAAGAGAAAAGTTATGATCAATGAACCTGAGTATGGAGTCTGAAGATGATTGACCTTTATCCTTTCAACAAATGTCTTAAAACAACATGGGTTAAAAAGTACTTGGACGCTACTTAAAACGGAAAATGGAACGTTATCTTTGATCTATAACTGGAGAACTACGGCCGCAATCTCATTTTCCGTGGTAATCTCAACCGTTGAGACTCAACGTCTCTGACACTATGAAAGAGATTAGGGCAACGGACCCCGTAACTAAAGAAAAATTGGAATATTGGAAAGAAATAAACTTTGTGGATAAAGTAAGTTCTGATATCGCTTGTCAAGAACAGGTTCTGTGGTTCAACTCTTTGATAAGGATAGATAATGAAAAATTTCTTTTTTAAAGAGTGGTTTGAAATAAGTATCTCCAAAATTAAGCACGTCCAAACGGGAAACGATAATTTTCTGACTCTCAAAGATTTTGCCTCCAAACATGATTTAAGAGTACGCCCGCTCAGTTTTTACGGTTTACTATCAGCTGTTCAACGAATTCGCAAAAATGTTACCGATACTGCTGAGACAAAAGACTATAACTTTGAAACACCGAGTGAAAACTGAATTGTTAAAAGAGAAAAGCTAGGTCCATTAATTTACCAAAAGCTGACCAGAGCCAATAGTTTAACCGCACGTAAAAGCCAACTAAAATGACTTCAAGACTGTAACTACTCAGACGAAGAAGGAACATATAACTAAGAACTTACCTATTTTATGGCGCAAAGTACGGTGCACAAAAAGCACCAAACTGAGTTCCAATTTATACTATCACATAGGCGCATACCAACCGATGATTTCTGACTTAAAATAGGACGAAAAGAAAATGACATATATGCCTTTTGCAACAATTCCTCAGACACGCTAATTCATCTTTTTTGGTCTTGCCATGTTACATGAGTATACAGGGTATAAAGGGTATACATGGGTATACAGGGTATACATGAGTATACAGGGGTATACATGGGTATCCAGGGTATACAAGGTATACATGGGTATACAGGGTATACATGGGTATACAGGGTATACAGGGTATACATGGGTATCCCGGGTATACATGAGTATACAGGGTATACAGGGTATACAAGGTATACAGGGTATACAGGGTATACTGGGAGTACATGGGTATACAGGGGTATACAGGGTATACAGGGTATACAAGGTATACAGGGTATACAAGGTATACAGGGTATACAGGGTATACATGGGTATACAGGGTATACAGGGTATACAAGGTATACAAGGTATACATGGGTATACAGGGTATACATAGGTATACAGGGTATACAGGGTATACAGGGTATACTGGGCGTACATGGGTATACATGGGTATACAGGGTATACAGGGTATACAAGGTATACAAGGTATACATGGGTATACAAGGTATACATGGGTATACAAGGTATACATGGGTATACAGGGTATACATGGGTATACAGGGTATACAGGGTATACAGGGTATACAGGGTATACAGGGTATACTGGGAGTACATGGGTATACATGGGTATACAGGGTATACAGGGTATACAAGGTATACAAGGTATACATGGGTATACAGGGTATACATGGGTATACAGGGTATACATGGGTATACAGGGTATACAGGGTATACAGGGTATACTGGGAGTACATGGGTATACATGGGTATACAGGGTATACAGGGTATACTGGGAGTACATGGGTATACATGGGTATACAGGGTATACAGGGTATACTGGGAGTACATGGGTATACATGGGTATACAGGGTATACATGGGTATACAGGGTATACAGGGTATACAGGGTATACAGGGTATACTGGGAGTACATGGGTATACATGGGTATACAGGGTATACAGGGTATACAAGGTATACAAGGTATACATGGGTATACAGGGTATACATGGGTATACAGGGTATACAGGGTATACAGGGTATACATGGGTATACAGGGTATACATGGGTATACAGGGTATACAGGGTATACAGGGTATACACATGGGTATACACATGGGCATACAGGGTATACACATACAGGGTATACATGGGTATACATGGGTATACATGGGCATACATGGGTATACATGGGTATACAGGGCATACATGGGTATACAGGGTATACAGGGTATACAGGGTATACAGGGCATACAGGGTATACATGGGCATACAGGGTATACATGGGTATACAGGGTATACAGGGTATACAGGGTATACAAGGCATACATGGTATACAGGGTATACTGGGGTGGGTATACATGGGTATACAGGGCATACAGGGTATACAGGGTATACTGGGTATACATGGTATACATGGGTATACAGGGTAGGTATACAGGGTATACTGGGTATACATGGGTATACATGGGTATACAGGGTATACAGGGTATACAGGGTATACATGGGTATACACATGGGTATACATGGGTATACAGGGTATACAGGGTATGGGGGTATACATGGGTATACATGGGTATACAGGGTATACATGGGTATACAGGGTATACAGGGTATACTGGGAGTACATGGGTATACAGGGGTATACAGGGTATACAGGGTATACAGGGTATACAGGGTATACATGGGTATACAGGGTATACATGGGTATACAGGGTATACATGGGTATACAGGGTATACAGGGTATACAGGGTATACAGGGTATACTGGGAGTACATGGGTATACATGGGTATACAGGGTATACATGGGTATACAGGGTATACAGGGTATACTGGGAGTACATGGGTATACATGGGTATACAGGGTATACAGGGTATACAAGGTATACAAGGTATACATGGGTATACAAGGTATACATGGGTATACAGGGTATACATGGGTATACAGGGTATACAGGGTATACAGGGTATACTGGGAGTACACGGGTATACAGGGTATACAGGGTATACAAGGTATACAAGGTATACATGGGTATACAGGGTATACATGGGTATACAGGGTATGCATGGGTATACAGGGTATACAGGGTATACATGGGTATACAGGGTATGCAGGGTATACAGGGTATACAGGGTATACATGGGTATACAGGGTATACAGGGTATACATAGGTATACAGGTATACAGGGTATACATAGGTATACAGGGTATACAAGGTATACATGGGTATACAGGGTATACATGGGTATACAGGGTATACAGGGTATACAGGGTATACAGGGTATGCATGGGTATACAGGGTATACAGGGTATACATGGGTATACAGGGTATGCAGGGTATACAGGGTATACAGGGTATACTGGGAGTACATGGGTATACAGGGTATACGGGGTATACAAGGTATACAAGGTATACATGGGTATACAGGGTATACATGGGTATACAGGGTATACAGGGTATGCATGGGTATACAGGGTATACAGGGTATACATGGGTATACAGGGTATACAGGGTATACAGGGTATACATGGGTATACAGGGTATACAGGGTATACATAGGTATACAGGTATACAGGGTATACATAGGTATACAGGGTATACAAGGTATACATAGGTATACAGGGTATACATGGGTATACAGGGTATACAGGGTATACAGGGTATACAGGGTATGCATGGGTATACAGGGTATACATGGGTATGGACATTCTATTACTGTTATATGAAACACTAAGGTCTATTTGGCGTAAGCGTAACATGAAAGAATAACCTGCAAATGTATCAACAATGGCGGACGCACGGAGGGAAGTGCAGTTCTCGTGGGCGATAATGTACTTCACTTTTCGAGTGAATGAAAGATGACTTCGGTTTGGAAGCGGTTACAACGTGTTGGGAAAAAAGCGTCCAAATTCCAGTTCACTGCCTCGTATCAGTCGCTGACTGTTGAGTGTGATAGAGGTGGTAAATGGTGAGTTTACCTACTGTCGGGTCTTAATCTTTTACGCCCATGAGTACTCTTTCACACCCTCGTTGTGAATAACAAAGCTAAAATGTTGTTGTGATCGAAAACTCGAGAAGGGTCAATCTTTTAACTTGGGTAGGTTTTCGCAGAGTTGTGAAAGTACTTTAAAATGAAGTGCAGACAAATCAAGCCATTTGCTGTAATATGCTACAGACCCGCGGATCGCAAAGTATTAAAATTATAAACTGAAGCTTAAGTACAAGTTTCGGTTACAGTTGCCACTCTTACAAGTTAAATTTTTACCGTTGTAGAAAGTCTTTAATCATTAGTTTGTTCTAGAAAGGGCCATGTTTTAGGGTTCTTGAAAGCTAGTGTCTAGTATAGTGTTGCGCAAACTTACGTGTAAGCTTAAGTATATTGCAGTCAAACAAGCGTAGTCCTACTTACGTCGGGTAGAAAAATATTATTTTGCTGTTAAATAAGCTTCATTAAAGTGTTTGCAAGGGCGTCGGTTATGAAAATGAAAGAAGTGATTTTGGTAGAACTGAAGGCTACCATTAACTCGTTTCTACATGAAAGACGATGCATAAATGCCCATTCTTTGGTAAATTGTTAATAATTAAGTTTAAATTAAAGTTCAATTGTAAATCGAAATGTATTTTTTTGTGTTAGTGAATCGGTACTTTCATTAGCACATTGAAATTAGCGTTAAAATTGTCACGGGATTCACGTTTGTCTTCATTAAAATTCCTACTCCATGTGTCGAATTGTGGTACGTTATGTAGTTGTAAAATTATCCGATAAGTTGGTAATTCTCTCGGGAGTAACATGAATCCAGTATGCTATATGATGCCTGTTTTCTATTCTTGTATGTTTCACAAGCTGTTGTTATCAGAGCAACAATATTTTTATTAGCATTCCAATAGACATGATTTAGCATTTTTTCTTTCTAAAAAGAAAACTTGCACAAGCCTGGCATGGCATTCAGCCAGTTTGTTAAATGAAGTCTATTTTTTGGTCAGTAAATCAATGCTCACTCTTTTTGTTGATCTTTACCAAAATGTCCCAAGACATTGGGACATTTTGGCTAGTGCTTGAGCCTTCATCAACAAAAATAGTTCCTGGCAAAATAAATGTCCTGCCTATTAGTACCCTGTTATGTACTACACCTTGTACTTGACATAATTTTATGTTTTCTTGGCTTTTGATCATAGGTATTTTGTCATGTTAAAAAACTTCTCAAATGTGTGGGTTTTACAACGTTTGGAGACAATGATTTAAAAGGTCTCAAATGAATCAAATTTAAGGAGTTTTATACAATAGCGGATTTTCACTGCTCACACTGCATCGGTTAGAATCTTTATCCCATTTGATTAGTTAAGTCATTAATCTGAAAGGGTCATAGAAAGCATCAATTTATTTTTGGACAGTAATTCACCACAGGCTTGAGAGTCTTGTAGAATCTTTATTCCTGAACTTGTTTTTTCCTTTTAGGCTCTTCTCCATCTCCTCCCCACTTAAGAACAAAGAAGTCCTTGATCTTGAATAGGAATTACCCACCCTGAACAAATATTTTAAGCATGTTAATAAAAGACTCTTACTTTAATTTTCTCTGTAAATAACTGCATCTTTTTTTTCCTTTTTGTCCCTGTTTGTTTTTTCTTGTAGGCACTATGTCTTTTCAGGGATTTCAATAAGCAAAGACGACTGACAAAATGTGTCAGCTGCTTTGCTCAGAGCAGTCAGCTATTTTTTTCCCTGAAAAGAGGCAACTAGTGTTTAAAATTTCGTAAAGAAAAAATATATCATTAAATCTGAATTAAAACGGGGGTTAATAATATGATGTGATTTCAATATCCACCGATATGTTCTGGTTTAGCTACACCTGAGCACTTTTGGTTACACAAACGCTGTATTTCAGTCAATTTTTTTCAATGTTTCTTTGTAGGTATATGCAGAATTTGTTTATGTGCAAATGTACTAAAGTTTGAATATTGACATTTGTTTATTGCTTGTAAGAATTGATTGTGTGGCTATAAAACCTGAATGAAAGCTATATTTTCTTGAATGAAAAACGCACTCTTCTCTTCTCAACTTAGTCCCCGGAACACTGGAAATTGCATTTTAGGGCTGTGAAATTCCAAATTTACGCTCCCGGACCCCCCTAGAAGAAGGGGACTAACGGCCCCTTGTTGATAAAGTTGGTTACTCTATTCAAACCTGGTGCAATGGCTATCTTGTCCAGTTACATTTGTCTGATTTGTCCCAAAAGTAAAGATTTTGTTTTGTCCAGAAATAAATACTTTATCTTGACCAAACTTGTTCAGTCAAGATGGCTAAGTATTGGCCATGTGCTTCTTTTGTGTTATTATGGACCTCGACATTGTATCAGTCCATGAGATTGAAAAGTAGAACTTGGCCAGTTTCCAGTCATCTTGAACTTATGCTTGGTCAATAGAAATAATGCATATATAAATACTGAAATATCTGAAACATGTCTTCAAAGCTTAACCGTGATGTCATGTTTTTGAAATGTTTGCTTTTTATTTTACTGCTACAAAATCTTGGTAGCATTAATACAGTCAACTCTCTTTTAATTGACTCCTATACATTTGTATAAGCCGGACACCTCGCTAAGACGTTTACCCAGAGTTGGTCCCTGCCTTTCTATTTTCCTTAAAGTTGATTCTCTATAAGACAGACCTTTCTCTAAGATAGACACCTAGTGCTAGTCCCAAAGGTGTCCATCTTAGCATTGACTGTAAATATTTTTACTCATCCACTAGGCAGCCCAACAAACTTGTTGTGGTATGGACACGAAGAAAGAGAAGAAAACTGACCAAGGTAGATATGTTTTTCCCTCATAAATGCATTGACCAGGGATGCAGGTGGTAACCAGACTCTAGTCGAGTAATAATTTCTGGGTCTGCTATGGTAAAAATAAGTTGAAAGTTGAAAATGGTTAAAGGTGACTAGACCTGTAGGAAATGACTCATCCTAGTTTCTTTAACATGAACCACCTACTCTTGTACATGTGGCAATACTGCTCATTGAAGCCTGGTGCTAGGAATAAATAAAACACCAATGATTTCTGGTGAAGTCAAAGGGATAATTTGGCATTCCAGTGTCACTGTGATCAGTAAGCGATCCAAGGTCACTGACTGGAAGGTCTTTTGGTTGAATCAGTGAGATGCTTACCAGTTATATGTACACAAATCCATGAATCATCCAGGTGCATAAACCTAAAACTATAAAAATTGATGCAGTGGAGAACAACCCACGGTAAGGTACAGTACATCGAAATCAGCTAAACAGAGTACAAAGAGTAGAAAAATTGCATTGCCTCAAATCACAGCCCATATTTTTGGATTGGTGCAAACCATCTGATTTGTCAACCAGAATTTCTGTTTTTCTCGTGTAAATGGTAAGTACACCTGATTAACTTACAAAATTGCAATTTTCCTTCAGCCGATGTCTTGGCAGCCTGGGATCAGCAATCCTTTCAGGGGCATCATAGTGTGGTCAGATCCTGAGCCTGTTGACATCACAGTCACACTATACAAGGTACAGAAAAAAACCCTACATGTATTAATGCCAGGCTGTTACTTACAGTTATGTCAGCTGTTGAAATCTGTTAATCATTGTGACATTAAATATGTATCAGTTAAAATCAGTGGGATGTCTTTCTCTTCTGCAGAGGTACCCGCTGGGTATTCTAATAAAAATAGAAATGATAAAAATAGGTAAAAGGACAGGGGCCCATCTTCCCCAGCATGATTGCTGTTCTCTTATCCTCACCTCCTTGTGACACAAAGTGGCCTCAATGAAGGTCACAAGAAGGCTGCTAGGAGAACACAAGAAAAATAAGGGAAACAAGTCATGAGCTGAGGAGGCCAAGAATTTGAGAAAGAATTTTTATTTTGATTTATTAAAAACTATTGTTGACCAAATAAACTGAAGTTCTGAAAGCTTAATACTGCTTAATACTACGCTTTTCACAAACATGCGAATTCTGAAGTTCAAAAGCCAACTGACGATTGCATTTCTCACTGCTGTCAATCATCTTAACGGACCTCTTAGGAAACAAAACTTTACTTTAACAGGTTCAAAAGGTCATGGATTGTGATTTCTAATTGGTGGATTTCGATCCGTTTTGGGAGTTTCTGTGTTTCAAGGTTCATTGCTTGTGATCGTAATTATGATTGACGGCAGCGAAAAACGCAATTGTGAAGGTGGCTTTTGAACTTTAGAGTTCGCATGTTTGTGAAAAGCGCAGTAATATTACATTGTGTACCACAATAGTAAAATATTGTGGTTTGTAATTATTTATTGTTACATTACTTAGCTATGTCTGATGCACAGTCATGTATTACATTGTTAGTGCATTATATATTTAATATATTGTATATCAGCTATTCTCACTAGTAATGAATATAAATTTATAATTAAAACTGTAAATTTACTATACATGTAGTATCAATATGTAGCTTTTACTATTGTGTTAAAGTCGTCTTAAGACGGCTTTAATGTCTAGTATAAAAACGGTAAATAACACAGACGCATTTAATGTCTGACGTTAACATCTTCTGTTAAGTGTGTCCAAATGACGCTTTTAACAGACGACTTTAATATCTGAGACGTTAAATGCATCAAGGCGACTTTCATGTCTCTAGCATAAAAACGGCCCAATTACTTTTTTTTACTTTTTCATATGACAGCTTTACTTATTTTTTTTACTTATTTTTAAATAAATAATGTGTAAATAAAGGATTCATTCATTCCTTCCTTCACTCACTCCTTCATTTATTGTAATCATTATATATTAGGATTCCAAACCAGACAGTGAGTTCGAAGACAAAGAGTGGGCTTTTGTCATTGAAGATGTGAGTTAAAATATATATTCACAGCTGTGTGAAGTGATATTGTATAGCTAAATCAAACTATTAAGACAAATATTACTCAGGTTGTATTATGCTGTTAACATGACTTTTGATATGGAGCAATGGCAATTATTTTTACTTTAAAAACTTCTAGGCTAAAAATTTAACCTTAACATACAGGTGTTATTGGCTACAGACATTTATGACTGGCTTTGTTACAATGCACTAAATAATACAAGGCTGTTGCCAGTGTTCTCTAACAAATATTTTAGGATGTCCCAAAATTAAAGCAGTGAAATTACATGTAATACTCTGAAATCTTGGGACCTCTGCATTGAATTTTTTGTGAAGAAAGAATGACCACTTGTCTGTAATACCACTGGGTGCTGCTATAACCTAGCCCTGAGTACATTCTTTCATTTTTCCGCAGGAATCCCTAAATGGAAGGAGAAAGCCTATAGCCACAGGGTCCATCAACATGGTTGATTATGTCAGTGTGGAGAGCCGAACATTTGACGTCACTCTGACAATGAAGGTAGCAAGCAAGAAACTGGTGTCAGCTTGCCTTGACTTTCATTTGACGTGTGTGCTGATAAAGGAAGGAATGGCAACGTAAGTTAAAGTTCAATCTGGCTTGAAAGATCATGATTGTACAATGTGATGTAAATTGAGCACTGGAAGTTGCTTTCGGTCTTTTTTTGTGTGCTCATGCATTCGAATTTTACACTTTGTTTCCTTTGCAAAATTTGCATAATAAATCAACTAGAACTTCATGGCTGTATCATTTTAATTAACATAAACTGCCGCTTAGAAGCCTGGTCTGGGCTTATACCCCTTTGTAAATGGTTTAGGAGGGTGTATGAATAGAGTGGCTTATATCCAACAACAGCAAGTTGTGATGATGCAGTCAAATGTGGAATCTGCCATTTGTGGATCCATGGCAAGTGTAATGGTCTAACTGTTAAGGACTACAAACACTTAAAACTTAACAATGAGGTATTGTTCTGTAAAATATGTAATATTGATTTATTTCCCTTTGGTTCTTTAAATATGACATTCTTATGATTTCTAGGAAACTCTCTGACATTGAACTGCTACCCTCCCTTGATATTATCTCTAAGACAACTAGGCTGGGAAGTCTAAATGTCTGTGATATTGAGTCAAATATACCAATCTTATAAATTCTAAATATTATTATCCATCAGATTTTGACAAATTAGCTTTACATACATGTATCATCTTTACCATCTTATTTCTCCTTATTTCATGTTAACTTAAATAGTCTTAATGCTCATCTGGGTGACTTGCAGACTATACTTAAATTCATGAATTCTCCTTTTCATGTCTTAGGTCAGTTCACTTAAAAGCATTTAAAGTATGTCTAGTGTAAATTGCCACACGACCAGCAGCAGATCTCTCTCTAGTCTCACTAATGCCTAAGTAGAACTGATGATGAATGTGAAACTCTTCTGGGTTGAAATAGTTAATACGAAAGCTAAAAATATTTTATTTTGCTCTGCCCATAGACACCCTTCCTTTAGCCCTTTAAGGTTCAAAGAACATCTCGAGTCAACTTTATCTCAACTAACTAGTGAAAATAAGTCCATCTTCATTATGGGTGTTTTTAATATTAACCTGTTAAATTATGAAAGTCATCCTGAATCTAATGATTTCTTACTAATAATGCTAAACTCTTTTTTTCTTCTACCTTATATCTTACAACCAACATGTATTACTGAAAGATTAGCAACCCTTATTGATAATAATTATATTTGCAAATACTTGTGGTAACCTAGTGTCTAAAATCTCTTATCATCTTCCTCAATTCCTGATTGTAGACCATCTCAAAGTAAACTATAAAGTTTTAAATTATTATAGAAATGATGATTATAGAAATTTATCAATGATTTCTCACTTCTAGACTGGAATAACATCTCAAGTGATTATATGGATGCCAACACTAAATTTGACATTTTCTATGATCAGATATCTCAATTTATAAATTATCATGTAAATGTACCACGTAGAAAGCTCTCCAAACGTGAAATTAAGTTATCTACTAAGCCCTGGATTACTAAACATGTTCTTGCCAAAATACGATATAGAGATAACCTCTATTCCAAAATCATTAGGTGTAATTCAAATCCAAATTGGATGTAAAAATTAATTATTTTCATAAGAAATTCAGGAATAGTGTTGTCGAAGATGTTAAAGCGAGTAAATCTGATTATTTCAAGAATTACTTTTTGTGTTATAAGAATAATATGAAAAAAAAACTGGTCTGGAATTAGATCATTCATCAACAGTGGTAAAGTTAAAGCTGATTACATTCCCAGTATTCTAGAAAGTGGAAAACCTGTTGACAATCCCTGTGCTATTGCTAACATTTTTAACAATTTATTTGTTAATGTGGGTAAAAACACTGACAAAGACATTCCGTGTGGGAACTGTTGTCCAACCTCTTTTCTGAAGGACAATTTTCCTGACTCAATGTTTCTCTCCCCTTTTACTTCAGTTGAAGTTGGTTCATACATATCTCAAATGGACAATAACAAATCCATTAATCCCTATAGTATTCCATTCCCATTGCTAAAAATTCTAAGACTCATATATCCCCACTTACATGTATTTCATCCCTAATTAATGATTCTTTTCTCTGTGGTATATTCTCCAGTAAACTTAAATTGGCAAAAGTTACCCCAATTTTTAAGAAAGGCTCTAGGAAAGACTAAGATAACTATAGGCCAATATAAGTTCTATCCATTTTTAGTAAAATGTTTGAAAAGGCTATATAATAAATAAAATAAAATAAAATAAATTTGTTCATACCACTCAATACAGCTTTCGTTCTCTCAGTTACACTGGTCCAAAACTTTGGAATTCTTTATCTATCGAAAATCAAGCCGTTTTCCAGTTTTCGTCAATATATCAAGAATTCTGTGATTGATGGTAATAATACTATTATTGATTCCTAATGTTTTACGATTCTATTATCTTTAATTACTACTTAATTAATGAAGTAATACTGTTTACCTTAAACAAGTATTTTGTATCTATATTCCTTCTACTCATATTCTTATTGGGTCACCTACTCAGTTAGTTCCATGAACTATTTAGGTGTCCCAAACTCTGCACAATGAACCTTCAATTGAAAAATTTATTTTCCTTCACAATCTCTTGATTTTATACAGCCGACTCCCGATAACTCGAACCTTCAAGGGATTAGGTTCGAGTTATCGGGAGTTCAAAGAAATTAGCCGAGAGTAAGGTAAAAAACAGTTTTTACTGCACAGTGAACATTTTAATCACATTTAATTGTAGAAATGGCAAGTGAAAATTAAAAGATACTTTTAGATTATAAATCAGAACGTAACGTAACAAAATATAGTCTAAATAGAGCATGCATTTTACTGTTTTGAGAAGAAAAGCTGCTTCACGTTAGCCTGTGACAATCCACATCAGCCTCCACTAGTAAACAATACTCCTACAACATGTCAATAGGAAATCCAAAATTCAATGTTTTGGATGTCAGTAGACGACTTTTTTCCCAACTGTTTAAGGGCTCAAAACATGGTTCGAGTTATGGAGGGTGAAATTATATAGAAAATGACCTGAGGGGAAACGAAAATTGGTTCGAGTTAGCGGGAGTTCGAGTTATCGAGGGTTCAAGTTACCGAGTGTAAAATTACAGTGAATGTATAACGGAAATCCAGGGGAAATCGATTTTGGTTCGAGTTAGCACAAGGTTTGAGTTAGCGATGGTTTGAGTTATCGGGAGTCGACTGTGTTTTAAAGCACTAATTTGTATTAATTTATATTCTGTGTGAGTTTAAATAAAAATTGACATGACTTGACTAATTTGTATTACCTAGTTGTTATTCTGCCGTGTGAGTTTAAATAAAAATTGACTTGACTTGACTATCCAAGGGGGCTTATGACTGGAGTAGAAATTTAAGTGCTCCGAAACAAACTTTAGCAGTGCTGATCAAAAATATAATACTTTTTGCATTTATTTATTCAAAATGTCAATAAATTAAATTTATTTCTATACGTTTGGAAGGGGCTTATGTCTGAGAGGGCTTATAATCGTATGTCCTTTTTTTGTTTATAGGTAGATGGGTCTATAACCTGGGGGGGGGGAGTATAAGCGGCACTTCTGATGCACTAAAATTTGCTCTTACAGTGTTGTAATGATTTCATTTCTTTTATAGTGATGATGACATGATCAGCATTGGCAGCATGATGAGCTTAAATGATAATTATTCCCTTGACGATAATGATGATGACACGGAAGTAACACCTTCACCTCACATGCGACTCAAACGGAAATTGTCGTCAGGAAATATCAAAGCACCTCCGGGTACGTCAACCTCACCTGTTTTTAGTACACATATAAAATTTATAACGTATGTTGTCAATTGAAACTTGATACTCTGATTGAGTGGACCTACAGCTGTACTTACTACAATACAGTCATTATTTCAGACCTGTATAATAAAAATGAACTGTTGAAAATCAACTTCCATGTGTGAAACAAATGGTTCACACAAACATTTTCATACTCCACTTGGCTCTGCCTTGTCCATTCTTCTGCAAGCATGTTAATATGATTATTTATTAGTATAGGTAATAGTATGATTTGTAGTGATATTTGGCATAAATACCATGAGTGATATTTCAAAATTGTTATACGTAATTTTCCAAGCCGTTAGGCAAGTGAAATTTGAGACAATGTTGAAATATCACGAGTGGTATTTATGCCCAATATCACGTACAAATCATGCTATTATTTGTTTATACTACTACCCGCAAAAGGTTTGTAATTTTCACATGTAGGTATTTCAAATTAAGCTGAAATACCACTACTCTAAGCCAATCAAATTGCAGAAATTTTTCATGTGGTAGTATAATGTAATAAACACCAATGAAATACCAGGAAAACATGATATCTTGACATGTGAAAATAACATGTTATATTCAGGCATAAAAAGATCACCATTGTTATGGCTATATGATAAATAATGCACCTTTCACAGCAGAAAAATGTTAAAGTGAAAAGATTTGGTATTTCATTATTGGTGTTTATATAATAAATTGAACATTACATGGCTGCTTGGAGATACAAAATTTCTCTTCTCGAGTTATAAAATATTTCACTCATTCCTTTGCACTCACTCATGAAATATTTTTTAACACTTGAAGAGAAACATTGTCTCTTTGCATGGCCATTTAATATCCTCTATTTATGCTACGCTATAGCTGATAACTCACATCAATCTGTAACGCTTAATTACATGTATACCAATAATTACGTTTGTTAAGGCCCGCTTTGTCACTCATGTGCTTAAAGGTCAAGTAATACGGGCAACATTTTCTCTCAACTTAATTGTTGCCTTGCAAGTTGAAAAGCATTGTTGCCCATTTTACCACCTTCGCTCTCAACTTATCATGCAACAAATTTTAATGTTGCAAGTTGCGGCTCATTTAGAAAATTCCACGTTGCGATTGGTCAATGGTGTGTTTTGTGTCATCAATGCAAACAAAATGGTGGATGCACTGAACTTTCTAAGAAAGCGAGGGATAGCTGCCCTTGTTTTAGGATTATCAACAGACGAAGAAGGTCAAAACCATGCAAAAGAAACCAAAAGGTTTACATGAGAGAGTGGATTGCTTTGTGGGAAGAGAGGGGGCTCTACCATTAGCTTGTAAAGGAACTTGCGTCGGGGAACATAGTTGCTTCAATTTTTGACAGAACTCATCCAAAGTTCTTGTCCTCCATTGCCTGTTTTTATAATTTGCCTGAGGTCAAGCACACACTTACCCACCATCTTTCCTGCGCTTTTAGTGCAGGAAAATTGACCAATCACAATCATTGTGATGCATGGCAAGTTGTGACGCAAGTGATAAAATAATGAAAGTTTGCTGGAAAAAGTACAACTTGGGTCTACTCTGCACAGCATGTTGCCGCAACTTGCAACATTGAAATTTGTGACAAGTAAAGAGTGAAGGTGGTAATACGAGCAATAACACCTCTCAACTTGCAATACAACAATGTTGTGTGACAAGTTGAGTGAAAATGTTAACCAGATTACTTGACCTTAACCTAATTTGATGATGTTCAAATTTAAAGTGACTTTTGCTTGGCACTCAAACCAGGCCAAAGAGACTGGCACAATTGGTAAATGAATTAACAAAGGTGTTAATTTTCAGTGGCAAAAGTGCAAGAGTCAGCAGATGGTAGGAGTGTATCACCAGCGCCATCTCCTGTTGTTGCACAGAAACAACGGAGCAGAACACGATCCAAATCTGCTCTGGGGGAAAATGTCAAAACGTTGGTCAGTGATGTAAAAAAGGAAGATGCCGTCAAAAGGTGAAATCTATTGCACCTTTGTAGTCTGCATAACAGGCAATATTTTTGCGCACAAAGCACAAAGTGGAGGTAGAGCCTGAGGCACTCATGACAAGAAAAGGCACCAAAATGACCTGTGATCAGGTATCTTTTTTTTTTTTTTGCGAGAAAAAAGGAAAGAAGGACTGCCTGATCAGTGATCAAACCTCCATCGCGTATGTCTCGTGTTCCACGTCCACTTTGTGCTCACCCGAAAAATGCGGAAAAAAAACACCTGTTCTGTGCAATAGCGCCATTGATCATTAAATGTTTGCAAAAAAATAAAGTGGAGTAAACTTTGTTTCAATAACTCAATAGAGCGGAGAAGTGTGTCATCACGTTACCATGGTGGCAAAATTTTTGGATTACAATAATAGGGAGCTTAAGCAACGACAATGGCGACAGCAACAAGAAGGCAAAAAAGCAGTGGGTTTATAAAGCAAAACAACAACTATGTGTATGCAAATGCATCACACTTTTTTGTACATTTTTCAGCCATTGTTGCACGACTGCAACCTGAAACTTCCTAATTTCACGCACCCACTAATGGAGTGTCAGTGAACACAACACAAAATTTTTCTTTTTCTTTTTCTAAACTTAGATACAGTCCTTTTCGATTCAACCACAGAAAATTTTGTCAACATTTGACAAATTAAATGAAATTGAATAAGGTGGATGAAGTTTGAAACAGGGTGAATTCACTTTTTAAGTGACGTTTTTGGTTTGTTGTGATCCAGAAATATTGCTACCATAACCATGGCAACATGATGTAACAACTTCCCCTCTTTACTAGAAATGCTTGCTACGCAGGCTAGAATAAACTAGGCTAGTCTAGATCAAAATGAAACAAAGCAACAGTTCATGTTGTGCCTTGAGTTGAGCCTCCACATTCTACCATCACTTGGGTGCAACCACATGTCATAATGTGATGAATTTGTTTCTAAAAAAATTAATAATCATTTTTAGAATTTAAACTGTAAAAACAATGGTGTTTTGGCGTTTCCTAAACTTCATTGTCAGTCAAAAATTATGTAAAAATACTAAATGCAAAAAAGTTATCGTTAGAAATAGTTGTGATGTAATCATACATTGTACAAATGAGTGACAAGTCTTGCAAGAATAAAGTCAGTCCACGTTTTTAAGTTAAAGAATACTTAAACGTTCCTTTCCTTTCTAACACCTTCCATGATTTTCTTTTTTCATTAAGGTTAAGCATTGGCTCAGATGTTTCATCAGAAATCTCAGATAGTGGCCAGGTAATCAATTCTTGCAAGGTGTCTACAGACATGTCATATTTTGAATCATTGTAATATTATATCAGTGTCTCCAATTAGCAAACTGTATTACAGTGCTCACTGGAGTAAGACTGTTCTTGACACAATATTAAATACCGTTGTTATTATCATTATTCTGTCGACTCTCTCTTGACAGACACCTCTGTAAAATGGACACCTAGAGAGGTCTTCCCTGCCTTTCCCTTCTTTCTTTATTTGACTCTGTTTAAGACAGACATCACTTTAAGACGGACACTTAGTGCTGGTCCCAAATGTGTCCATCTAAGAGAGATTTGACTGTAATGGAAGGCAGAAAGCAACTCTAGGTGTCCGTCCTATTTGACTGTCTATAAGACAGACATCTCTCTAAGACAGACACTTAGTGCCGCTCCCAAAGGTGTCCGTCTAAGAGAGATTTGACTGTAATGGAAGGCAGAAAGCAACTCTAGGTGTCCGTCCTATTTGACTCTCTACAAGACGGACATCTCTCTAAGAGAGACACTTAGTTGCGGTCCCAAAAGTGTCTGTCTCTGAGATAGTCAACTGTAGTCATCACTTATTCCCTCTTCATTTGGCCTTTAGGAGACCAGCAAAGACAAAAGTAAAATGGAATCTGAACTGATCAGTAAGTAAATTATTTCACCCACTTATAAAGTCTTGCTTTTTGTTTTTGCTTTGTTTTTTCCTTCTTCTTTCACTTTTTTACTCGTCACAACTTTTGTGCCTTACTCTCCACGAACATTTGCTAACTCCTTTCAAACTTTTTCGCGATTATTCCAAATTGTTCAATGATGTAAGAGTTGGGAAATTAATATGGAGCTGAAGAAATGGGACCGCATCCGAGCTCAGGTAGATACCATTAAATTAATCGCCTAGCCGTGTACGTCGTTCTCAAGAAACCTATAATTTGGTCATTTCACGTCATAGTTTCACTGAGAACGGCGTGAAACTGGCAAACGTGTTAATAAAAGTTCTCAAATTCAAGTTTCGATCTCCAGTTTAGGGAGAAAGTTGCATGTGGTCAGTGTATTGTCGAGTTGGATTTTTGGACCCTTTCCCTTTGTTTATTCGCCAATACGACGCTGTGCAGGAAAGTGGGTCAAAATTTGTCCCCCCGAAAAGGCCCATAGTGCAATTCGACCAAGCACCGACCTAGTCTGACGCGCTACCTCAGACAGAATGGCCGAAAAAAGCATTTTCTAACTTGATTGACATCTTGCTTGTAATGCAGAATGGGCACGTTCACGTACCAAAGGCTATCGTGGTGTGAAAGTTAAAAATATGACCACAAGTTGGCGAGATGGATTGGCATTTTGTGCTATTTTACACAGCTTTCATTCAGACAAGATGTAAGTTGATTCTCATAACACTACAGCGTGGATCGTTGCTCTTCTCCACGTGTTGTTGTTGTTGTTAACAGGCGAATAAAGGCAAGCGTGAGACACACCTTTACCCGTCGGGCGTGTCGTGCGTTCCATTCCAGCCTTTTGTTTTCCTTCGATGACCCGGAGAAAAGTGTTCTCCAGGCTTTAAAGCGGTTATTTTAGTTTTATGTTCATGTGTAATTATTGTAAACTAACAGATTAATCTATAGCCTGCGAGAGCATCCGTTGATGTGCTTTTTGGTGTGCTTTTTATTTTTAAAGCGTTTTATAATGCCCTGACCTCTTCACTCATGACATTTTAAAACTTCGATGCCATCTTGACACTCAGACGTACACGTACGGAAGGCGTCATGGCAATTTTGTAATTTCACATGTGAACAAAATTAAAGAGTAATTTGTCGCCTATATTGATACGTCCACAATACATGTTTATACGTGGATTTCATTTTTTAAACTGAGTGCGTCATTTCGTCCTTATTTCCAGTGACTTTTCATCTCTCAACCCACAAAACATCAAAGAGAATAACAAGCAGGTAGGTTGTAGATGCATTTGATTGATATTCCTCAGGGCTGGTAGTCACGAGCACCACACTCCCAACTGTTCTTTGCACCAGTTAAAAAAATCGAACCTCGTTTTCTTAAATCCTGGTAAACCCAGTGTTAAACCTCTCCAGGGATAAAACTGAATTGTAACATTTGCTGTCCTTAGTATCCTCAGACATCAACACACTTAGCTTTGTCGACCCTTTAACCCTCGCCGTAGTAGCGTGTGAGCAGGCCCTCTCTGTCTGAAGGAAGGTTAGCGCCACAGACAAAACTAAACCTCTCGTTAAGTCTGCGAGCTAGCGCCAAAATCCTTGAGTACGCGCCATGATTTGCTAGTTAAGAAAGCCATTGTCGATTTGCTTATCAGGTTGAAGGGAAATTCGAAACGTACTTCCGGTAATTCGCACCGGAAGTACGTTGGCGGCCCAAATCTTAGTGCTGCTTCGCAGACGTCACTGGCCAAGGTTAGATTACATCTGTGACGCAGGCTGTCATTTAACCCCTTAAGCCGCAATATCCACATACAAATTCTCCAAACTGATCTCCATACATTTCCTTGATGAATGAGTCGAGAGAATTTGATAAAAGATCAAAGTATTTTCTCTTAGGTGATCATTTTATTAATTCTTATAACCCTATCTCTTGACATTGTATGGATGTCGTTAAGAGAAAGTTGATGTTGGTCACCTTTGGGACTTAAAGGGTTAACAGTCTGTCTTTTGTTTTTTCCTTCAGGCATTCACTGCTTTTGAAAAGCTGGGTATACCGCGTCTACTGGATCCCGTTCAAATGATGTTTTCTCCTGTCCCGGACAAGCTATCAGTCATGACTTACGTGTTTCAAATCCAGACACATTTCACTCGGACACAGGCTCTTGCTCCCAGTCCCCTTAGCCTCAAAAAGCCTACACCCCGGTCGCGCCCTGCCCCACCCCCTCCAGCGTCTGTCACTTCTAAAGATGAGCCCATAGACCTTGCTGATGTTGATATAGCATGCGATTCTTCAATTAATGATAATGATAGCGAGCGAAAGCAACAGGAGACTGAAGGTTACAACCCATTTCTTGATGACGATGTGGAGCTGAAAACCGTGTCTGAAGAGTCAACGGCTTCTGACACCGGCCTGAGCGATGCTGGTCAGACAAGTGCGTATAATATCGAAAAAGAAACCGTTTTAGACGCTTCGAATTCGAGCTTAGAGAACAAAAATGTTCTGAAGACGAGTCAGAGCAAGGAAAATGACGTTAGTGTAAACAATGTTTTGAAACCGCCTCCTAAACCTCCAAGAGTTTTTCAGGCTACTGAAAGCCCTAGCGCCGATGCAAAGGTTAAAAGCACTAATTTAGTAGACAAGAAAGACAAAAGTGAATCAAAGAGTTATAATCCATTTGACGAGGATGAAAGTGAAGACGTTGTATCGGATAAGCAGCGTACTGACTCGTCCTCCAAATTAAAAACGCCTCAGCCAGGATACAATCCATTCGATGACGATAATGAAGAAGCTGGCGTTCTTGATTCTAAGACGCAAATTGTTAATGATAAAGAAACTAAACGCGCATACAATCCATTCGATGAAGACGATGATGATGACGATGTCACGCAGACTGAAAAGGTTGAAGAAGATAATATGGGTAAGAAAGAGAAAGGAAAGAGGAAAGTTTCCTACCCTCATAGTTTTAATCCTTTCGAAGACGACGATGATTTCAAATCAAGTGAAATTGATCAAAGTATGGAAAGTAATGAATCAAAAGACACTGGAAGCGATAAAGGCACCCCCTCCAAGGGTTACAATCCCTTTGATGACGATAATGATGAACGTGCAAGTAATGATGTGAGTTCAACGAGGAAATCACGCTTGGAAATTAAAGGAAAACCTGGCCAAGTTGACCGGACTGAAAGAGCCTCCCCCTCGCCGGTGAGTGCGGGTCGCATGCTGTTTTTCGCAAGTGTCACCGAAGTTAATTTAGTGTGCCCGCCGTGAAGCACTGGTATGAAGTGAAAATTGATGTAAATTGTGTCGTATTGTGAGTGCTGAAAGTAAGAAACACTACAAATTGTTCTGAACCGCCAGTTCTAGAAAGGAAAGTAAGGTAAGCTAGGAATAGAAAAAAGACAAAAAATAATATCTATGTTGTAGGTGAAAATGTCTATTGGTTGTCTGAACAGCAGTGAGGTACATACCGAAGCTGATCACGATTTGATCACGTGCTTTTCCCGCACTTGTGCATTTACCTTGAATAATTCGGATTGGTTTATTGAACTGACGATACAATAAGTGTGGTTTATTTCTCGCAAGATTTATGGGATATTTCTGTATTCCTTAAGATGCTAATTTTACCTTTTGAAATGAATTTTTATCATAGGTCAGGAATGTAAAAAAGAGGCAAGCGCCTCCACCGCCGGCAACGCGTGCATCAGATGATCCTTGGACGGCAAGACTTCCTGATGACGTTTTAGCTGTGAGTTACATGATACTCTGGCATTTTAACTTAAACTACTAGTAATCATAGATTAATGAGTGCGTTCGAGTTTTCTTAGCTCCAGGCCCAAGTTGGTCAAACGCTGGATAGCGTTACCCACCGGATAAATCACTATCCAGTGGATAAGTATTAAGGAAACCTATTGTGCTGTCCAGCGGAGAGAGATTTATCCGGTGGATGGCGTTTGAACAATTGGGGCCAGGTTAGCATTTATACCGTCAACCATTATTTCAGTCATGAAAATTTTTTTAAACATGCCACGAGGTGAGCGACTGGCAAATGCGCATATCAGTTAAATAGCTTGAGCTAAATGATTCAAAATGGCGAGAAAAAGAATACGTAGGACGGAAAACGCTTGCTGAAAAGGTCACCCTTGAGTACCACAGGAATCTCAAGATTATGTGTTGCGTTTTCCCAACGTCGAACGCAATTAGTACCTTTATTAAAAGGAATATTTCAAAACTTCCCCTCTAATAAAGGTAAAGTTGCCGGTATGTCCATTTTAGCTTTCTGTCTCGTTTCCAGGGTTCTCTTTTACTCGTCCCCGGAGGACAGAGTGGGGAACGAGCAGGGCAGAATCCTGGGGACGAAGTTGGCTTGCATTGAATTTCACAGTTTTTACAGGGCATCATATGTTGTCCTTCTTTTAGAGACGCCGTAGAGGATCAAGACCAACAACACCGGGAGGTAGTGAACAAACATCGCCTCACACCTCCCCTGCAAAAAGAGGGCCGAAAAGAACTGCCCCTGCTCCTCCAAGGCGGCCACCCCTTATTCCTACCTTCGATGAGTGGAGATCTGATCGAGGAACTACTGGTGATAACGAGAGGTCAGCGGTTAGTTCAACTGCGGAGAGCACACCGACCAAACAGGTATCTTCTGACAAGGAAAAAGAAACTCCAACACAGTCAACGCCAGTGTCAGAAGATGGCGTTAGTAAATCTCCGAAGGTATCCAGGGCTGACGAGGCTAATCAGGCAGATATTAAAGAGCGTGCTCGACAAGTACTCATGGATGCCCGAAAAAAAGCTGGGGCCAGCGGTGCGTTGCCTAGGGAACGTGTGGCAGAGATAGCCAAGACCGCGAAAGGAACGACCGCTGGTCAAACAAACGGTGGTTCAACTACAAGTGGAGGCGTTGAAGAGGATAAACAAAAGGTGAAGAGATGGCTTTTATATTGCGGAAAAGTGAACACTTTCCTAGTTATCACACCGTCTCAGTTTTCTCTGTTACACTTCATTTTCTTTTTGCGCTTCTATTCTCGAACTTGAGTTCCGCGTTTGTTACCCGCAGTAGGATTAGCTCAGTCGGTAGAGCGCTTGACTGCAGAGCGGGAGGTCACGGGTTCGATTCCCGGGACCGGACCAATACTCAGCGTCTTAAAATAACTGAGAAATGAGGGTACTGCCTTTGCCCTTTAATAGGCTGGACCTGCGCGTGGCTCGGATGACCAGAAAGCTCTCACATTTTGCTTGCCCGGGGCCAATTCTTGCTGGACTTAGTTAACCCATTAAACCCCAATAACAAAATTCAGATTCTCATTTGTTATCCCTGTACGTTTTCAATAGAAGTAGTGGGGAGAATTTGTTTAAGCATCAATTAGATTTATCTTGTGTGATCATGTCCTCTATTCTCATGACCACTGTGTTTTATAAAACAGTGATATCACAAGGAGAAAGCTGAAAGCTGAAAGGGGTAATGAGTTTGTTAGAAGATGACTTGTCTGCACTCTTGTCCATTGGGCAAGTAAGCTATAAAAGTTACTTGCCCAGCAAGAAAATCTACTAGTCGAGGACAACTGGATTGGTGAATTTTCGAACCCTGCGTTGGAAAATTTTTACGTATCTGCTATCGTGGATTATCCTTATTAATAACTAATAAATAATAACTAATTCCATCATCCCTTTTGAGTATGTTAAGTGTTTTTTTTATTTTGTATTTTTACAATATCTTATCAATGATTCTTTTTTAGGTAGATGATCAGGAAGGTTTGAAAAAGAAAGAAAATCTGCGCTTAAGAAAGGTGAGTTTGCAGTGGGCTTACCTCAGTTATCTACTTCAACATAGGAGTTTTAAGTTGCTAAAATTTCTATTTGTTAAAAACAATGGAAACAGTGCGTCTTACTGTTGAAGACAGTGAGGACGTTTGAAACTCAGTTAATTCTGACATCTATCGTTGCTTTTTTACTGCAGGAAGAACTACAGAGAAGACGAAAAGCGAACGAGAAAGCTCAAAAGCTGGTTCAAAATGCTATTGTCAACGAGAAGACAAAAAAAAATGCATCGTCAACAGAATTATCAACAGCAGCAAAGACACAATCGCAGCCCGAAAATGAAGCCTCTGCTGCCAACGTTGATCAAAAAGCTGTTAAAAACAAAAATCTACAGCATCGTCCTCTAAAACTCAAAGATAAAGAAAATGAATCTAACAAACGTAGATCGTCAACAGAAAATGACAGCAAGTCTCCCCCAGACAAAGCGAACTTTAAAGAAAGTGAAGAGCTACAGAGAATAAGACATATTTTGAATCAAGGAAAGAAAGACAAAAAGCCTGCAAACTCTGAAAATACTGTCCAGGGAAGTGAAACAGCCAAAACAAAAGGTCCTGTGACATCCCAGGAAAGCAAAAGGAAAATCTCGGATAGCAAATCTCCTAAGAATTCCTCTATGAATGGACTGGCAAGCAAACTACAATCCAAACCTTTACAGAAGCAAAACCGGCAGGGACCCAATGCCGGCTTACATGCTTACGTAGCGAGCCGAAAAATAAACTTCGATTCTTTTGACGTACCACCCACTCAGAATGAACAAAGTGATGAGCAGGTTACAGAGGAGGCAGACAACGGTAGGACAATCAACATTACAATTTAGTTTTCGACCGGTTGAAACTTCCTGTGTTAAGACCGTGTAAACTTTTGTACGTTAAAGCGATAGTTGAATGGTTTCGTGGTAACTCAGCTGGGTGACTTCATTTGATGTATGACATTTTGTCCCTCCACACGAAAACTACAATAATGCGTTTTCAAAACCTCCCTTGTTGGGACAGTTTTGTGGCCGAAAAAGCTGTAAGGCTTAAACGGCGAAGAAAATCCAAACATGTTTTCGTACATTCACCACTTTAGAAACCAGAACAAACCTGGGGCGAGTTAACTTTCGCAAAGACTTCTGGTATTGTTACTGGGCACAGAACAAACAAATGGGCTAATAACTGAATGACGTCCTCAGTAACGATCCCAGAAATCTTTGCAAAAGTCAACTCGACCCAGTCTCTTCGTTTTTAACGTGCCGAATTATTACTTTACTTCATATCATCTTTCTCATACAGGTGCTGATACTGAAGACATAACGAATGGTGAAACTAAGGTATATAGGGTTACCACATTTCAACGATAGGGAGCTTTAGATTCGTGGACGAGGGCGAATACGAGTACGAGGTTTTCTCAATACTAAGTAGTGCAAAGTGCACGTGCGTGAGCCAGCGTCATTTTGGCGGGAAAACGTGATAGCCGTCGTCATTCTACAACGAGTTTTAGGGAGAATGTCGTAGTGGCGGGAACAAGTTATCAAATGTAAGAATTTTTATCATTCCGATATCGGGAGAGGGCTGAATCTCCTTCAGTATAAATAACGGTACTAACTATTTTGGTGAAAAAAGGTAAAATGCAGCTTTCCGGAGTGTTTTTTTTAGAACACGCACAAAAACTTTAAGTTAAATCTCGTACTCGTACTCGTTGTCGTCCTCAAATCTAAAGCTTTCTAATATATATGATTGTTATAGAGGTCAGATAAATCTCACGACCTGTACGTTCTACGCTCAGTCATTTCCACTGTGGTCTTATTTTAAAGGACCTTAAAGACCCCTCATTGGCTGAGGAGGAACAAGACTCCCTGGATCAATCACTGGTGAGAATTTACAAGTTAAAGGGGCTCGCCACGGCAACTAAATCCCAAATTTTAAATTCTTATTTCTAATTTCTAAATGACAAGATCACAGCTTCGAGACCAACAAATTTGTTTCCCAAACGTAATGATTAAAACTTTTGCTAGAACCAACAGAGATAAACTATGAAAAACTTTTGGGCTGAACTGTGTTTTTTCTTCACTTCAGTCAAATACCGGTTTAATCTTTTTGAAAGCATTCTTACCTTGTCCTTAATCTTTCTTTACTGTTCTTAGCAGTGTAGCCAATTCCTAATGGCGAAGTTTGGCCAAATTGCCTGAAACAGCTTTTCAATATGGCCTTTCGACGAGAGGAATTGCCCCCATATTTCATAGTAAGCGAGATCTGTAGAGGGTACAAATGTTCCCCTTTTGGGGACGGGTTGTGGAGGTGATATCGCCTTCGAGGTTCCCGCCGTAATTAAATAAGGATGACGACCTCTCGGAGTGGGCGATCGATTTCGACAACCACCCATCATTCAACAACTGTATTATCTTTGCAAACAATGCATCTGCACCAAGTCTTTCCCAAAGAACGTGTCGCCCAATGTCTACCATTCCTTGATGACTCCTCAGTCTCCAAATTGTAGCCGTCTCCCTTGAAAATCCGTAGGAAAGGAAGTGAAAGGATGTTATGTATCCCTTTACCCATCACCACATTTCTGACTGATTTTTCCAGGAACTTCAAGATACCTCTGAATACGTACGGCAAGAGCTAAAATTACTCGAAGAACAGCAAAAAGCTCTGGACAAAGTCGGGGAAAAACTCGAAATTGAACTGCGCCGAGCAATGGAGTGCAAAGGTACTGTTGATTGAATCAGTTAAGTGACCGTTGGTGAGGTCGTGTACAGGCCATTTTCAAGTCCCAAAAACCCTCACTTTCGAGACGAGGCTAAGTGAGTATCATTTGCAAAAGAATGAAATATCATTTTCACATCAATGGCTTCCCACTTAGCCTCGCTTTGAGACAGAGGCTTGGAGCAACTCGGAAATTACCTGGTTTTTAAAAAACCTTGTTCCCAGGCTAACTCTTCCTGTCGCCAGGGTGAGTACAGGAGAAGAGTTTCTGTTTAGCATTAATTTTGTGAATGCATTTTCATTTGTACGCACGTCGCCCTCAATAGACCTCTTTAGCTTGTATGTTTTGTTTTCCCAATACAGGTCAGGTGATAATACTCGAGGGAACCGTTTCTTTCAAATTTCGTCTTGTTCACTTGCATATCTATGCATAATTTATGAAAAGACAATGGGTCAAGTTGCCCTTGGGAAAACAAAACATACAAGCTAAAAAAGTTTATTGGGCAACTCTGGGTGGTGGTGTGAATGTAATGGGTCACCCATTTTTGTGCTATTTTGAGAAGGTAAACACGCTCGAAATCGTAGGGAAAATATTTTGAAAACGCCGCTCTGGTGATATCTTTCTTCACGTAACTGCGTCGTTTTTTTAAGGAAACACAGTTTTTCGATGGAGTATCGAGTTTTAAAACCCTGGTGGTATAAAATGCAGGATTTGGGAAAGAAACGTTTTGTAAGATCTTGCACCTGTTTTTTATTCGCAGGTTGTGAAGAAGAACAGGAAAAATTAATGCAGGACTGGTTTTTACTTGTTAACAAGAAAAACGAGCTGGTTAGAAGACAAGCTGAATTGAATTTACTGTAAGTATTTTGTTTATCTTTTTGGAGCATTTTAGAAAATAAACTAGCAATTAATGAACCAGTCTCTGAGAAGTGAACTACGATTAAAACTCGATGGACAACAACCTCCCGAGATCAAACACCAATTCTTGGCGTTTAAGGTTGTTGTTTACGGAAGGTTCGACTGCCTCTTTTCTTTTTATATATATTGCAGTAAAAACGAAGAAGACTTGGAAAGAAGTCATGATATGCTGCAGCGGGAATTGCGAGCTCTATTGGAAATGGAGGGTAAGAAGAAATTAATCGTAACCGACAAGGGGTGCGTTTCAACTCGGAGATGAAAATTGACAGGTTTATTCAATGGAAAGTCCAAATGTTTAAACTCTGTGACTTGTCCGAGAAAGACCGTTAATTTTGTGTCGCGAAAATCTTTGAGATTGCAGAGAAAGTTACTAGTTATTCCAGGGACTAGTCCGCCATTAAGTTATTTGTGATGTAGCCCAAAAAGAAAAACGTCGACGTGTACAAAGCAGTCAACATTTTTGAGTAACAGGGTGCTGTTGTTTTATGACGACACAGAATTTGCAGTGCTGCCCGCTTTCAAACAGTAGCATTGTTTGATGGCATGTGACCTTGACCAATGGGAGCGCGCATTGTTGAGAAAGAAATCCAGCTACATAATAACAGTTAGGAACGGTCTTAACTCTGTCACTCCCTGGTGACGTGCACCCACTTCCACTCTAGTTCAGGCCCCGCACCGGGGAAATATATTATTGTCATTATCTTTCTTTCTCAGATAATCAGAAGACTGACGAGCAAAGAGAGCGAGAAGCAGAGTTAATCGAACAGTTAGTGTTGGTGGTGAACAAAAGAGATCAGTTAGTGCAGTTTGAGGACTCGCAACTTCAACAGTAAGTAGTTAAGGCCATGCGCGGCCTGTGAATGTAAGGTAGATTGTCCTGAATTAACTTCTGATTGGACGAGTAAATTTCCAAGTGCGGGAAAAGTTAGCTAGTTTCCAGTCCATTTTGGCGATCGTTGTCTCAACGTCGAATGGTAGTTCCCATAAACCGCTCGGTCGCTAAACCTGGCGCTTAGCTCTTTCGCCATGCCAATTCCATAATCTTAAAATTGCCTGTTTTAAAACGTTCTTGACTAAGAGTGTCTCGTAATACTTTTGTTGCAGTTACAGCAAGCGTTGCAGTAAAATCAAGGAATATTCTTCTGCGAGTGGTTCGAATGTACTTAAAATTAACGCATTTCTGTTCTTTTTGACATCTTTCAGAGCCGAGAAAGATGCGCTACATGTACAGAAGGTAATCGACAATGCTAGGATACCCAAAGACAAAGGCGAATGTGTGCTGCAGTAAAAACATAAAAATCATAATGTGTTCAGCAGACTTTGGAATTGTTGAGGTGAAGGAACCAGAGGCTGCGGTAATGAAATCGTGTCATGTCACTTGAGACTTGAAACCGAGTATTTGGTCATATTATGGAGAAATAACACGTCGAGCAACCAATACGCGAGTCTATTAAGACCTGTTTAAACCGTTTCAACATTCCCCCAACGTTTGTTGCCGTTGAGGCGATGCTGAATGAAAGTTCTACCCTTCAAACCCTGATATCAGCATGCGGCATTTTCTCCACACAATTTTCGAAATATTTCCCCTGGTACTGATGGAAAACAAATATTCAAGTTAGTCTTATATGGGTGTTTTCACGAGCGGGTTAGATGATTTTAGGATTGCGTTCTGACTGGCTATTCGTGCACGCAAGACGGACCTATCTCGCCCGCTCTGTTTCGCTTTGGCTCCCCAAGAAGAGATATGCTGTTGCGGGAAAAAAAGTCCTTTGTTGAGCACGCTTGTTCGGTCAAGATCGCTGGATATTTGCCTCGTTGTTGTTGTTGTTGTTGTTGTTTTTGGCATGTTTATTGCCCTCGACTCGTCTCGGTTCTTGGAAACGGGAAAAAAGACCTTTGCTAATATCCAGCCCTCTTGATCGAGCCGACTTGCACTAACGCATATATTATTTCAATTTCTTTATTCTTATGATCTTGGGGTTTGATTGTAAGGGTTGTTTTATGGAGAAGCAAGGCTGAATAGAGTTGAAAATATAAGCGTAATAAATGTATGATGCTAAGCAAAAATTTTACTTAGCGAGCCGATTTTGCGTTTGTACAGGTATAACATTTTAAGTGGCTTCTCCTTGTTAAAAACGGAAATTAGAGGAGTTCACCAAATTTCTTCAATAAATTGGTGATCTGGACGGCAAGATTGCGTCAAGTAGGATCTATGTAAACACTGAATATATAATAACACCACTCCGAAATAAGAAATCGAAATAAATGCATCTATGAAGAACAAGAAAAGTCTATCTGATCTGAAATATCCGGGGTGTTTAATGACTTAGAATAATACGTGTCAATAGTGCAGTATTCTCTGGTTGCACTTATCTGTTACATTGAACCCGTGGCAAGCCTCACAGCTCCCCTCTCTGTTCTCTTTTACCCGTTGTCAGTTCTGGTAGAGTGAAGGTATCAGTAGAAACGACTCAATGTGAGTCCCACGCGCATAGTCTAATCGAACTTTTAAAAGTTTGCCATTTTATATGGCTAGGTGTTTGCGGAGCAAAATTCAGCTTTACAGAAGGAAAGGAAAAGAGAATTTAAAGAAATTAATAAAAAGAAAAGAAGGATGGAGAAAGGAAGGCGCTTCTTTCCCTTTCTTCCCGATTCGCTCAAATCTTTTCGTAATGAACCCAGATCTCCAACGGTTATACGATTTATATGTAAGGCTTACATGAAGTACGGACCTACAATCACACCTCGATGATACTTTCAATACCGTGTTGGAGCTCTTAAACGTCGACTGTGGACCTTTTGAAATACTCAGCAATCAGTAACAGTAATCAGTATGCAGGTTTGTATTTGTTTGTGATCTACAATCCTTAGCTATAGTAAAAAAAAAAAAGCGGGCGAAGAATCGATTGTTTTTCTAGTTGGCGATGTTGAAAAGAGCAATTGATTCAGTCGCAAAACACAATCCACAGGGTAGTTAAATTATTTTATCAATTATTCCTTTCGCGCTTGTTGAGATGGTAGGTAGCCAACGAGGCGCGTTGTGGCGAGTAAGCAATCCATGTAAGATCAAACAAATGTGATTAAAATAATTCTTTTCGTAAAAAACTCTATGAACAGGCCGCAATATAAACCATCTTTATGAAGAGACACCGAAAGAGTCAAAGGACTGGCCGTCGATAAAACCCGGAACACGGAACATTCCGGAACATCCCGGAACATCCCGGAACATGAAAAAATAAAAATAATTTTCATGAAAAAAAATATAATAAAATAATGATAATAAAATAATTTTTGTAAAAATTAATATTAACGTAAAATAACAAAAGAAAAACGAAAAATAATCAATTAATCAAGAAAAAGAAACTGATATCCTCTGTGAGTATGAGAAAACAATATTTTGTCGCAACAAATTAAAATTTGTTGGGCGAGTGAGGGTTCATGCAAATGACAGTAACGAGTAAAGGCTTGCTTCTAAATTCAAAATATATTAAAATGGGTCGCGAGGAGGGGGGTTTTTTAAGCTTTCCTCACACAGTTACCTCTTGTAATTGTTTGCCGTGAGTTAATTATTTGGTGGTTATCCATTTACGGTTCTGCAATGGTCTGAAATGTCGGTGCAGTATTTCATGTCAAGCCAAGTCGGTAAGTAGCTCATTTCAAGCCAACATATAGTCTCCTTATTTATAACCGACATTTGCTTACTTGAGGTGCTTTGCTTTCTTTGAACATGAATTACTTACAGACTAGGTGGCTCTGTGAACTTAAGAAGAGTATAGGGGCTCCTGTCTTTGGATTTTAGTCGACAATACTCACATTCGTAGTAGTTTCTATACTGTTTACAGTCAGCATGATATTTCAGACGTCTCCTCTAGTCGCAGGAGGAGTTTGCGGGGAGACGGCTAAAATTCAGGCTAACTGATAACAGTTAGAAACTACCGCTTCGCTACCACTGCCACTGCAACTATTCACGGTGAATCTGAATCTTTAATTTAATTATCCAAGTCCAAAGCGACAAGCCCCTAAGCTCTTCTTTTGGTCACAAAGCCGTAAATGGATAACCCTTAAACCACATGGCAAACCTTTACAAGAGGTGGCTGTGTGACAAAAGCCTGAAAACCCTCTCCTCGCGACCCATTTTAATATATTTTGAATTAAGAAGCAAGCCTTCACTCATTAGGGTGACCAGGGTGAGTAGGATGACTGGGGACTGTCATTTGAATGGACCCTTACTCGCCCACTGCAAAAAATTCATTGCAACAAAATATTGTTTTCTCATACTCGGAGATGATACCAGTTTCTTTTTCTTTCTTTCTTGGTTTGTTTCTTTATTTTTCGTTTTTATGTTATGTTATGTTATTTATTTTGTTATTATAAATTTTTGCAAAAATTGTTTTCTATCTATTGTTCCTTTTATTATTTATTATTATTATTATTATTATTATTATTTAGTTAATTAATCATTTTTTCATAAAAAAATATTTTAATTTTTTCATGTTCCGGGATGTTCCGGGATGTTCTGAAATGTTCCGGAATGTTCCGAGATGTTCCATGTTCCGGGTTTTATCGACGGCCCAAAGGACTTCCGCTTTTCACATGCCACAATAATTAACATTCGAACACAAGCAAAGGTCGGTGACAAATCGTGTGTACTGGAGAATTTTCCTGAAAATCTTTGTCTCCAGAATTTTGTCGCTGCTGCAACAAGTCGCAAAAAATCAAATCAGACTTAATTTGTCGGAATTTATCGCCCAAAACATTTCTAAATCGCCAAAACGGCCGCAAAAAGGAGCCACTTATTTATCCCCTGCCACTCAACATGACGGCGACATCACAGGTAAATTCTAATGCTAAATGGGCTATTTTACAGTTATGGTTGGAAGCGAGGCTGACGGTGATCTTGTTTTGATTCAAACTTTCCTGCTTTGTTATATATATTAAGTTATTCTCATGCTAACTAAAATTTTTCAAGGACAACTTGAAACAAGTGTATCAAAACAAGGTCACTGTCAGCCTCACATTCACTCGATGGCTAGGGTACTAAGTCCACAACTGTTGAATTGTCTATTGTAGTCTGTAAACGACAATACTCAAATGATTGACAGCTTGTCAATGAATAAAGTTCGTATTCAACTATTTCTACTTTACCTGCATCTGAAGAAAATGGCAAGACAGCTGTCGCATGTTTCTGACAGGATTTTAGTTACCTTAGGCTTTTTGTTTTGAGGGGAAGCTATGGATTGATTCATCTTGAACTTCTTAACACTCGTTTGGTTGTGATAGTCCCGGCTGAACAATTCCTTAACTTCTTTGTCCATATTTAACAGCGGCAGAGCGAAATCAAAAGTTGGCTGGGGGAGGGGGGGGGGGCTGAAAATAAAATTGGACATTCAATTTTTTAGGGGTTCCCCACAATAAGAAGTGGGGGGCCGCCCCCCCCCCCCCAATCCTCCGCTTCCGCTGCCTATGACATTGTAGTTTGTTTCATTTCGTTTCGTGTCAATTTAACTATGACTTTTAAAAAAATCTGATTGATAGTTAAAACTCAGATTTTACAGTGTTGTTTACAAAGTTGTTACTGAAAATTTCGGAGTGCCTGTCACTATCCGCTATATTTTAGGTGGGAAAAAGTGGAGGCCGCAAGCATCGCCGGGATTTTTCCGTGAAATACCACTCGTTACATAACGCAGAATATGCAACGGGTTTTTAGTTTCTAGAAATATTCCGTTAATGGCCTAATAAACGCCTTGGGCGTCTATATAATTTAAGGGGTCCAAGTGGGGCGTTTAATAGATAGGAGACGTTTAAAAGAGAGAGGCGTTTATTCTCATAATTATAAGAAGCTCAAGAAAACTTATATGCTTTAGCCAAACACATCTGGAGAGTTTAAAAATAGCGGATTACCCTCTCCATCAATTGATACGTCTAGGCTGTCTGACCTGTGTAGAGATCCAACATCGATGTCAGAATCCTTGCTCAGGGTTATTGTCTTGCCATCCTATTTTATCCTTACTTAGAACTTGACATTAAGCAAGATGAAATAATACGCAAAGTCTTGTTGAACAAGCAAGAAACTGAATGAGCTGAATGAGTTTGCTCCGTTTTGCTAATTTCCAGTATTTTGCAGTAATTCTCAAAGGGGACGTTTATTAGAGAGGGGCTTCTAATACAATTTTAACAACGTAGAGGGGGCGTCTATTAGATAACAGGCGTTTATTAGGTAATTTATGGTATATGAGCCATCCGACGGTCCACGCGCCGTTCGCGGGACGAGATTATAAACCTCTTTTCGCGGGGATTATTATTATTATTATTATTATGATTATGATTATTATTATGATTATTATTATTATTATTTTTTTTTAACTTTTTGATGCTTTTTATAATTGTTATTAGTAGTCTTTAGATAGTCATTTTACGACAAGTCTTTTTCGTACACAAGAAGAATGTACATAGGGTATATATTTTAATATTTCATATTCTTGAATCTGTAAATACTCTATTTTTTTTAAATCTATGAATAAAGTTTTGTATTAAAATTAATGATAATAATAATTATTATTATTTTTCAATCGAAATTAAGTGTCTTCTTTTAATCGAAAGGAATAATGTAAATAGTGCTTGGACGGAATAGTTTTTTAAGTGAAATTAATTGTAAATAGGATTTTATAGTTAGCTTTGTTATCAATAAAAGATTTGGATTTATTATTATTATTATTATTATTATTTTGTAATTTGTGATGGTTGACGACGAAGCTGTCTCGGGAGCGTTATCAAACCGAAAAACTTTTTTATTTGAGAACGGTCCTGTTGAGCGAGGGTAACCCGCTTAGGCCTGTTTCAAACGTCGTGCTACTGCCGTGCTAAGCTGGCTCGACTGCAGCACGACTTGGTTTCAGACGTCGAATTTAATTCAGTCGAATAGAACGGGTGTTGCCGAAAACAAAACACACACACAAAAAAGAAACGGTTTAGCAAACTTTTAAATATATTCTAATATATTTATAATTTATGAATTGAGTTCGACTTTTGAAACCAAGTCGAGCTACTGCCGTGCTAAAGTCGAATTTAATTCGATCAACTGAGTTCGGCACGGCAGTAGCACGACGTTTGAAACGGGCCATATGACTCCGTCACTTACGATCTTTGTCACGTAGAAAACCGTTTTTTCGCCCACGGAGGGAACTGCCTAACTAGTAAGAGCATTCACTTTTTCTTTCTTTCTCTCTCAACAGAAGAACGATAAACCCCATGTCATCAGTATTGGTTTAATCGTTTCAGAGTTTCTTTTTGCCACCCGTCGTTATTCCAAGGCTATTGACGTATACGAAGAGTGTCTTTCCACCATAGAGAGAGAAAGCCGCGTCAGTGGCAACGATGAGCAGTCTGCTTTCATGTTTGCCAATCAAGCACAGAGCATTTATTCTACAGGGCATAGATTCATCACTTCTCTTTTAAATATTGGCCACGTGAATGAAGCAACAGAACTGAGCGAAAAAGCTCTGAAAGCAGTCGAAAAAACCGAAAACCGCTATGGTCAAGCGATATTTTATATTTCTCTTAGCTGCGTACAAAAGTTCCGTTGTCAGTTATCAAATTCACAGAATTCTTGCGAGAAAGCAAGAAAGATAATGAAGGAGATAGACTGTAAACCTGGTGAGGCGGCGGCCCTCAGACACCTTGGTGATGTGTATGCGGAACTGAGTCTGTACGATAAGTCATTGAAGTGCAATCAAAAAGCCCAAAAAATATTTCGAGACTTCTCCCTCAGAATTGGAGAAATCGGGTGTTTATTTGGCATAGGTGCTGTATATCGAGATCGTGGGCATTACAAGGAAGCTTACAGTTGTTTTGAGGAAAGTCTTGCAATCAGCAAGGAATTGGGAAACGAGGAATACATTGGAAAATCACACCTCATTATCGCAGGTGCGTGCATTGCTCTGGAAAAGTATCAGTTGTCGATCGAACATGCTGAGAAAAGCCTTTCAATTGGTGGAAATTATCGAGAGCAAAGATCATGTCTTGATTCCATTGGTCAGGCATACAGATGTCAAGGCAAATATGAAGAATCCCTCAAGTTTCATAATAAAGCTCTAAAGATTGCCGAAAACATTAACGATAAAATAGGGGAAGCAAAATGTTACAAGAGCCTTGGAGAGATCCATCACTTTCGATGCGCTTACAACACCTCGATTGACTACTATGAGAAAGGCCTCAAGATCAGTCAAGAAAGTGGAATGCGTCGATATGAAGGAATATTTTGCGGCAACCTGGGAAGTGCACATTACATGATGGGGCGATACGACAAATCCATCGCATGCTATGAGTGGAGTCTGAAAATCAGCAAGGAACTTAAAGATAGACAAGGAGAGGAAGCAGCTCACTGTAATCTCGGATGTGTGTACTTTGCCTTGGGTAAATATAGCGAATCTCTGAACTATTTACAGAACGGTTTGTCCATTTGTCGAGAAACATGTAGTGGACAAGGAGAAGGGACATACATGAGGAACATTGGTTGCCTATACCATGCACTTGGTCAGTATGACAAAGCGATAGAGCATTTTGAGAATGGGCTTAAGATCAGCGTCAAAACACAAGACAAGGATGGAGAAGGGACATGTCATGACGGTCTTGGCAGATCGTATCGCATGATGGGACAGTTAAGCAAATCAATGAAACATCATCGCAAAAGCCTTCAAATAGCTGAATCAATTGGAGATAAAAATGGGAAAGCGGCATCTCTCAGCCATCTTGGACTTCTGTACACTGCAGATGGTCAGTATGAGGAAGCAGTCAGAAAGCACGAAAAAAGTCTTGAGATCTGTCAGGAAATTGGAAACAAAATGGGTGAAGGAGCATGCTTGTTTAACCTCGGAGTCGTATATGCTCTTCTCGGACAGTGGGATAAATCCTACAGTTATCAGCATAAAGGACTGAGCGTTTTCAAGCAACTGCAAGCTCGAGAATTTCAGCGTAGTGCAATGCACAGCCTGGGTTTTTGTAATGCGTTGCAGGGAAATTTTCATGCGGCAAACTTCTTCACAATGAGTGCCATTCGGGTACAAGAAGAATTACGAGAATACCTTTCAGATGAACACAAACTGTCACTAGACGATTTAGACGTTTCTAAGGTCCTTTACAAGACCTTGGTACTAATTATGATTCTCCAGGGGGATGCTACTACCGCACTGTTAATTGCAGAAGAAGGGAGGGCTCGTGCACTAGCGGATTTGATGTCTATTCAATATGCAATCCCCAACGTATTTAATATGACGAGACAATCGACTGTCAGGGATTTGACCAACTTTTTCCTTCAGGAAAGTAAGAACTTTCTCTTCATGGTCTTTCTAGACGAGCTAAGTTGCTGGTTCGTAGACAAGGAGGCACAAGTAACATTCAGGAAAGCTCCTCAGAATGACCTTTGTATTGAGTCAAGAGCAGAAAGAAGTAGAGAGTTTACGTTCGATCTTCAAAAGCTGTACAAGGCCATCGTCACTCCCTTTTCTGATCTGATTGATGAAGGTTCGGAGATCATTATTGTTCCTGAAGGCTGGTTGTTCCTGGTACCGTTTGCAGCTCTGAAGGACGAAAATGGAACTTACCTGTCAGAAACTGTGAGAATCCGCCTCATTCCCTCCATAGCAACCCTCAAGCTCATTCATGATTCTCCAATGGATTATCACTGCAACACTGGAGCGCTAATTGTAGGGGATCCGAAGGTTGGTCTCGTGGAGATAAATGGAAATGTTGAGGAACTTCCTCCACTGCCGAGTGCTAGAGAAGAGGTAGGCGTAATTTCAAGGCTGTTGGGAGTGGAGTGCCTAGTAGGGGAGCAAGCCACAAAGGAAGAGGTGCTGCGTAGGATCCGGGAGGTATGTTTGGTTCACATTGCTGCCCATGGTAATGCAGAGAAAGGGGAGATTGCTCTTGCCCCCAAAAGGTCTGTCACCGGAATGCCCAAAAAAGAAGATTTCATGCTGACAATAAAGGAAATAGCTCAAGCTAGCATTAGGGCCAAACTAGTGGTACTAAGCTGCTGTCACAGTGCTCGTGGAACAATTCTGACAGCGGAAGGTGTTGTCGGAATTGCTCGTGCTTTTCTCGGGTCTGGGGCCCGCTCCGTTCTCATTTCCCTGTCAGAGATTGATGACAGTGCCACTAAGACGTTTATGGAGTCCTTTTATAAGTGCCTGGTTCATAAAAAAATGAGCGCCAGTGAGGCTCTTCATCGGACCCAAAACGATATGAGAACGACCCTAGGATTCAAGGACGAAAAGGACTGGGCATCATTTGTTCTGCATGGAGATGATATAACGTTGGACATAGATGAAATTGTAAGTACATTTTTATTCTTTTCCCCTTTCCTTAGACTAGGTCTGGAATTCATTAACGTTGTCACCTACCCCCACTCGGGAAGAAGCGGACGTTAACGAGCCCACTTGCTAGGGAGCTTAAGCAGCCATGACGACGATGGCAACGAGAACGTCAAAACAACAGTAGGTGTTATGAGCAAACAACAGCGCTGCACGTGCATCACTTTTTTTGCTACATTCATTTGACGACCACTGCACGACTACTACGTGAATCTTCCTAATGCGACGTTTTATAGAGGATATAAGAACATGACGGCGAATTTTCCTTTCCTGTTTCGAACCTGGATACAGTCCTTATAAATATAGCTCCAGGAAAATTCGCAAACTTTTGACAACTTGAACGAGACTAAATAAACGCGTTTAAGTTTGAAAGAACGCACTTTCATTCTTTTTGTTGACGTTTTCACTGCTGTGGTCGTCTTGGTGGCTTAACTTCCCTCCTGTTACTGTGGGGAGTGTAGAATTTCTTGTTGTGGTTGAAGAAGAGCCATACTAATCATTGTCATTGTCCTTGTCCATTGTTATTGTTGTTGTTATTGTTATTGTTGTCATGTTAAAAAACCCGGACCATACTTTGCTGACCTTTTTTTTTTTCATTCACAGGCATCAGTCTTATCTACCTGAAATCGTGGCACTACGCTTACTCCTAACTCCGTTGCTCTACAAGAAAGGCCGTTTTTGACTCCGGCGATAAACTGATTAGGTATATGCTGTATGCACTGAAACAATTAGTCACCTTAATTTGAATATTTACTTCGCTAGGACCCTGAAAGCAGCGTCTACTTGCGTCGACTTTTATATTTCATTAAGTAGTTTTCTAGGTTTTACCGTTTTATGTAGATCGACATGACTGAATGGGAGAATTTGTTTTCTGGAGTAGAGGGGTGTAATCGCTTTCTCATAATCATGATAATCGCAGCTGTATGTCAGACTCCTTTGTCGAAAACAGGGACGTGAAAGGAAACAAGCGTCACTGCTATTTACGTTGGAAACAAGAATAAATTTGAAGTAAAACGCTCCTTGTTTTCTGTATCACTTGCAACTTGGGATTTTACGTGCAAAAAAGGCAATCAGCGAAATAAACGATCCTGCACGTCACTTTGAAAAACTTTTTTCCTTTGCAAATGACACATTTCTTACTCCACGAAAAGGAAGAAACCATGCAACTATGAAAGGACACAACCTCAAAATTATTAGAGTTGTCACAGACAAATTAATGACACTTGCCCTTTTATTGATCATTAACTGTTTGAACGTTTTATAATAAGCTATTTAACCGCTTGCTTTAAAACCCCCCGAGACGACTGTTAATCCGTGCGCTTGTTTAAAAGAAACTCCGTATATGTTTACAACACTATCTGTGGCTTCTATGAGCATCTTTATTTTGTCTCCTCGGGCCTGGAAAAGAATAACGGAAATTTTACCATTGATTAATTGAGCCTAAATGTTGTTGTTGTTTTTGTTGTTGTCGTGGTTGTGTCTTTGAAAGTGTTTGCGGAGGTACAGGTGGTAGTATGATGGGAAAAGTGGTGGTGTTGATGGGGGTACTCAGAGGTGGTGATGCTGGGTTTGATAGGGATGTTGGGATGGGGTTGGTACGGGTGGTGGTGATGGGGTGGTAGTGCTGCTAGTGACAAGGGTGGCAGTAGTGGTAGAAGTGGGGGTTGGCAGTGATGGTGATGATGGGGCTTTGTAATGGTGGTGTTGACAAGGGTGGCAGTGGTGATGGGGTTGGCAGCGGTGGTAGTGATGGGGGTTGGTAGAGACGGTGGTTTTTGGGATGTTAGAGGTGGTGTTCACAGGGGCTGAAAGGATTTTAATATGGTGATAGAGATGGTGTTGGCAATGGAGGTGGCAGTAGTGTTTGTAGTTAAGGTGATTAGGTAGTGGTACTGCAACCTGGTCTTCAATGCAGCCCTGGGAAGGAGGTTGGTGGTACTACTGGTCGGATATGAAAGGAAGTGGTCAACTAACCCGCGGAGCCATCCTGGATTGCTGTTATTATGTCCGCCGCTGCCATTTCTCGCACTATTGCCATGGTGATTTGTCCAGTTTTCCCAGTGTCGTTTAAAATTCTCGTTACCAGCATCAGGACTACATGGAAAAGGGACTAACATTTTTCCACTTGTAGCAAGGGGTTTCTTATTTCTAGGGTTTATTCATACTGCGAGCATGAGCCAAGTGCACGTCTAAGACGTAGTTGCCCGCCCAATAAGTTGAATCCCTTTTTCCAGTTCCGCGCGCTATCAATTTCGATTGCATTTGCATTTCGCGCTATTGATCCACTTACACTGAACGCAAGTACGAACGGTTTTTCCATTTCCTTGTCTGGCAAGCGTTTTCTTTGCCTTTTCACATGTAAAATACGAATACGGGCAGAAGGAGGTTACCTCGGCACATTACTCTGGGGTGAGGAAGTTTAGACCTTGCTGATGTTGATATAGCATGCGATTCTTCAATTAACGATAATGATAGTGAGCGAAAGCAACAGGAGACTGAAGGTTTCAACCCATTTCTTGATGACGATGTGGAGCTGAAAACCGTGTCTGAAGAGTCAACGGCTTCTGACACCCGCCTGAGCGATGCTGGTCAGACAAGTGCGTATAATATCGAAAAAGAAACCGTTTTAGACGCTTGGAATTCGAGCTTAGAGAACAAAAATGTTCTAAAGACGAGTCAGAGCTAGTTTTAGAAGAGTTTTTCAGGCTACTGAAAGCCCTAGCGCCGATGAAAAGGTTAAAAGCACTGATTTAATAGATAAGAAAGACGAAAGTGAATCAAAGAATTATAGTCCATTTGACGAGGATGAAAGTGAAGACGTTGTATCGGATAAACAGCCAGAATACAATCCATTCGATGACGATAATGAAGAAGCTGGCGTTCTTGATTCTAAGACGCAAATTGTTAATGATAAAGAAACTAAACGCGCGTACAATCCATTCGATGAAGACGATGATGATGACGATGTCACGCAGACTGAAAAGGTTGAAGAAGATAATATGGGTAAGAAAGAGAAAGGAAAGAGGAAAGTTTCCTACCCTCATAGTTTTAATCCTTTCGAAGACGACGATGATTTCAAATCAAGTGAAATTGATCAAAGTATGGAAAGTAATGAATCAAAAGACACTGGAAGCGATAAAGGCACCGCGTCCAAGGGTTAGAATCCCTTTGATGACGATAATGATGAACGTGCAAGTAATGATGTGAGTTCAACGAGGAAATCACGCTTGGAAATTAAAGGAAAACCTGGCCAAGTTGAACGGACTGAAAGAGCCACCCCCTCGCCGGTGAGTGCGGGTCGCATGCTGTTTTTCGCAAGTGTCACCGAAGTTAATTTAGTGTGCCCGCCGTGAAGCACTGGTATGAAGTGAAAATTAATGTAAATTGTGTCGTATTGTGAGTGCTGAAAGTTAGGAGCACTACAAATTGTTCTGAACCGCCAGTTCTAGAAAGGAAAGTAAGGTAAGCTAGGAATAGAAAAAATAATATCTATGTTGTCGGTGAAAATGTCTATTGGTTGTCTGAACAGCAGTGAGGTACGTACAGAAGCTGATCACGATTTGATCACGTGCCTTTCCCGCGCTTGTGCATTTACGTTGAATAATTCGGACTGGTGTATTGCATTGAAGATACAATAAGTGTGGTTTATTTCTCGCAAGCTTTATAGGATATTTCTGCATTCCTTAAGATGCTTATTTTACCGTTTGAAATGAATTTTTATCATAGGTCAGGAATGTAAAAAAGAGGCAAGCGCTGATGACTTCCTGATGACGTTTTAGCTGTGAGTGACATGATACTCTGGCTCTACTCTGGTTTTCTTAGCTCCAGGCCCAAGTTGTTCAAACGCTGGATAGCGCTACCCACCGGATAAATCACTATCCAGTGGATAAGTATTAAGGAAACCTATTGTGCTGTCCAGCGGAGAGAGATTTATCCGGTGGATAGCGTTTGAACAATTGGGGCCAGGTTAGCATTTATACCGTCAACCATTCATGAAATTTTTTTAAACATGCCACGAGGTGTGCGACTGCCAAATGCGCGTATCAGTTAAATAGCGTGAGCTAAATGATTCAAAATGGCGAGAAAAAGAAGACGTAGGACGGAAAACGCTTGCTGAAAAGCTCACCCTTGAGCACCACAGGAATCTCAAGATTCTGTGTTGCGTTTTCCCAACGTCGAACGCAGTTAGTACCTTTATTAAAAGGAATATTTCAAAACTTCCACTCTAATAAAGGTAAAGTTGCCGGTATGTCCATTTTAGCTTTCTGTCTCGTTTTCAGGGTTCTCTTTTACTCGTCACCGGAGGACAGTGTGGGGAACGAGCAGGGCAGAATCCTGGGGACGAAAATGGCTTGCATTGAATTTCACAGTTTTTACAGCGCATCTTATGTTGTCCTTCTTTCAGAGACGCCGAAGAGGATCAAGACCAACAACACCGGGAGGTAGTGAACAAACATTGCCTCATACCTCCCCTGCAAAAAGAGGACCGAAAAAAAACTGCCCCTGCTCCTCCAAGGCGGCCACCCCTTATTCCTACCTTCGATGAGTGGAGATCTGACCGAGGAACTACTGGAGATAACGAGAGATCAGCGGTTAGTTCAAGTGCGGAGAGCACACCGGCCAAACAGGTATCTTCTGACAAGGGGAAAGAGACTCCTACACAGTCAACGCCAGTGTCAGAAGATGGCGTTAGTAAATCTCCGAAGACATCCAGGGCAGACGAGGCTAATCAGGCAGATATTAAAGAGCGTGCGCGACAAGTGCTCATGGATGCCCGAAAAAAAGCTGGGGCCAGCGGTGCGTTGCCTAGGGAACGTGTGGCAGAGATAGCCAAGACCGCGAAAGGAACGACCGCTGTTCAAACAAGCGTTGGTTCAACTACAAGTGGAGGCGTTGAAGAGGATAAACAAAAGGTGAAGAGATGGCTTTCATATTGCGGAAAAGTGAACACTTTCCTTGTTATGACACCGTCTCAGTTTTCTCTGTTACACTTTATTTTCTTTTTGCGCTTCTATTCTCGAACTTTAGTTCCGCGTTTGTTAACTTCAGTAGGATTAGCTCAGTCGGTAGAGCGGTTGACTGCAGAGCGGGAGGTCGCGGGTTCGATTCCCGGGACCGGACCAATACTCTGGATTCGCATGACCACTGTGTTTTAAAAAGCAGTGATATCACAAGGAGAAATTTGACGCTGATCACTCTTATGGCTGAAAGGGTTTATGATTTTGTTTGAAGATGACTTGCCTGGACTCTTGTCCATTGGGCAAGTAAGCTATAAACGTTACTTGCGCAGCAAAAAAATCTACTGGTCGAGGACTACTAGATAGGTGAATTTTCGAACCCTGCGTTGGAAAATTTTTACATATCTGCTATCGTGGATTATCCTTATTAATAACTAATAAATAATAACTAATTCCATCATCCCTTTTGGGTATGTTAAGTGTTTTTCTTATTTTGTATTTTTACAATGTCTTATCAATGATTCTTTTTTAGGTAGATGATCAGGAGGGTTTGAAAAAGAAAGAAAATCTGCGCCTAAGAATGGTGAGTTTGCACTGGGCTTACCTCAGTTATCTACTTCAACATAGGAGTTTTAAGTTGCTAAAATTTCTATTTGTTAAAAACAATGGAAACAGTGCTTCTTACTGTTGAAGACAGTGAGGACGTTTTAAACTCTTTTAATTCTGACATCTATCCTTGCTTTTTTACTGCAGGAAGAACTACAGAGAAGACGAAAAGCGAACGAAAAAGCTCAAAAGTTGGTTCAAAATGCTATTGTCAACGAGAAGACAAAAAAAAATGCATCGTCAACAGAATTCTCAACAGCAGCAAAGACAAAATCGCAGCCCGAAACTGAAGCCTCTGCTGCTAACGTTGATCAAAAAGCTGTTAAAAACAAAAATCTACAGCATCGTCCTCTAAAACTCAAAGATAAAGAAAATGAATCTAACAATCGTAGACTGTCAACAGAAAATGACAGTAAGTCTCCCCGAGACAAAGCGAACTTTAAAGAAAGTGAAGAGCTACAGAGAATAAGACAGATTTTGAATCAAGGAAAGAAAGACAAAAAGCCTGCAAACTCTGAAAATACTGTCCAGGGAAGTGAAACAGCCAAAACAAAAGGTCCTGTGACATCCCAGGAAAGCAAAAGGAAAATCTCGGATAGCAAATCTCCTAAGAATTCCTCTATGAATGGACTGGCAAGCAAACTACAATCCAAACCTTTACAGAAGCAAAACCGGCAGGGACCCAATGCCGGCTTACATGCTTACGTAGCGAGCCGAAAAATAAACTTTGATACTTTTGACGTACCACCCACTCAGAATGAACAAAGTGATGAGCAGGTTACAGAGGAGGCAGACAACGGTAGGACAATCAACATTACAATTTAGTTTTCGACCGGTTGAAACTTCCTGCGTTAAGACCGTGTAAACTTTTGTACGTTAAAGCGATAGTTGAATGGTTTCGTGGTAACTCAGCTGGGTGACTTCATTTGATGTATAACATCGTCGTATTCGGAAACCTCCGTTTTTGTCCCTCCACACGAAAACTACAATAATGCGTTTTCAAAACCTCCCTTGTTGGGACAGTTTTGTGGCCGAAAAAGCTGTAAGGCTAAAACGGCGAAGATAATCAAAACAAGTTTTCGTACATTCACCACTTTAGAAACCAGAACAAACCTGGGGCGAGTTAACTTTCGCAAAGACTTCTGGTATTGTTACTGGGGTCAGAACAAACAAATTGGCTAATAACTGAATGACGTCCTCAGTAACGATCCCAGAAATCTTTGCAAAAGTCAACTCGACCCAGTTTCTTCGTTTTTAACGTGCCGAATTATTACTTTACCTCATATCATCTTTCTCATACAGGTGCTGATACTGAAGACATAACAAATGGTGAAACTAAGGTATATAGGGTTACCACATTTCAACGATAGGGAGCTTTAGATTCGTGGACGAATACGAGTACGAAGTTTTCTCAATACTAAGTAGTGCAAAGTGCACGTGCGTGAGCCAGCGTCATTTTGGCGGGAAAACGTGATAGCCGTCGTCATTCTACAACGGGTTTTAGCGAGAATGTCGTAGTGGCGGGAACAAGTTATCAAATGTAAGAAGTTTTAGCATTCTGCTATCGGGAGAGGGCTTAACTTCCTTCAGTATAAATAACGGTACTAACTTTTTTGGTGGAAAAAAGTAAAATGTAGCTTTCCGGAGTGTTTTTTTTTTTAGAACACGCACAGAAACTTTAAGTTAAATCTCGTACTCGTACTCGTTGTCGTCCTCAAATCTAAAGCTCTGTTATGTGATTGTTATTGAGGTAAGCAAAATCTCACGACCTGTACCTTCTACGCTCACTCATTTCCACTTTGGTCTTATTTTAAAGGACCTTAGAGACTCCTCATTGGCTGAGGAGGAACAAGACTCCCTGGATCAATCACTGGTGAGAATTTACAACTTGAGGGGGCTCGCCACGGCAGCTTAGCTCATTTGTTTAATTTTTTCAATCACTCTCTATGAAACTCGACGCTAAATTCTAAATTTCAATTTCCAATTTCTAAGTGACAAGATCACAGCCTCGAGACCAACAAATTTGTTTCCCAAGTGTATTGATGAAAACTTTTAATAGACTTTTGGGCTGAACTGTTTTTTTTGTTGTTGTTGTTGTTTTGTTTTTTTTTCAACTTCAGTGAAATACCGGTTTAATCTACTTAAAAGCATTGTTTTGTCCATTCTTACCTTGTCTTTAATCTTTCTTTACTGCTCTCAGCAGTGTAGCCAATTCCTAATGGCGAAGTTTGGCCAAATTGCCTGAAACCGCTTTTCAATATGGCCTTTCGTAGCCATGTTTCATGGTAAGCGAAATCTGGAGAGGGTACAAATTCTCCCCTTTTGGGGACGGGTGTAGTATTTGATATCGCCTTCGAGGTTGCCGCCATGATGAAATAAGGATAACGACCTCTCGAAGTGGGCGATCGATCTCGACAATCATCCAGCAACAATAGATTGTGAACTGTTTAAGATTAATATTATCTTTGCAGACAACGCATCTTTAAGTCCCTCTCAAATTAAAGAACATGTCGCCCAATTTCTGTTATTCCTTTATGATTCCTCAGTCTCCAAATTGTAGCAGTCTCCCTTGAAAATCCACAGGGAAGGAAGTAAAATGATGTGATGTATTTCATTTCCCATCACTACATTACTGACTGATTTTTCCAGGAACTTCAAGATACCTCTGAATACGTACGACAAGAGCTAAAATCAATCGAAGAACAACAAAAAGCTCTGGACAAAGTCGGGGAAAAACTCGAAATTGAACTGCGCCGAGCAATGGAGTGTAAAGGTATTGTTGATAGAATCAGCTACGTGGTATGCAAGTGACCTTTGGCGGTGTGGTCGTTCACAGGCCATTCAATTTCCGAGTCCCAAAAACCCTCACTTTCGAAACGAGGCTAAGTGCAAAACTTTTCTTGTGATAATGAATTTTATTTGCATCAGAATAAAAAATCATTTTCACATCACTTCCCACTTAGCCTCGGTTTGAACCGGTAATTTTTAACCAACCTTGTTCCAGGCTAACTCTTCCTGTCGCCAGGGAGAGGTACTGGAGAGTAGTTTCTATGATGCATTAAGTTTATGAATGTGTTTTTATTTTTTACTCACATCGCTCTCAATGGGGCCATCCAAAGTGGTGGTGTGAACGCAATGGGTCACCCATTTTGCGCCATTTTGAAAAAGAAAACAGCTCGAAATCGTGGGGAAAATATTTTGAAAACTATCCGGTGATGTATTTCTGGACGTAACTGCGTCGATTTTTAAATCAATCCATGCACTTGAAGGAAACACATTTCTTCGATGGAGTGTCGAGTTTTTTTGAAACCCTGATGGTATAAAATGCAGGAATTCGGGAAAGAAAAGTTTTGTGAGATCTTGGAACTTATTATTAATTCACAGGTTGTGAAGAAGAACAGGAAAAATTAATGCAGGACTGGTTTTTACTTGTTAACAAGAAAAACGAGCTGGTTAGAAGACAAGCTGAATTGAATTTACTGTAAGTATTTGTTTATCTTATCGGAGCATGTCTGAAAATAAACCAGCTGCTCCCTTCTTCATGCGATTACTCCTCGATGTACAAACCTCTCGAGAGCAACCACCAATTCTTGGTGTTTTAGGTAAAAAACCGAAGGTTCCACTGTCTCTTTTCTTTTTTTATATGTATTACAGTAAAAACGAAGAAGACTTGGAAAGAAGCCATGATATGCTGCAGCGGGAATTGCGAGCTCTGTTGGAAATGGAGGGTAAGAAGAGGTTAATCTTAACCGACGAGGGATGCGTTTCAACTAGGATGTGAAAAGTCACAGGTTCATTCAATGGAAAGACCAAATGTTTAAACCTGGTGACTGGTCCCAGAAAGACCGTTAATTTTGTGTCGCGAGAATCTTTGCGTTTCGAGGGAAAGTAACTAGTTATCCCGGGTCACTAGTCCACCATTAAGTTACTTGTGATGTACACTAGCCCAAAAAAGAAAATCATCTACGTGTAAGGAGCAGACAACATTTGTGAGTAACGGTGTGCTGTTATTTTATGACGGCACAAAATTTGCAGTGCTGCCCGCCTGCAAATTTCTTGGCGGGAAACAGTTGCATTGTTTGATGTCATCTGACTTTGAAATAACCAGTGGGAGTGCGCATTGTTGACGAAAGAAATCCAGCTACATAACCATAGTTGGGATTTATCTTAACTCTGGTATTCCTTGATGACGTGGCACACACTTCCGCTCTAGTCCAAGCCCCGCACCGGGGAAAACAAATATTGTCGTTATTTTTCTTTCTCAGATAATCAGAAGACTGACGAGCAAAGAGACCGAGAAGCAGAGTTAATCGAACAGTTAGTGTTGGTTGTGAACAAGAGAGACCAGCTAGTGCAGTTTGAGGACTCGCAACTTCAACAGTAAGTAGCCGAGCCATGCGCTGCGTGCAAATACAAGGTAGATTGTCCTGACTTTACTTCTGATTGGACGAGAAAATAACCAAGCGCGGGAAATTTTAGCTAGTGTCCAATCTATCTCAGCAATCATTCTCGCAACGTCGAATGGTAGTTCCCATAAATCGCTGCGATCGCTGAACGTGGCGATTAGTTCCTTAGCCAGGCCAATTGTCTAACCTTTAAATTGCCTATTATAAAACATTCTCGAATGAGCGTGTCTCGTAACACTTTTGTTGGAGGTGCAGCAAGCGTTGCAGTAAAATGAAGTTTAATGTTCGCAACGACTGTGCAACATAAATGTTTCGAAATACTAAGTTTTATTCCAGGCAATGTCTCATGCAGCAATACTCTTGTAGCAGCGCAAAGAAATTGTGATGCAAGTTTACGAAACATCGGCTAGTGTGTTATTTCCTGAAAGCTCAAAATTGTTACGAATTCTTCCTTCTCCTATACTACTGCGAGAGGTTCGAAAGTACTTAAGATTAACTCATTTTTGTGCTTTTCAATGGTTTCAGAGCCGAGAAAGATGCGCTACATGTACAGAAAGTAATCGACAATGCTAGGATACCCAGAGACAAAGGCGAATGTGTGCTACAGTAAAAAGAAAAAAATTCATTATGTGTTCACTAGATTTTCGAATTATTGAGGTGAAGGGACCAGAGGCTGCGGTGATGAAATGGTGTCATGTCACCTGAGGCATAAACCGAGTATTTGGTCTTATTTTGGAGAAATAGCACGTTGAACAACCGATATATGTCCCTAAAGGCCAGCTTGAAGGGATGTTGACGCGATGTGGAATGAAAGTTCTACCCTGGCTTTGAACCCTAATATATCAACATTCATTATCTCCACGCAATTTTCGATACATTTCCCATGGTACTGATGAAGAGAATTGAAAACTTTAGCCAATCTTAATTACCTTATTCTCACTTAATTTCGCGGGTACTCGGTGTTATTATATGGCTAGTTTCGCGAGCGGGTAAGATGAATTGAAGCTTGCGTTCTGATTGGCTCTCCGAGCGGGCAAGATGGCTGACTTATCTTCCCCGCTCGGGATTTCTCGTTGTTGTCCCGCAAGAAGGGACCTCAGGTTTTGGCCGTATAAAAACTCCGTCATTGACCAAGCTTGTTCGGTCAAGTGCGCAGGATTTTGGCCTCCTTCTTGTTGTTGTTGTTTTTTTTGTTTTTTTGTTTTTTTCTTTGGCGTTTTTATAGTTCTCGACTCGTATCGGTTCGTAAAAACGCAAAAAAGGAACTTTTCTAATATCCAGCCTTCTTGATCGAATCAGCGTGGCCACCAACATATATGTTATTTTCTTTATTCTTACGATCTTTTGCTGAAATTGAGAGGGATGTTTGATGGAGAAGCAAGAGTTGATTAGTGTTGAGGTCGGAAAATATGCGTTATAACTGTTTGATGCTTAGCAAAAATTTTACCCAATGAGCCAATTTTGTGTTTGTACAGGTCTAAAAAAGGTCTAAACATTTTAGTGGAGGCTCTTCCTTGTTTAAAAACGGATATTACAGAAGTTCAACGAATATTTCCAATCAATTAATTGCGTCAAGTAGGAAATGAGCAAACACTAAGTAAATAATAACACCCCCCTGAAATAAGACGTCGAAATAAAGGCATTTATGAAGGACAGGATATTTAATTCTTTTTCTGAAAAATCCAAGTATTGTTTGCCGTGGTCTCTTATGACTTGGGAGAACACGTAATGGAGTATTCTTTGATCGCGCCTTTGCGCTACATTGACTCGAACTAGTGGAAATCCTCCCAGATTTTTTCTTCCACGCTTTGTCAGTTCTGGTACAGTGAAGGCAAGATTTCTCAAGATAGTCTATCAGATTTTCAACGGATTTACCTTTTTACAATTAAATATGAAATGAAATGTAACTTGAAGGAGCATTTCGCTCGAATTTGTTGAACCTCAAGATGCTTGCTCGTCTGTTATATGAGCATTACAAAGGGCAGTACTTGCTCAAGTTCGTGTGGATGAAAGAGTGACTATTACAGTGTCTACATCCGATAGCACAACATATTACTACTGATTGTAGAACTACCGGAGAGAGTGGGTGTGAAGCCCACAGCGTGGGTAAGGTCTGACGTGACGAAGGTGGAAGCTGAATGGTCATCAGTATACTGCGCCAAGAGTGCAATAAGGCCGATTGTAGGATAGCGAAGATTTGCGCGCCGGAAGGATTAAGAAGAATAGGAAGGCCAAAGACCACATGGAGACGAAAACTTGTGAAGGAGAAAACCGTGACACGCTTGAAATGGTGGAATCAAGCTGGGGCGACGTGGGACACTTATGTCCAAAAATGCATGCAATGGCGAAAATGGCTATTTGAATTGGATACCAAAAGTGGCCCCTTGGAGACTGGCGATTTCGGCGAAAATCGCCAGAGGGCTGGTGATGTCTAGAATGTGGCAAATATTTAAATTGGATGCCAGAAGTGGCCCCTTCAAATTAGGTAACAAAAGACGTCCCTATAACTGAGAGGCAACATAAATCAAAAAAAGGTCCAATTACATACCTAATAAGAGGCCCCAGTAACTGTGTGGAAACCTTTATCACCACAACTGAATCAAATATATCAGAAAACGGCTTTATTTACTGTGAGGCAATATTTATCAAATACAACTGAATCAAACATATCTGAAAACAAAGAATGGACGTCGTTTCAGTTAAGCTTATGTATTTGTGCCATGCAGAGACGTTCTGCTTAGACCTCATCTGCCACTAAGCACAAAGTACAGTCAAATCCCGCTTTACGGACAGCCGCTTAATACGGACATCTCGTTATTACGGACAGTTTGCTTTGTCTCTGGGAAAAGAAAGCCCTTACAATTTCTCTAAATCCAACCCGATTTATACGGACACCTTGTCAATACAGACACTTTCCATGCCCCTCTCAGTGTCCGTAATAACGGGGTTTGACTATACATAGGTGACAGGTTAACTGCCGAATAGATTAGTCAAGGGTTACATCATCTCCAATAAGCGTAAATGCCGCCCAGTCCTGTTCGTCTGGGAAGCGTATTCTCGTCATCTCCTGGGCGCGTTGAAGAGCCTTACTTGCAGACATTTTGCCCCGCACTAAGAACATGTAGAACATGGACATAAAATTATAAGCAGCTTTATCACGGACTTGCCACATGGACACAAGGACTGCTCTGGCACCAGACCCGAGGAAGGCCCGGGCTGTCCCCACGACTCCTTCTAATGTCATTAACTTCCCCCGACCACCGTAACAGAGGCTTAGTACTACCAGCTTGGCTCTAATCTTTAGACTCGCAATCTCTTCGACGGTCAACACAAAGTCTTCCAACATCACCGGCTCTTGACTGTGAGAAGGTCTAAGTGTCAGGGCCGGTTCTCCCCTTTCTTCAGAACCATGTGTTGCAATATGTACCAGGCGTACCTCTCCGATCCTTCGCAGTACCTCCTCCTTTGTGGCTTGCTCTCCCACGAGACACGGCACTCCAAACAGGGAAGCGATCATTTCTGCTTCCTTCTTTGCAAGCTTGAGTGGGCGAAACGTCTGTACACCAACTTGCGGCACTCCCACAATAAGTTCTCCACTCTGGCTGTGATAATCCGCTGGGGAGTCTTGGATCAGCTTCAGCGTGGTCAGCGATGGACTGAGGCGGATCCTCACTTTTTCTGACAGGTAACAGCCATCCTTATCCTTTAAACACGAAAAAGGTACCAACCACATTTGCCCTTCGGGTACAATTACCATCTCCTCATGGGGTTTGATTAAACCAGCAACACGAGCAATAATAGCCTTGTACAGTCTTCGAAGACACGAGTCTCTTTTCGTTCGTCGCTCGCGGTCTTTTTCTTCATTTGGGTTATCATAGTCTTCATCTGTTTTCATAGTTTCCAAAATTTCTCTGCTCTGCGTTTCCAGAAGATCTTTAGTACTTTTTACTTGCGGATCTGTATCACAATGTTGTCTCATTGTTAATTTTCCTTCTTTATCAAAAAACCAGAGAAACAAATTTTTTGTCAGAAATGTCATGAATAGGAAGCAACATTTTTGCTCTTGAATGAGGCTCCTTAGAGTGTCGCTTTGAATTCTTCTGGAGACTGTGTTTGGGGCATATGCTCTCGTTATTAAGTCGTTCAGCGCCCGTGCGCGGCCTCGTTCTAAAACGAACAGAGCCTTATTGGGTTCTCCGAATAAAACAAATTGCGAGGCAGGTGTTTTGTAAAGGGGAACGCATTGATTGTCCAATGTAATTTTGCTTTCATCATCATGGCTCTGTCTTAGCTCCTCGTGTATTTGTATGCTTTGATCTGATGAACCTTCGACAGATTTTGTAACATTCAGTTGAGAGGCATAAGAGCAGCCTTTCCTTTTGATTAAAAAGCAATGGTTTTTATCCCCTTCCATTACTTCTGTCACTTCAAATATTTCCTCTTGTACAGGGCTGTTGCTTGCTGAACAGATAAATTCGTTTTTGTCTCCATCGATAACAAGAGACCTTTCGTGAAACTTAGCTGCACTGCTATGGTCACCGAGAGAATGGCATACTCTAGACAAATGTCTTAGCGCGGTTTTTCTCTCCCCAGCCGTTTGACTTGAGCACAAGGATTTTTGATAGAATTCAATCGCTTTCTTACAATTGTTTTGAGCCTGATAAAGACAGCCAAGGTTGCTGTAGGATGTTAATTCCATCTCAGCGAAACCAAGTTCCTTGCCTATCTGAAGAGCCTTTTCTTGATACCCTATTGATCTATGGTATTCGCCCTGCATGTAATGTACATAAGCCAGCTGCATACAAGATATACCCAGACCAAAATGGTCTCCTATTTCTGGTCTTCTCTTGAAGCATTCTATGTGCATTTCAATCGACCTCTTATAGTCGCCAATAGTACAATATACGGTTCCTAGATTGTAGTACGATGTCGCTTCTCCTTGCTTATCGCAAAGTTCTTTGCTAATTTTCAGGCTTTCCTCTTGACTCCTGATGGCCCCGTCAAAGTTACGAATATTGTGATACAACATTCCTTGTTTGTTCAGAAGTACTTGACGTTGCTTTAGATCTGTGACCTCGTCTGTTTTTACGAGGTCTAGTGCTTTTGAACTGTAATCACGTGATTTCTCAACTTGTGCAACAGCCTCGAACACCACCGCTAGATTGGTATAAGCGCGGCATTCCATCTCTTTGTCCTTTCTTTCTTTACCTAGTTTCGCAGCTTTCTCGAAAAAGTCAACTGACATCTCATTGTTACCGAGAACGTAGCTTGCCCAGCCAAGGCTCAGGAAATGTGAACTCATATTTTCTTTATCCGTGTCACTGGGAGTAGCCACTGTATGATACTTGTCTATCAATTCAGCACATTGACTTGACGAAAAATACAGGCGTGTGGTGGTAGAGTAATCCATTTGTATTTGACTTGCACAATTGAACAGTTTTTAATATATTTTTCCTTTTTGCTGTGTTTTACATAAGAACAATAGGAGGCGATCTGTAGGGAAATTTCCCTTGCAGATAAAACCCCCGGGAAAACCCCTTTTACTTGAAAACGGAAGTTGAAAACGGAAGTCACAGGCATCTCAAAACATTGCTAAAAATTTATGTTACCGGTAATAATCAATCGTAAAGTTTAGATCTTCGAAAAAAACCCTAAAATTAGTTTATTGTTTTACTTTATTTTTTCGTTTATTTTGTGGTGTTTTGTTTTTTTGTACTTTACCTTAAAGGACATTTACGGCTGCATTTGCAGTCATGTCCTACGGACCTTGACAAGTAATTAAGATAAGGTGATTTTTATGTCAAATTTTTACGTTTCCTAAATGAACCCTATCAATCGTTTCGTTACGCTGCTTTACGCATTTTTAACAAGCGTTCATACAGTGAGTTTGGGATGTCTGTGTTTACAGCGGCGCCAAACCATTCTGATTAAGTCAACGATATTTTAAAACGGATGATGTCATTTTTCGTTCTTGTCCTCTAAATATAGCTTTCCGATTAACATTTCTTCGTGTTTCTTCAGATCTGCTTCGTTAGGTTACAATTTACATTTGTTGAACAAGGCCTCCTTGATGTCCACGTGGGCCGAAGACAGAAAAAGCAGGTACTTAGTATATATCTCTTAATTAATCTCAAGGAGCCGAGGACGACTCGACAACGAGACTCGCCACTCTCTTATAGCCTGCGAGCAGGCTCACTCGTGCGAGCGCAGGGAAACTTTTGGCGACAGGGCCGCCATCGAGCAAGGAAAAGTCACCTTTCCTTGCGCTATGGCGGTTCCGCCGCCTAAACTATCCCCGAACTCACTCAAGTCAGTAACCGGTTAATCTCGTCGGTAGAACGTACCTGATGGTTAAGTGAGCCTGCTCACAGGCTTCGACTTGTAAAATTTTGTGTGTTTCCTGTGATTTGGTTTTCTTTCGAGTCTGAGACTGTCTGCTTAAGCATATATTCCGAGGCTACACCGCGATGAGAATTTATCAAGCTAGAAGTCGTTGCAAGGATCAGTCATTACAAGCTAAATCAACACGTTGGGGCCTCTTTTGACAGCTTCAAACACTGAAAAGGGGCAAAGTATTGTCCAAACGGGCTGTCGATCGATCTGAGTCCATCGATAGCCGGTCGGAATGTCCAAATTGATCAACAATGGAGCTACGAATCCTGGTTATTGATGAGAATTAGGAGGTAATTAATCGAGACCGGGACGAACTCAGACCTGTATGAGTTTGACTTGAATCGGTCTCATACATTTCTTTTCATGAGTTTACAAGGGAACGGCCTAACAATGAACTCCGAAACCGGCCTGACTTCGTGTCGGTCGCTGACCCGACACGAGTTACTTTCGTACCGGTCTGAGACTGTACCGTTCTCATGTAAAACGGAAACGAATCTCAGCCGGGTCCATAAATAGCATGTTTCTTCGTATGGCTCCATCATAGGAAAACAAGAACGCGCTTGCAGGGGCATTCAAGTCTCGCAAGACTGCTTGCAGTCCACCCTTTCTCTTAAAATCCGTGTGGTTCTTATCTCATCCAGCGCGATTGCAAACCATGACGTTATTATTCCGATAAGGGATTGAGACCAGACGAGAAAAGACGGACTGCTGACTCTTTTGTAGTAAACAAACCCTCCGTCAGCCCCGAAACGGAGTAACCGATTGGTCAATTGCACAGCTGTTGACAGATAATTGACTGGTCTGTGGTAAGATTGCAAGCAATAAAAATAGTCACGCTTCACAACCAACTCAAAAAAATAGCGAACCAAGCAGTAATCTCAGTAATAAAACTTTTAAGGATATCTTACAGAAGGAAACTTCTGTAAATTTCCTCAAGGGAAACGAATTCAAGCAATCTTACGGGATTTAAAGAAATTGTATATTTTGCAGTTGTTTATGCAACCTCGTTCCCAGGGTACTCGCTCCGTAGGGCGGGTAGGAGAGAACCCTGGGAACGAGGTTGTTGTTTATGTTCTATTTATAAATCGTTTCAAGTTACTTGGGTTTAATTGATTAATTAAACTAGTAATAGTTGACACTACAGCTGCCCCCGTTCTTTATATTGTCGGTCAATAGTATTCTTGCTGGTTGTGTAGCTCTTTGAAATATATCGATTCATAATGAAGATTTTCACACATATTCCATGCAGTAGGTGAGATAAATACAGGATACGCAAGGTTCCATGCACAGTTTCAGCTCGATTTACACAGCTTTGATCAAAACATTCTCGGTTTGGAGAATAGTTTATTCTAAACCATAACAAAAGATTTAATTAGAGGTTGAATTTTTCGCTATTTCTCTTTCACTTTTTACATTAAGTTCATTTTATTTGCCAGAAAGTAAGGCTTAGAAATTAAAAGGACCTTTGATCGATTCACGCTATCGCATTCTAGTCTTATTTGAAACTTTATAACGGAAAAACATCTGTGAGCAGGGAATAAGTCAGCACAGAATTTGATTGTCGGCGAATTTCTGTAAATGTCCATCAATCTGCTAGTGAGAAGCTAGCCGTTGTTCACTCGTCTTGCTTGTTTGGGGCTGAGTCTTATTCCGGTCAAAGGGAGAGAAAGCGTGTCTGGCAAGGTTTCCAATATAAGCCAAAGATTTGTCAACTCGTGTCTGGCAAACTCTCTAAGTGTTTATATATACACAGTTAAACGCACCTTATAACCTCCCCTGCGCTTAACGAATGTCTTTCGGTCCATAACTTTCAAAACAACTGCTCCACAGAATGTCACTGCGTAACGCAAAAGAGTATTGAAGTCAGACTGCACAATAAATGTCACAAAATCTACCTGAGCGGTCCCTTCGGGATTTTCTGTCTTTACGTCATCCTAACCATTTCGTACTTGCGGGCGCAAACAATAGAAACGTCATCATTACCTACCTATTCCTCGCGGCCCCGGTTCGAGCAAATTGAGAGTTTTTCTAGTATACTGACTGTATATTTGAACTGTAAGTACTGTCCTTAATATACGCGCGAGTTACTAGGGTGCCTCCTCGGGGAGCGAAATCCCTGCGGGGCAATTACCTTGACAGCTTCGTTGTCCCCAGACAGAACAAAAGAGTCAGCAGTCTCTTATTTTTTCCTCTCGGGCTTATGCACCTATCAATGTAAATCCCGTGGGGGGGTGCGGGCAAGGGGAGGGGATTTGATGCCTGGGACTATCCCCGCTATCGGGCTTTTGATCGTGCGAAGCGACCCCGGGGTCGGGACATTTAACTTTGACCGACAGAAGCCTGGTATCAATTCAGAAGCAGTTACCAAGTCCGTCCCTCGAGGCTTCCTGAAAGTCACGCTGTTGGAGAAAGGTATGAAGTTTTCATTTGTTTTAATCGCCATAATCCGATACTTTAAACTGTCATCTAAACAGATAATGTCTATTTTGAGAAAGTTTTTATCTTCAAGTTCCCATCTGATTGTAAAACTCGATTGAAATCGAATTCCACCATGAAAGTCAGAGGATTTTTTTATGGGTCACTGATCCGACCTGTTCCGACATGTTGAGCAGATGTTATAAAGCATTTTAAGTTTTATTAATATTATATAGCACGGTCAATCTTCCTGGAGTGATTTTGTTGTTCAAGATAAGAGATGCTAGTGGAGAGAGAAAATACTTACTTACAGCGAGTAATTTAATGGAGCTTCCGTTAACCGTAAATAAAAGTAGTAACAACGTGTTTGAAATGTTCTTTTATTCGTTTTATATAGTATTATAGCATTGTTTGTTTAGATTTTTTCCCCTGGTGTGGGGGCTTTTTTGACACTTTTGATTGACCTTTCGTTTCCCACCTTGGGGAATTTGATCGAAAAATTTTAAAATTTGGCAAATCCCCACCCCTTGCCCGCATTCCCCCACGGGGTTTACATTGATAGGTGCATTACGCCCTCGTTTCTCGCGGCTCGCGGCTTTGCCGCTCGCGTGCTTAGGTTTCGCGTACAGTAACTTTACAAAGAAAAATAATAGACTGTACGAAGTCTAGGTCTCGCCTGCTTGGAGATTAGATCGAGAAATGAGGAGGCGATTAATTCTACAAGAAACATTATTTACTCGCTAAAGGTTGTTTACTTCCTACTTTATCGACGTCGATACTTTTTATTTGTTGCTGAATTGATTTAGAGCGCGTTTTAGCGACGACCAAAAAAACCTCTGCGGTAGCAGGCTGTACGCGTGAATTCTAGGGCCTCGATTACAGAGAGGTGATTTACATGGCACGTCATGTCAATCATCGCCGAAAGTAAATCGCATGCTCATCACAAGATTGATTTGCATACAGTGAAAGTTTACAACACCCGCTATCGCAATTTTGCTGAGACTGTACCGTTCTCATGTAAAACGGAAACGACTCTCAGACCGGGTCCATAAATAGCACGTTTCTTCGTATGGCTCCATCATTTTTGCTTTTTCTTAGCAAAATAAGAACACTGCTATGAATAACTGTAAACAAGACTTGGAAGTAGCGTCAATTGAATATATGCTTCGATTAATGTGAGGGATTGCACCATTTTGACATGCTGTGCATTTTACATGCTACTAGATGAGCGTTAGATAAAGTTTACAATTTTCTGGGAGCAGTAATATCTACGGTTCTCTACTCACTGTCTTATTGGCGTAAATTGTGTACCAGTTAGGGTAGTTAGCGAATAATATGTTAAATAATCGACTTAAGAAAGTTATATAGCTCCAAGCATCTCCTAGTCTGTTACACAGCCGTTTTTAGAGTCGTGACGACACTAAAAAACGGCTGTGTAGCAGACTAAGCATCTCCTAGACTGCAAAACAATCCGTATACAAGTACGCACGAGCAGTTAAACAGAAGGTCTGGAACGAGGCTGAAAACAGTCAAGGTGGTGAAAACACTAAATGACTAGCCCCAGTGTTCACAGACCCTCTATTTCCTATTTTCTCTTCAAAG